TGAGAAGGGATTGAGAGGCCAAAAAGTAGGTCTCAAGCTGAGATTTTGGATTAATTTATTTATTTAAGTATGTCTCACGCCATATTATGCACTAGCAAATATCATTTAGAGGAAAATATCGGAATGAATAATGTAATTGTCAACCATATTAACTAAAAATTTTTACACACATGGGCAGAGTGCACTTTGCGCTCATTTCCTCTCTAACCCATAAATTTGGCTTTTTTCGTTTTTTCAATTTCAATTTGGTCATAAATTGCAACGAAAGACATATTTATTTATTTATAACTTCTAAATTATTCCCGATTCCGGTAATATAAGTTCAAGGAAATGAAGAGATCGGACTTTTTCCTCGTCGCAGAAAAATTGTTTTTTATTCTACAAAAACAAATGGCTCTATCAGTTTCGGTCACGGTCTGCGAACCTATTTCATGAGCAAGAAAAATACTAAAAATCAGCAAAATTTAAAAATACCACATTTATACATAAAAATTAATAATCTTAAAACTAACAAATTCAAGTACTAACAACCTATTTCATGAGCTGCTCGCTGAGTGAGAATGGGCTAGCTAAAGAAAGATTGATTGGGAGAGGTGAACTTTATTGGGTGATTAAAAAAAATTAGCGCGCCGCGCGGCCGGCCGCCGGGGCGCCGAATGACGTCGGGCGCATCATGCGCGTTTTCGAGAAAAAGCTGTCTATTACTTCCTCTCTCAAAAAAGACATCCACCTTTGATCGAATTGGTGGCTCAGTTGAAACAGGGTCGCAGACCGTACAACCGAAACAGGTTTTTTGAATAAAAAAAAAAATTTTTAATTTTTCTGCAACGAGGAAAAAGCCCGAGCTATTTCGAGTGTTAACTTCTTCAAATAAATATACGTTCAACTTAATAATTTCCAATTGTACGTGGTCTTTTTCTTTTTACACAAGAAGGGAAAAAATTATTTTTGAGCACTAAAGGGCGCAAGACTTTGAAAAAAATTTAGCGCGAGCGCAACATTTTTAAAATCTTGACCACGAACGCAAGCTTGTTGAAATTGTGAGAGACCACAACTTAATAATTATTAAATTTCATTGGTGGTTATCAAATTTAGTATAGGTATTTTATATTTTATTATTATTATTTTTTTATATATAGCATGGCATGAAGCTGATTGAAAGCGGCAGGGAAGCAAGTGGCCGTCGCACATCGGTTGCATCATTAAATAATAAATGAAGCCATCATACTGCCCCGCTTCTTTTGCCCATTCATCCATATGCAACGAGAGAGAAAAACGCGCAGAGATAAATTGAAAAGATTTACAGCACTTCCACGTCTTCCAACCTGCATCGGCGTTGAATGTCGAATCGAATCAAAATCCAAATTTAAGACTTGAGGAAATTGTGGCTGTCAACTCATGATATAAAAGAGGGCAGACAAGGAAACTCACAAATCCATCGGCAATACAATCAGCCAGCCTAGTTGACGGTTGAAAGTCTGGTATAAACCTATCAAGGCGGCCAAGAATTATTTCAAAGAAAAAAAAGCAAGTACGTGTTCGTGCTCGGCGTCGACGCCGCCAAAAGAGCACGACGTGTGCTGGGAGGCCTGGGAGCGGCCGGTGAGAAAACTATTAAACCACCGGATTAATTTTCCCTCAATTCCGTAAAATTTCAATTTTGAGAGCAGTCGCTGGAGAGGCACTTTATCAAAGGCTTTTGCCAAGTCAACAAAGATAAACAACAATAATGGCATGAACTTGGGTGGCACCTGAATTTGTATCGAGCGCAACAGTCCACTCCTCATTTCCTCAATTGTTTTTTTGTTTTTAGGATGAGGGTAATGTGCGAGCAGCAGGCCGTAGAGCTGCGCACTAAAAACCCGCTAAAAACCAGCTATAATGGTGTGAACGGCCCAACGTAGGTCGTCTTTCCCCATTCTGAACCCATCCCATCGACCCTTATCCTTCCTAGCAGGCCCCTAAATTGAGAATGTATTAAAAGAATTGCGTCGCGCCTGCTATAGAAGTTTCTGAGGTGATCGGGAAATAAAATCAGTTTCCTTTAAAAATTACACCTTAGACTACTCACATCGCGCCTTCTATAACATTACCTATACCGAGATTTCTATATTCGACTTTATTTACAGGTTGAACCGTTGAACGATTTTTTTGTTTACCAAGTAAGTATTTTTTAATATTTCAGATTTGATGCTCAAAAAATTATCAATAGCAAAACAGACGTAACTTTCATTTGCAGCCACCGTTTTATTTTATTTTCATTGTACTTATTTTAAATTTCGCTGAAAATTTTGGGGGTTTTGACATTCTTAATGCTGAAACATTGAAAATTTTTCATATCAGTAATGAGAGATGAACAATTGTGCGAGTTCTGCACCGCACTCTTTATAATTTCTGCACAAAAGCGTTCTTTCCTTCTCCCCTGCTTTTCATAAACAACAATTACGCCACGTGTGTTTTTGTATTGTACTCGCTTGGATTTGCAATGTCTTTTTTTCTGTCCGCCGACAGTGCATTTCAAAAAAGGATATCTTTTCTGCGCCATTAATTTTCCTGAAAGCAGCAGCGTCATCTCCTGCGAACGCCTCTTCACTTTTTGCTTGTCGCCTCTCTATTTAAAAAGCAACCACCTTCGTGATTAGAGAGTGCCACTCACACGATGGCATGGTAAATTCCCCCCTTGTTCCCTTGTTTAAAAGTAAAATAATAACTCTGAAATCAATTTTATTTTGGTTTTTACCATTGATATTGTATAGTGTACTTCATGAATATAGCTAAAATCACGGCCCAATTTGCATAATTTCTTTATTTTACAGATTATATATTTAACACTTATTTAAATGAACTATAATTCATTTAATGGAGCTTGTTTTGGCTTGCCACTCAAGGAGATGATCATGGAAATGAAGAGATCGAGTTTTCCCTCCTTAAAAAAACGGCTGTACTAGTTTCGGTCACGGTCTGGGACCCTATTACATGAGCAAGAAAAATACAAAAAATCAGCAAAATTAACAACAACAAAAAAACACCAAAATAAAAATGTGAATTATTATTGTTGTTTATTTTTCCAAATTGTTACATCAATTAAATTTTAATCTTTTAATTCAAACACATATTCAAGTACCACCTTTTTCATGAGCATATGCGCTGCTCGCTGAATGAGAATGAGCTAGCTTAAGACAGATTGATTGGGAGAGGTGATATTTATTTGGGTGATTGATTGGGTGATTGTAGGTCAATGGTTCCGTGGACCAAGTGTTCAGAGCGGTCGAGGGTTCCGCAAGGAAGTAGTGGTATCAATTGCCTATAATAAAATTGTGCCGCAAGCTTTCTCTTCATTTCACTGAAATGGCAAAGATGACAAAATAAATTAAATATAAGACAAAAAAAATATTAGCGGTCAATCAAACGTACAGAATCGTTAAGAAAAATCAGCTTACACATTGTTATGAAATTATTTAATATTATTCAATATCATTAATAAGCAAGAACGTAAATTTTCTGCCAGTTTATTGGTTCAACCAGACATTAAATCCCGAATTTAACATTTTTTTATTTATTTATTCTCCATTCAGATACAATGAAATAACAATTTGGGCAAATAAACAATAAAAATATATTTGAAAACAATTTGTATGAGAAAAAGGAATAACTATAACTAGCATTTCAATTCAATCGATTTTTATTCCATTTTAGTATATATTGAAAAAAAAACTTTTTGTAATACAATTTTTAACGACTTCCATAATATTTTCCAAGAACATTAATGATCAGTGACCTATTTTCGTGCAAAGTGAAAAATATATTTCCAGAATAATGGTTTTCTTATTTTCTGGCCGATTTTTCTTTAGTTAATTGGTCATCCATGGCATTATAGAGCGGGTGAAGGCAAATGGAGGAGAGTGCAGACGTCGTCCTCAGCTCGTTAATAACGTTTAATTTTAATAATATGTGGCATTATTTATGTGGAAGATTACGCGTTTCCTGCTCTCGTTCCGCCAGCAGAGGATGTGCTTCATTGGTGCGCGCGCGAGTCCTTTATTCATGTGCTTTATTTTTCACTGTGTGCCGATAGATATGAGGGTGCATGGCTCGTTAACGAATATTGCAGCCGCCACCCGCTCCTGAGCTCCTTAATTTTCGAATTTTCTGACTCTGAACTTATAAACAAATGATTTGAGATTTAACTTTGAAAGGACTTAACATAAAATTGGATAAAACCTTATTGGAAATGAAGCGATCGGGCTTTTCCAGATTCTTGTATTAGTCAGCGAGCAGCGCGTTTGCTCATGCAATAGGGTCGCAAACCGTGACCGAAACTGGCAGAGCCATTTGTTTTTGAATAAAAAACATTTTCTACGACGAGGAAAAGCCTGATCGCTTCATTTCCATGATCATCTCCTCGAGTGTCAACTTCTTCAAATAAAACGTTATTTGTTTGAAGAAGTTGACACTCAAGGAGATGATCATGGAAATGAAGAAATCAGGCTTGTCCTCGTTGCAAAAATTGTTTTTATTCAAAAACAAAACAGCTCTACCAGTTTCGGTCACAGTCTGCGACCCTATTTCATAAGCAAGAAAAATGCAAAAAATCTATTTGCTGATTTTTTTGTATTTTTCTTGCTTATTATTATTTTTGGAAACATTTTGTTACGTTTGACAAAACAGAACCATCACTTGCAAGAATTTTGCTAAAGCTTCCTAGATAAAAAAAACTACCCGCTGCAATGAGCCTTTTTTCCAACTATTATCAAATTTACTGATATTTAGCACTCTTCTTGCTCATGAAAAAAGGTTGCAGACCATGATCAGAACTAGTGTTTTGTTTTCATTAAAAAAATATTTAATTACTAATTGTAGTGCACCTTATTTTTTTTAAAAAAAAGCAATAAACTTGATTCATCCCCTTTGACATTCTGGGTGGCTGTCTCACGTCTCACATGGGTTATTGGAAGGGGCAAATTAACAATAGCTGGTCACACACCAGCTCAAATCGCGGAGAGAGCAGTCGCAACCTATGGCACAGCGTATGCGAGTGCAGGCGCGCTGCCTTCGCACATTTTCCCTCTTATTTATACCACTGCTTGTCCTGGCACTCAAATGACGAATTGTACTGAAATGCACTCGACCTCCAATTGCTGGGTTCGCCAATACCATTCATTGCAAGGTGAGTTAAATTTGGAGTTCATTCAGGCATTCATCACCACCACCACCTTCCACTGTTTAAGTTTTCATGCGCAAATCATACAAAGGATCAAATTATACTCCTTTATATCGCTATAAAGTTCGACTTTCTGCCTGTTTTTTTCAATTTACCTCTTGGAATCATGCAAATTTGTTCGCAAATACCCACACTATTTCCAAAAAACAAGAGTGAAGTTGTATCATCAGACAAGGGCAAAGAGTGATTTATATGTTCCAGCTCAGAAGCTGTTAATTTCGAAGCAGAACCCTTTGACTTGTTTGGCTCCCTTGTATAACAAATTGCCTGTTTCGATTCGCTTGGAGCCTCGATACAAGACTTTTGAAAGTAGTTTGAGGCGTTTTGATCATATGCCCGCAAATAACTTGTAAATATGTTAAATTTCTTTTTTCCCTGCTGTGTATTTCATTTGACAAAATTGTAAATGGGTGGGTCGCACGGGAGATATTACATGTGATTACATTCCATAATGCAATAAAGCTGCAATAATAATAGTAATTTAGTAATAATAATAATTTTATAGCAGAGAAGAGTTTTTTCAACTCATAGATGAATTGTAATATTTTTGTTCTTTTTTTTATCTTCTTTTTTCTATTCATTTTGTACAATGTTGCAAATGGGGCGCGTTGCAGTGAGTCACTACATCGTGGCGACGCTTCATAAGTCAATAAAGATCAATAATAATAAATTTTGAAAATATTTTTCCGTTTTAGTTGCTAATTGTGTTTATTATGTATCACCGTGTATTCTCTGCCTAAAAATATTATTCATACATTCAATATTATTATGTTTTAAGCTTTATAGATTTATCAAAAAAAAAAAAAAAAAAAAAAAAAAATTTAAAAATTGAAACGGACACTGCAATACACTTAATTAACAACGCAAACACGACACAACTCTACACTAAAAATTACAAAAAAAAAAAAACAGCTCACAAATTGACAACACTTAAATAAATTTTAAAACACGCATTTTCATAAATTTATATTTTAATTTTTCAATCAGAAATTAATTAAACACTGTTGTGTACAACATACATTTTAATTTTTAAGTTTTTTCGATTAAATTAGCTGCCACATATTTTTCAGCACTTTTTTTGTATGTTGATACTTTTTTATGCCGATGCATCGTTCTGCTTTTTTGCTGTAGTGTCCTTTTTGTAATATTTATAATGAGAGAGATTCAATAGACTTAGCTCTCCCGGGCCATATGAGCTGCTCATATGAGCACATCAAATGAGCACCCCAAATGAGCACCTCAAATGAGCACCTCATATGAGCACCTCAAATGAGCACCTCATATGAGCTGCACATATGAGAACCTCAAATGAGCACCTCGTCATTTTTTAGTCGTTTTGTAGTCAACTTGCAGTCGTTTTGGAGTCGTTTTGTAGTCAACTTTCGTTTTCGACTCCCAAATGACACTAAATCATAACCAATTGACTCCCAACCAACTCCCCAAACGACTCCCAAAATGCGCTAAAACACGCAAAGCTCGTTCTCCCTACATATTTATACACCACCTCGCTTAAACATCCCAATAATTTTACCATCAATAAGCCGTCAACTATTTCAACTGTTGAACCAGCTGATCTTGCTGTCAATTTTGAAACAAAAAGGTCAGCCGCTAGTAATAAAAAAATAAAACTGCGCAAAACTGTTGGATACAATTGGATCCAACTCTTTCATCAGTACAAAACTGTTGGATCAAATTGGATCCAACTCTTTCGTTTTAGCGAATTTTGGGAGTCGTTTGGTAGTCGTTTGGGGAGTTGGTTGGGAGTCAATTGGTAATGATTTAGTGTCATTTGGGAGTCGAAAATGACTCTAAGTTGACTACAAAACGACTCCAAAACGACTCCAAGTTGACTACAAAACGACTAAAAAATGACGAGGTGCTCATTTGAGGTGCTCATATGAGCAGCTCATATGAGGTGCTCATATGAGCAGCTCATATGCGGTGCTCATTTGAGCAGCTAAAATGAGGTGCTCATATGAGTCACAACTTCTTCATTTCTGTGAGTTTTTTAATGCTTGCGTTTAATTTCTTTTGCCATTAGTGAGCTGAGACGCAGAATCAATATAAAATAAAAAAATATAATATATTTTGAATTTTGATTAATATTTTTTTGCTCCGTTCAAGGGATTATGGAGACCAACACGACCTTGTGGCAATTTTTGCTGGAGCTGCTGCTTTCTAATCAGTATTCATCTATAATCACGTGGATAAATGCAGACGGCGAGTTCAAATTAATAAACGCAGAAGAAGTGGCCAGGTTGTGGGGCTTGCGGAAGAACAAAACCAACATGAACTATGACAAACTCAGCAGAGCTCTGCGCTACTACTATGACAAGAACATTATCAAGAAGGTGCTTGGACAGAAATTTGTCTACAGGTATTAGCTCATAATTTGGAAATTTCAATAAATTATTTTTACTATTTATGAGATCGGGCTTTTCCCTCGTTGCAGAAATTTTTTTTATTCAAAAACATAACCTATCTCTTCATATCCATGATCATCTCTTCGAGTTTCAACTCCTTCAAACAAATTATTATTAGTTGCAAATTGTGTTTATTGATCTATCACAAAGGCAATTGCTGCCCATAACGGGATACAACATTTATACATATTCAAAATTAAGTTAATATAATTGAGAGAAAAGATGTGAATTATACATACAAATTTACATACAAATTATTATTAAATTGTCTATCACTCTCGAGATTGACACCATCCAGTCAGGGTTGCTAAATCTCAAAGGCCGATAACTCGAATTGTCCCCCTTTCGGGGCCGATACCATGGTGACCTTGGACCCACTGGGCCGGGTTAAAAGCAACCTGTCAGGCCTATCACATGTATAGTATCTCCCGTGTGACCTACCCATTTACAACTTTTTACGTGACTCGAGATCTAGGTACTGTGCTTTAGCCTTAATTTTCTGAAGCCATGCTGAAAGTCTTGAATTAGTTGGTGGCCGAAAAGTTGGCACCAATTTTTATTTGTCATCACCGCGTAGATTATAAATTAAGGATATTCCAGCAAAAACGATCTTTTTTTAAATTTATTTGAACTAAATTAAAAAATAGGTTTTGCCCTCTGAGATTCAAAGAGAACAAAGAGAACAAAGAGATTCACAGACCGTGACCTGAAACTAGTAGAGGCGTTTTGTTTTTGAGAAAAAAATTACAATAATATAATTATATATATTTTTTTAATAAAAAACAAAAAAATTCCCAATCAGGAAAGAGCCTGTTTCCTGCCACTTTCATAAACACATGCATACACGTAATTAATGAAATTTGGGTTTCAGATTTGTTTCCTTCCACGAAATTGTAAAGATGGAGAAGAAAATTCCGTTTCGACTGAAAGCAGCCGAAATTTTGTACCAACAGCAACAACACAACTCGCCAGAGGTGAGTAGGTACCTTTTGCGCCAGGCGGCCGCCGTCGCCTTGATTTACCACCGCGAAGACCTGATACTTTCCCTAGACGCATGGAAAAAGAACTTGCGTGGGCTGTGCGTACAGGAGGAAGAAGGCCCCGTCGACCTGGACTTAAAGTCACGCCACCTCACCTCTGAGGATTCATCCCTGCGCCGCCAGACCGTCCTAGTGCCACAACCCTTACAGTATTGGGCGCACACCTTTCTGCAACCTTCTGGTCATTTTTTCCCGTCAACGCATCCCCTTCTGCCTGATCCAACAGACTTCAACCACTTCTGGGCCACCGCGTCCCAAAACTAGAACAAAAGGGAAAAAATAAACATGCAGAACAACACCTCTGATTTAAAAATTATATTTCTGTTGTTGTGTGAAGGGGGAATTGAGCATGATTTTATCTTGAACCTTAATTAATTTATTTTATTTTTTGATTTGATTAGAGTAAAAAAATGGTAGAATAATTTTAAAAACTTTTGACCCGTTCACTGACACCAAAGATTTTTCCAAATTACACAACACTTATGTTACGAGATGCGGCCACTCTTTCGACTGGCCAAACGCAGCTGCAATTAAATTAGAATAAAAAATCCATTTTCAACTAACTTAAAGTAAAATGAACTTACTTATTTGTTCTCAGATACAAGAATATATTGTATACGCAACGCAACATCTTACATCAAGCTATTTCTAATAAGATTATAATCAGAGTAGCCATGGTAAACAATTAAAACGTTCATGCTCAGTGATAATCTAGTTTGCACACCATCTCTCTTGGGACCCCTGCAATATACCTAATCCTTTGCCATGCTGTTGCCGTTTCTTCACATTCAATATTTGTTTTCGCTCATAAATAATATTATAAGATACCCCTAGGGTATTTGGTCAACCTAAGGTATAATTTTTGTAGTGACCGAGAAGAATAAATAATAATAGTATATAGTTAGTCCAATATCCCAACATATTTGACAGAGGCTTTAAGTAGCGATTTTTGCCAAAATAGTGTTTTTTTTTTTAATATCTATTATCTCGGCTTCTACTGAAGTAATTTTAAAAACCTTGAAGCCATTTGAAAGCTACTTCAATCGGCTTTACTTTGGATTGAAAAGTCAAGGTCACAGGTCAAAGTTCAAGTTCACTAAAATTTTGATGAACTTTTAAAAACGCTACAAAATAGTGAAGAAACGAAAATATGGAAAATAATTTCAATTAAACTAAACGCCATTAAGTGCATTCTCTGCAGATTGCCGAGAGGCAGCAAGCATGCAGCCGTATTTGTGCGCCAAGCAAAGAATAGCGAGTAGAATTTGCTTTGCTAGGCAAAGGTCTGCTGATGAGGCTTCAATAGCCGAAAGAGCTCTCCAGCACAAATTATATACAGACAAATTGGTTTTGTTTTAAAGAACGTTAATTTTGGGCAATTTTTCACCCTCCATTAATATTTTTTACTGTATCGCATCAGGAATTTTCTTAATTTTTTTTTATGTGTCTCAAATATCTCGTGTCTAGGAAAGATATTCCACATAAAGGCGATTATATATAACTGTCTTAAGGTACTAATTTAATTATTTACGGTTTTATTATTGAAATGCTAAGTCTAATTTTGCTAAATATTGTCAACACAATAAAGCAAATATGTTTCAGCAGTTGAGAACTCATCACAGTAAATGCATTTCTATATGATCAGGGTCGATTCTGAAATCCACCCTCCACCCCTATCCCCCGAGGTGGGTTTTTGGGTTAATTTAAAAATAAAGGGCAAAACGTTTGGGTTTTATGTCTTTTCCCTATGTTTTCGATACTCAGGAACATGAATTTGGAGTCTAGTTTTTCTTATATTTCAAGTTCATTTATAATAGCAGTTGAATGCAGCAAGTTTTTAGCTTCTTGACTTTTGCAAATTCCAAACAAACTCGCTGCATTCAACTGCGATTACAAATAAAGCTATCGACTTAAAACAATGACTTCAGATTCCAGCTTCTGAAGGTTGAAAACATATGGAAAGACATGAAAAACACAAATATTGAGCACTTTTAAAATTAACCTCAGAGGCCTTACCCCCAGCTAGACCTCAATAAAGGGCAAAAAACCGCGTTTTTTAACTTTCCCTGTGAATATCTGATTTTAAAAATATATTTCCTCTTCTTCACTCAGCTGCAAATAGGTGAGTTACAACAGTGTTTTTGCATCTGTAACATCACAACTGAATAAGTAATGAAAGAGATGCAATAATATTTTAATAATTTGTTTGAAGAAAATGAGGAGATGATTATAATTTAAAGTGAAGAACTCAGGCTTTTTCCTCAATGTAAAAAGTTCTTTACTTCAATAACAATAATAAATAACATTAAATAATTATAATAATAAACCTTGGAGCTAGGTTGGAATCCAAAACCTGGAGAGCAATCAAAAAATCACCCCTAACCAAGAGACGTAATTTCCCATACATCCGTGTGGTGGTTTATGTGTGTGTTTCAGCCGCCCTTTTTTCAATTAGAATCCCGGTTAATTAGATAAAATTCGATGTATGAGATAAAGAAAAAAAGTAAGAGATTACTGTCATTACTGGCTTCTAATCTTTTGCATTATTATGTTCAGATATAAAAATCTTATGAAATGTGAATCAAATTACGCTAATTAAATGAAAAATGTGTCAAAATAAAACCTAATGTATTATGTAAGCCTTGGGAACATTGCTTATTTTATTCAAAATTTCCTGGACCTTCTCCTCCCTAATTTAGTTTCAAGTTCCAAGTGACGTTGATTCAATGTTGACTCGTCAGCGCGATTATGTTTGAGGAAAGTTGGATGGATGCAAATACTATCTGCTAGCCAGTGTTATTTTGCAATCCCGGATTTCAGCAGAATCTGATAGTTTGGTTTCACTTCCCAGCCCCGGGCAAGGGATAAAAGAGTAAAAAAATCCAATCCAATTAATTTTTTTCTTTTTGCCAGATGAATTTTATTTAGTCATTATATTTTTTTAAACTTTCTTTTATTTTTAAATTTAGTCCCAATGTATTGTAACAAAAATAGACAACAACTTTAAAAATGGGGAAAAGAGCTAACTTAGCAATGAATTATCTTCAAAAACTTAAGTGGTCTATATTTGCATACTTTTTATTCTAAATGGAAGCCTCAGTAATGTCTGATTTTTATCACCATATTATGCAAGTTAACACAATAATTGTATTAAATTGCAGAATAAATTACAAATTTACACATCTAAGAATTATTCTTAGATGTGTAAATTTGATGAACTTATAGATAAAACGGTCTGTGTCTGCGACTCTATTTCTATTTCATGTGCCAAAACAGAGTCTCGTCTTCCTGTGCCTTTTTTTAGTGGCGCAGAAGGCTCCACTCAATTTTTCCAAATTTAATATTATTTTATTTATTTATTTCAATTTTTTATGTAGGAAGTTTTAGCAAAATTCTTCCTAGATGTGCGGTGCGGTTTTTTCCAACAAGTCCTTAATTTCTTATTAAATGGATGTTTTTCACAAATTTAATGTTAACAGTGTGGACAAATAAACAACCATAATACAAAAATAATTTATTAGGCATTGTTAATTTCAAACCAAAACCCTGTGACTTGCATGTCACCTGTTTCGATTCGTTTGGAGCCGCGGTATAATTTGTTTGAAGCTAATTTGAAGCGTTTTGTCCATGTTCACAAATTTTATGTCAGAGAGGAGTTTTTCCAGTATATGAACTCAATGTCATATTGTTTTTTCTCTCCAGTTTTCTTCTTTTGTACTAAGTTGCAAATGGGGCGCGTCGCAGGGAGTAATAACATCGTGGCGACGTCTCATAAGTCAATAATAATAATAAATAGCTTTTAAATAATTTTTAAACTGTAATTGTTGCATTTCAATTGAACGCAATCAACAACCATATTGTAGTGATGGAGGAAAAATAGCTTTATTTTTATGAACAATTAATCGATCAAAACAAAAAAATAGCATGTGGCGTGTTTTGTTTCCTAATGTTTGCCACCACCCACCCTATGGCGCAACGAAGCGCAGGTGATTTGGCGGCCTCACACAAAAGTAGCCGCATTCCATTCTCTGCATGACCAGCAGGTGTGGCGTCGTCAAATATCAAACATGAAAATCGTCTGATTCTTTCAAGAATGGTTAGTTTTCAATTTATAGAATATTCAGGTTTAGGAAAATTATTAAAAATAAAATATTTAATTGTTTCTTAGGGATTCCTCGCACTGCTGAAGAAGTTCCGATCCTCACAGGAAAAGGAGCTGCGGATTTTGCTTTTGGGGCTTGACAACGCGGGCAAGACGACCCTCCTGAAGAAATTTGCATCCGAAGACGTGACCCACATCACGCCCACGCAGGGCTTCAACATTAAGTCTGTGCAGGCCGAAGGCTACAAACTGAACGTTTGGGACATTGGCGGACAGAGGAAAATTAGACCCTATTGGCGAAACTACTTTGAAAACACAGACGTGCTTGTAAGTGTAAAACTTCTTTAGCTTTCTTAAATTTTAGTTGGGTGAATTCAAATTACAACGACGACAAATTATTGAGATGTAAAAACAAACATAATCTTTGATTATTAAAAAAGTCACACGTGCGTACGCAAAAAAGAATTTCTGGATGTAAATTTTCATTAAATGATTGAATTTTTTTTATTAATTATATATTTGCATTGGAAATCTTAACGGTAATATTAGGCGCGACGTGTTTTTTCATATAGATTGGTAGCGTTTATGCACCCTCTGCGTCCGACCGGGCAGTGCAGATCTTCGATATCTATACTGATACACGTCAATAGCCTCTCAGTAAAAGGAGGAGTGCGTGACATTGTTTTATATCGAAATAAAATTTTAATAGAATATTCAATAAAAAAATCAATTAAGTGCGATTCTTTCTGTTCTCACACCCCATGCCCAAATTTGAAGTTAGCCGATTGAGATTTTCACAGCATAACAACCATGACTTAGAAGCAACACCCCTAAATTTTTATGAAAAAATTTCCAAAATTGCGGGTTTTATGGGACATTTTGAAAAAATTAAAAAACCTAATTTTCTCGCGTTCTATTGATCGTAGAAAAAAAATCTGGGTATGGTTGAATTTGTTTTGACGATTTCTACAACTTTGCTGTTGAATAAAAAGTTGTAGGTCAAAGTTCAAGGTCATTTTTCATAACCTCAAATTTTCAAACTCCAATTTGAAAATGAGCCGCACGTTTTAAAATATTTCCCTGATCATTTTAGGTAAAAAGTGATGATGACCAAAGTTGATGCTCACGTCAAGCCAAATCGAATGGTGTATATATTGATGGCCTTTGGTGACCCTCTGGTCAAAGGTCACCTAGGTCGGTGACCTGAGGTCACCTGACCTAGATGTGTGATACGTATTTAAAAAGGTCTCGTTGAGAGGATAATGTTGGTCACCAATTTTTGGTCTGTACCTCAACCAGAAACCAATTAATTCAATGCACAATTTTTAACACAATTAATTGCAAAGTTATAATTAATCGGTTTTTGGTTGAGGTACAGACCAAAAATTGGTGACAAACATTATCCTCTTAACGAGACCTTTTTAAATACGTATCACATATCTCGGTCAGGTGACCTCAGGTCACCGACCTAGGTGACCTTTGACCAGAGGGTCACCAAAGGCCATCAATATATACACCATTCGATTTGGCTTGTCGTGAGCATCAACTTTGGTCATTATCACTTTTTACCTAAATTGGTCAGGGACGACGTTACAGGCGATGATAATGTTGACCCTGCCTGCGGAGGCACTAAAAACCACGTTTTTTAATATTCTTTTTTTATTTTTAAATTTAACAAAGAAAAATTTCACTCCAGTTTTGACATATTTTATGTAAAATTTCATGAGAAATCGAATGGCTATCTCAAAATTTTTATAAAACGTGCGGCTCATTTTTAAATTTGAGTTTGTAAATTTGAGGTCATGAAAAATTACCTTGAAATTTGACCTACAACTTTTTACTCAACAGCAAAGTTGTAGGAATTGTCAAGACAAATTCAACCATACCCGGATTTTTGTTCTACAATCAATAGAACGCGAGAAAACTAGGTTTTTTAATTTTTTCAAAATTTCTCATAAAACCCGCAATTTTAGAAATTATTTCATAAAAATTTAGGAGTGTTGCTTTTAAGTCATGGTTGTTATGCTGTGAAAATCTCAATCGGCTAAATTCAAATTTGGGCATGGGGTGTAAGAACAGAAAGAATCGCACTTAATTTAATAAAAATATTTTAAATCAATTTACCACAATATAAGCATAAGAGCACAGATTAGTTTGTTATGTCGTGTCACTCGATCTCCTGTAGAGTACCGTTTTTATATCTTAAAATTGTTTATGTTAACCCTTTTTGATCTGTAGTGAGAATTGAATTATTAATTTGAATCTTTTGGCATTTTAATAGTTGTTTTAAGTTTTAAGGTCCTATTGTGAATATTTTGTTGTCATTTTTAAGTGTTGTTCATTCGCATATACATTTTATAAATAAATTATGAAGTTTTTTTTCAATTTTTTATTCATTGTAATATTTTTTTCACAATTTTTTCTTGTCTTGTGCTATGTTGCGAATGAGGGCGCGTCTCAATGAGTCATTACACCTTGAAGCCTCAGAAGTCAATAGAGATCAATAAAAATTATAATAATAATCATAATGACTTCATTTTTTGCTTAGATTTACGTGATTGACAGTGCCGATTTACGTCGTCTAGACGAGACGGCGCATGAATTGTCTGAGCTACTGACAGAAGAAAAGTTGTCCGGGGTGCCGTTGCTCATCTATGCCAACAAACAAGACTTAGACTACGCGGCCTCAGCATCTAACATCGCTGAAGACCTGTCGCTGCACACCATCAAGGACAGGGCGTGGCAGATCCAGCCATGCTCAGCCACCTCCGGAGAGGGCGTCAAGGATGGCATGGAGTGGGTGTGCACAAACATCAACCAAAAGAAGAATTAATGAAATGAGCAAGATGAAATCCTATTTTGAGTTTTATGTGAAATTGTGTTGTTGCAAAATAAAAGTAAAAAAGTTTCCACCATAGAAGCAATAAAATAACGCAACCAGCACTTGGTGTTTTATTGAGCTCTTCAATTTGACCAACGAATGAATAAATTATTAATTTAAACTGTATTATGATGTAGAAATTTGACAAACAAATAACAACAATCAATTTGTAAATAATATTGTAATTATATTGTATTTATTAATTAATTTTTATTTCTGTAGCATACGCGGAACCGGAGGTTAGCTATTTTGACCATGCGCCGCATGGACAGTTTGCCCATGGGCAAGCGCTCGGCCTTTCAGGGGTGAGAAAATGCCTACCTTGAACTGCTGGCCGCTCTTCCTGCAGTCCAGAAGAAGCGAAGCACCGGTTTTCCTTCACTTTCTCGTCGAATTTACACATTTTCACTTGGGAATAAATAAAATGAGGTCCCCACAACTCCACGATGACATTTTCAGTCAAAATTCACCACCAAAAACATCTTAAATGCGACTTTCCTTGCTTAGCCGCGCACATGGAACAAACAACACTGATGAATTTATTTGTTTACCTCTAATCATCAAAAAATGATTGATGACTTTGGCTAATTCCACGCAAATGATTGGCCGGCCTCCTGACCTGGGCAATTCTAACATATTAACGGCGGGAAGTCATCGAAATAAATGCCGAGCAAATCACAACTCACAACGTCATATTTTTACGAAAATAGTTGTTTATTTTATTTCAAGTCGCAACATTTAGCATTTTTAGGAACATTTTATTTATCATGAAATTAAAGCAACCAAGAATAATAAATAAGTTTTAATCCATTTATATAAAAATTATTATGAATAAGCACAAAAATTTAGCAACAAGTCATAAATTTAATTAATCCCAAATAAATTATTACCTAATCTTTTTTTTATAAGTAACAGATTTAAAAAAGATAAATTTTTTAATTAAAAAATTAGCTTTTTTAAATTATTAAAATATTAGTTTTACACACAATCAATCTGAATTTAATCCACCGTAGAAAGTAAGAATAACTATGCACATTCCTCCCTGGCTTTTTGTTGCGAGGTGTTAAGTTACTGTTTCCAGTGTATTTTATTTTTCACTTCAGCCCAAAAAATAATCAAACAATTCAAACAATTCTACTTTTTTATTAAGGAAAAGTAAAAAAAAATTTAACTCGATCCTTAGCTTGTACTTTAATATGAATATGACGCTAAATTCATTGAAATTTTTTTTTAAATGTTTTGCAAAAGGCGTGTGTTTTGTTTTGCGGGTGGTGTGCTATTAGCGATTCATCCACGTGCACTTGCAGCCAAAGAGACTAAGGCATCTCGAGGGGCGCGCGGAAATTGTGTGGGCTCGGATTCAGATAAGATTAGACCAAAATTTATTGCATTAGACACATTCTTTTTTAATAGATAAATTGTTTTCAACTTATTATCTCTTTATTCGATATACAGAAATGAATACACAGGAGAAAAACTATACATAAAAGGTACAGAAAAAGCTGAAAATACATTTGGAAAGAGACACATACTGTTAATAAGGGGGTGAATGGAGAAATACCTTTTCGGTAGCAAACAACTTGATAAAGCACAGCACCCTCTCCTTCAAAAGAGAGCGTTCCGGCCGCTAGAGGGTAGAGGGTGGGATATATTGCTACACACTAAAATTTTGCTGCAAGTACTGAGCCTTGCAAAGAGGTGGAAGCTGTGCCGCGGTACTACCATTCCCTGCGGGTGACAAGTCATATACCAGGGTCGGTATGAGTGAGCTTACTTATTCGTAACTTTGTTATCGGCTGCTGCAGCCGCTGACTATCACCACGAAGCTGGCTGCATTCCCGTATTAATGCGTGCTTTCGCGTCCTTTTCGGTAGCCACATATTTAAAAAAAAAATTCAAATCGGTATATCTCAGCTGCATATCTACGGGCATGACTTTTTGTTCTTTCACTTACGCAAGTGAGCTTGACCTTTTACAAACAAATCCGTGTCAACAAATTTATTTTTATTTAAAATCCAGTGACAACAAAACTCATAAATAAATAAATCAAATAAAATATAATATAATTAAAATACCAGTGACAGCAACTCACTTAACAACAGAGTACGGCGGCATTGCATACCTTGTAGGAGGTTGCGTCATTTCTATACCTTGTTTTTTTTAATATGCGTCCGGCGTCGTCCAAGGCAGTGTGTTGCCCAGGTCTTTAATGTGTATGTAGCTGATCCGATCAACTCTCGTCCAGTACGCCAACAACGCCATCATCTCATCATATGGCGGGAAATTTAGACGATCGCCGACTCTGTTCTGCTGCAGGACGACCTGGATGCTGTCAATGACACCATCATCAAGTACAGCAACGTGGAGCGCATCTTTAGCGTGCACATTAAGTAGAGACCTGCAATGAAATACGCATACAAAAATCGCGCGTAGTAAGGCAGCCAATGTTCTCTCCTTTGCGGTCCGCAATCCGCAACCTGCACGGCTGCACCGCATACCAAACAATTGGTCAAGCCGAGATTCAGTGAGTTGTTCACTAGGACTGTGTGCCTATTTTTCTCCCAACCAATTTTTCACAATTGATTGTTCTGACTTGTTTGGAGAAAAACAAATAATTGGAAATTGAAATTAATCTTCTCTCTCTTGTCCAAAGAATGATACACATTACATTTTTTACCATGTCAAATAGGGCCATAACTGCCAAACGCTTTTTTCTAAATCCACTTACTACTTGAATTTGTTATTTTTTGCATGTTAAGAATATGCGACTCTTTCATACTTTTTTTCGGTTTACGGCTCCACTTCGGCGAGTAGATAGCAGGTTATATTTGGAAACACTTTTGCTTCCAATTTGGGCCTATACATGAGGTTTAGTAAGTTGCTGGCTGCCAATTCTCTCGCATTGTGACTTTTCCATTTCTTTTTGCGAGAGAATAAATGAATTGGTGTTTTCAATTGTTTCTTTTTCTTACAATTTTGCCGATTTTTTTTATTTTTCTTGCTATTGAAATAGGGTCGCAGACCGTGACCGAAACTGGTAGAGCCATTTGTTTTTGAATAAAAAACAATTTTTCTGCAACGTAGAAAAGCCCGAGCTCTTCATTTCCAGGACAATGATTATTTTAATTTAAAAGCAAATAAAATGTATCTCTTGTTCATGGTTCATTTTGTTTTAACTCATCAAAGAGCTCACAATATTTAAGTTACAATGCTCTTGGCAGAATAAATTGCTTGGTCTGCCTAGCAACTAAATAATCGCAACTCGCGCAAGTAACACGCCCTGAGGCCGCAGGTGCAAGGTTGGGTGCGAGTGACCGACCGACCGTCAAGTTGAAGCGGAGGGGGGGAGCAAAAACCAGGGAGGGCCTGCCACCGGCCGGGAGAACCGAGGTATATATTAGAGAGGGACAAATTAAAAACGTCACACTCTCAAGCCATCATGGGCAGCACACAAAACATACACAGGTACGTGAAAACTCCATGTCGGCACCGAGCCAACAGACGAAAATTATCATTATCCGCTGTCATATTTGATGAATTTCATCAAAAAATCCGTAAAGGATGGAAAACTATGCACACCTTTTTCCGGCACACTGTATTTATTCATACAGTAATGTCACTTTTTTATACAAAATATTTTTTGCGATGAAATGTTTTCTATGAATGGAGAATTTTATCAGTGTGAATACAGTAAAATAAATCCTATTCGATAAAATTTTTTCCCAAACAAGTCAGAACGATAAATTGCTGATGTTTATCAAAATCAAGCCTACATAGGAAAACTTTTGTAGCAGTTAAAACTTAAATTTGATTTCGTGTCTTTTGAATAAATTGAATATGCGTCCGTAACGGTTTTCAGTGATATACAGCGTGTTTGTTATTTTGTTAAGCGCCTCAAGAAAGAACATTAGTCTCTGAATTCTGGAAGTACCGCTAGATGCGTAAGTTCAAGGAGCATAAACAGTTGAGAACAGTCACGATTTTGTACGGTCCCGTATCCAGTTGATCTTTGCAGCGCACTCCCATTTAAAAAATAAAAATAAAATCAACGTTATTTTCAGAATAAAAAGAACTTGCATGCAGTTTTTTTTATTGTTATTATTTATTCTTCTCGGTCAATACAAAAAATTTTAAATTGGAAAAAAGAGAAGAAAGGGTTTACAACTAGCAGATGTCTGCTAAAACGCCCGACATCAAAAGAGACACGGCCGCCGTGGTAAACCCACACTATCGGAAAAAAAAGAACGATATCACAAACACTTTAAAATCTTAACTCTTGCATTACTGCCACAAATGCTCCTTGCAGAGGGAGGGAAAATTGCTTGAGGGGCAGTTTTTAAGGGCAGGTGGCAGGTCGTTCCAAGGCTTGACTATCCTGAAGGAGAAAGCGCCGCGGCCGAACTTGTTGTTGGCCAAGGGTGGCTGGAGGCGGGGGTCCTGTATTTAGCTAATATATAAATGATGATCAAAATATTCAAAATTCATAATTACATACGTTGAGGGGAATCTCTCAACAACTTAAAAAGGGCTTATAGTAAACTTATGTATAAGTTAAAAATTTTCAAACTCTTGAAAAAATTATCATACTGAAACTTACTTAGAATTTGGTTTGTAAAAGAAGAACTTAAAATTTATAGAAATCAGTTTAAAGATGAAAGACAAAAATTTAAAAAACTTCTTAGAAACTTTAATAATTGTTCATATATATCAATATACTAAGATAAAATATTATTTGTCATTGAACTGCTGGGCACAAATATTTATGTATGGTTTTTATGCATACATTTTAAAATTTTAGATAATTTCTTTTGCCTACTCTAGCCTAATTGATATACAAAAAAATGTTAGTTGAAAGCAGCCATTGGTAGCTCACCACGATGACTGCTTATTTTGGCTAACGATTTTGTTATGCAACTACTCTTTAATTTGCTTCTGTTTTTACAAACTGCCTTGGGTACTTGCCTATGCTTATTATTTTTTTTATAACCCTAAATAGCACGCGTTATAAAAGAAGGATGTCGTTTTTTCTATAAAAACAACAAACCATATAGAGGATAAGCCAATAAATTCTAAATTCTAACACTGGCTCAAAATGAGAGCCATTTCTGATTCAATTCAATTTCATTTACTTTTACTTTTCATTTACAGTGAATGTAACGTACACGTCATGTAATGTGCAGATTGAACAAAGTTGCAACAAGTTAATAGTAACATCACAGACAACGAGTGCGTGCGCACAAATATGGGAGGATATGAGCTGTGGAATTTGCGGTTTTTCAGGCATTAAAGTATAACTTCTGAAATATTTAAAAGGCTATCCATAATTTTCTCGACTGGCATTTACTTATTTTAGAAACTTCATTTTATAATCTCCAAATTGGGTCGTGACCCACCACCTACTTGGTTGCTGTTTTCATCCAGAACGGAAAAATGCGCAGAATCAGGTTAGAAATTATCAGACCCAAAATAATATGTACAAAAGGACAAAACAAAACAGCACAACAACGCGTGAGCCACCGTTTCATATTTAAATTGACCAGCGCTTCCGGTGCTATTCACACACACACAGAAAACGAAACAGGACGTCGGATCAAAATATTATAAATAATGTTCATGTTGCTGAATTGAAACTTAGCTTTTTGTTTTTCCTCATGGGTCGTTTGTTCATTCGTAGACAAAGCAATATCCTGCTCCACATTTTTTGGCAGCGAGCTACTGCCATGCAAAAATTCATAAGCTTTCTTGCCAGCAGGTAGAGAAACGACAAAAATATTTTTTTACTTTTGTTATTTAGTCAACAAATTGTTAAATCACATTGCTTAAAATTGGCTCGCAATTATACATTTTTGGTAGAGCTTTATTTTTCTTCACCATTGTTAACACAGACAATCAGTGGGATGGCTGCCGAGGAGCTGCTTTGGCAAGCAGATTTTCCTGATGACGACCTTGACCTGTTTGCTGTCATTGGGTCTTGGCTCGGCGCTCGGCGCCGCTGCCGTCTACAAGCGTATCGCTACCAGAGCCATCAGCGACACGTCTGCAGGTTTAAGCCGTTAAGACGTTAGCGCAGTCCAAAAACTTAATGACCTTATTGTTAAAGTTTCAAGTTCACTGCCCAGAAAAACTGCAATTGCGAACGAGGAGTCACAGACTAATGCACCTGAAGGCCAACTCTGCCTCACACCAGGATGCGTTCATTCTGGTAGGCTAATTATTTTAATCTTACAATTAAAGTGCGTGTGAATAAATTATACAAATCTTGACAACTTTTTTAAATTTTCAAATGAAAAGGAGATTTTTTTAATATTCATTAATCACACAAAATAAAAAAGATAAATAACACAAAAAAACGATTAAAATATTTGCCGAAGTCGTTTTTTTAATAATAATTAAAAAAAATGATTAAATTTCAACAAGGAAAAAGCATGTGTTCTTTACTGCCACACACAAATTAAGGAACTTCAAGAAAATATAAGTTTAAATATAAAATTACACATTATTCTAATTTGGTTATCACAATACTTTCAGCGGCGAGTGTTTTAAAAAACATGAAGCTGGAGGTGAACCCTTGCGACGACTTTTACGACTTTGCGTGTGGTGCCTTTGTGCGCGACACGCTGATTCCCGATGACAAAACTTCGGTGAACGGTTTTAATGTTATCCACGAAAAACTGCAGGAGCAGCTGCGAGTGACCATTGAGGCGCCTGTAACCGAAGACGAGCCAAAGCCTTCCCGCATGGTCAAGCACCTTTACAAGGCCTGCATGAACAAAAGTTTGTACTATGCTTCTTAAATTGAACTAAAATATTTTAACATGAGAGCTTCAGGTTTGATTGAGGAGAGAGGAATCACGCCGGCCAAGGAGTTGTTGAAGAAGCTGGGCGGGTGGCCGGTGCTCGAGGGTGACGATTGGGACGCCGGATCCTTCTCCTGGCTCCAGAGCGTCTACAAGTTCAAGGAGCACGGTTTCAGCGTTGATTATTTCATTGATTTTTCAGTCGCCACCGATTTGAAGAACTCCACCAAGAGGATTATTGACGTGAGTAATATAATTCTTAGAAAATATTCGAAGAAAAAATATTTTTAAATTTTAAGTGTACCATAATTATTAATTAAACCGTTATTTCCATTTAGTTGGATCAAGGTTCTCTTGGACTGAGCAGGGAATATTTTATCAAAGGCATCGAGGACAAAGTGGTGTCCGCCTATTACTCATATATGGTAGACTTAGCCGTTTTGTTTGGTGCTGACAAAAATAGGGCCCAATCCGAGCTCAAGGAGTCCCTTATTTTTGAAATGACCCTTGCAAACGTAAGTGATATTTTTGCTTTGAATAGTAGTATCATAATTTTCGTGAACATCAAGATTTCGCTGCCGAATGAGAAAAGACGCAACGCCACCAAGCTTTACAATCCAAGGTCAATTGAAGAACTGCAGAAGGAGTACCCGTCCATCCCTTGGATGGAGTATTTTAACAAAATCCTGCCTCCATCTGTTCAAGTAAAAACAGACGAAGTGGTAGTCATAAACGTTCCTTCATACGTCGCAGAGCTCGAAAAATTGGTCAGCAACACACCAAAAAGGTTATTATTTTCGTTTATTATTGAATTGAAAAATAAAAGATGATCCGCGTTTTGAGTATAAAACATTAAATGCGTAAAAATTAACGAATCAATTTCCCATCAAATAAGGTCAAAATCTTGGTATAATGTTTATTATGCTTAAGCCGTTCTTCATTATTTGAATTTTCATCAAAGAATACAATTGCTAAAAAAATTGAACAGCAGCCCTCTTTAAACAAATATTTCTACAGGGTTCAGGCGAATTATGTTCTGTGGAGAGCCGCCGCCGCACTTGTGTCATATCTAACTGAGGAGGTACGTAAGAGGCAGCTCAAATACTATACCACCTTGTCTGGCAAAACAGAGCGTGAGCCTAGGTGGAAGGAGTGCATTGACATGGTTACTGGAAGGTATTATTCTTGATCAGAGTATATAAAAATATAATAAAAATGACATTCAGTCTGAGTATTGCCGTTGGATCCCAATATGTGAAGAGGTACTTCAAGGAGGAGGCTAAGAAAAACTCACAGGATATGGTCGAAGACATCAGGGCAGAGTTCATCAAAATTTTGAAAACCATTGATTGGATGGACGATGAGACGAGGTCAAAAATTAAAGCACATTAAATTTGATGAGTTTTGAATAAAAGTTTCGGTTTTAAGGGTGAACGCTTTGGAGAAGGCGGCAGCTATGGCAACACACATTGCTTATCCAGATGAATTGCTTGATGATAGCAAAATTATTGAATTTTATGACAAGGTAAATATTACTAAGAAAATTACGGAAAATTATACATATGGGAAAATGAACTTTTTAAATACTTATTGCACTATCATTAGATTAGATTAGATCAAAATTTATTGCATTAGACATATATAGTACATCTCCAAAACTAAATTAAAACTAAAAATAACGCCATTCTGATATTTTCAATTCTCAAATGTGGAGGTGGGATACATTTTGGATACATTTTATTCTATACCACGGAAAAATTGAGTTTAGTTTCTTTGAGAAAAATAGTCTAAAAAACTAAAAACTGACCTTGATCTAGGTATTTTTTGTCTGCAAAAATTTTTCGGAATAAAAAATTAGGTCAAAATCGCATTGCTCTAGTCTACTTAGAAATAAGATAAAATAAAAATGTCTAAATACCACACATCGAAAAAAAACGTATCTTTTTAATTTTGAATGAAAATAACTTTTAAACTAAAAATAACGGCATTGCAAATTTTTCTGGCCAGATATAGAATTTCTGGGCAAAATTTTTTTTTCATTTTCAAAAAAACAATAATAAGTACGCTTTTTTTTAGAACAATGGCCTTGAAAACACAAAATGCATTTTTATGAATTTGACTTTAGACCTACAACATTTTAATTAGCAACAAAGTGTCAGATAAAACATTTCATATTATAATTGAAATTTCATTACTCGAAAAAAAATAAAAGCAAAGATATAAAAATTTTTTAGATTAAAAAAAAAAGAATATTTCAAATAGTAATCAAACTTTTCGTATCAAAATTTGGATAAAGGTCAAAGTAGTTTCTCATGCACCCTACAAATATATGTTAAAATCAGATTGTAGCAAAAATTGTGCTCGTTGCAAAAAAATCTGTCCATTCAATTAAATAATTTGTGAACGGTCACAATATTGAACTTTTTATCCTCAGTTAGAGGTGAGTCCTCATTTGTATCTGGAGAGCGTCCTAAACATGACCATGTTTGGCACCGAGTTCTCATTCTCGCGACTGCGAAAGCCTGTCAACAAGACTGACTGGATCACCCATGGAAGACCCGCGGTAGTCAACGCATATTACAGTTCCATCGAAAACAGTATTCGTAAATTTTTCATCCTAAAATTTTAAGTACTGGTTAAAAAAGAAGTTTTTATAGAATTCCCAGCGGGCATTCTCCAGGGCGTCTTCTTCTCAAACGACAGACCTAGGTACATGAATTACGGTGCAATCGGTTTTGTCATCGGCCATGAAATTACGCATGGCTTTGACGACCAGGGTAGACAATTTGACAAGGAGGGCAACCTGGTAGACTGGTGGAAGACCTCCACCAAGGAACAGTACCTCAAGAGAGCCCAGTGCATCATCGAGCAGTACGGAAACTACTCAGTACCCGAAGTGGGCCTGAAGGTAAAAAACAAAAATACGTTTAAAAAGTTAGTACAAAATGATAGCATAATTGATTGATTGATCATTGCGCTAGCACAAAAAGATCACAACGGAATTTTAATTAAATAAGCAAACAAATTGAAAAAAATTAAATAAAAATTGAAATGCGGATGGGGAACTTTCGTTAAGACATTATTATATTTGAACATTATGCAATGTCTAAAAAGTATAGAGCTATATAGTGGCAAAATTATTGATTTGTTTATTTAGTGGAGATCGATCGACATTAAAAAAAATTCCAATTTTTTAGGGTCAGGCCACCCTTACTTGTAGCATAAATGAAACATTACAGATTACACATTTGTTGATTTGTTTGAAGAAGTTGACACTCAAGGAGATCATGGAAATGAAGAAATCATGCTTTTCCTCGTCGAAGAAATGGTTTTTATTTAAAAAAAAAATGGCTCAATTATAATTTATAAATTTTTTACAACGAGGAAAAGACCGGTTTGTTCATTTCCATGATTACATATTTATTAACAATTATAAGATTATTAAGTGTAATGTGTAATATCTCTCTATAAGGCAATTAAAGAGATGCAATAATAATATTAAAAAATTATGCAAATTTACAAAACATAAGTAATTTAAAGGATAAATTCTTTAACAATAAAATCATTACTGGAATTAAAAAATTAATAATAATTTATTACTTGTAATAAATCAATTCCAAAAGAATTTTAATTTCAATATCAATATCTCATATGTCTTCTAATATTTTTTTTCCCAGCTGAATGGAGTAAATACTCAGGGCGAAAACATCGCCGACAACGGTGGCGTTAAAGAGGCTTATTACGCCTACAACTCTTGGGTGGAGCGGAACGGTGAGGAAGGCCTATTGCCCGGTCTGAACTTCACCCAAAAGCAGATGTTTTGGATTAGCGCGGCTAACGTGTGGTGCAGTAAATACCGACCTGAGACCATAAAGTTGCGAATCCTCACTGGGTTCCACTCGCCGGGACAGTTCAGAGTCAATGGTCCGCTTTCTAATTTGCCCGAGTTCGCCAGGGACTTCAACTGCCCCCTCGGTTCGAAAATGAACCCCGAGCACAAATGCTCTGTCTGGTGATCACCAGATTCTAGCACAAATTATACTTTTTACCCATGAAAAATTAAATTAATCTTAATTATCAATATTCATCTTTCTTTTAATTATTATTGTTCTTTCATCTCTTATGTCACCTTTACTGTATTTAGTTGCAAAAAATTATATTTATTTGTTTTAAAAATCTTACTACTTGTTGGTGTGTATAATTTATTATTGATTTTTATAGTTTCATAATATCATGGCCATTTTATTCGATTTTCATTTGAATCATGATTATGTGTTTATTTTTCACTTTTATCAAATTTTACATCAAAATTTTAAATATTAGCATTGAAAACATAAATAAAATGTCAAACTTGTGCATTGAGTTTCCATCTGAAATGTTGGCCTTGACGAGAAAGTTTTTGACCTTTTCGAAAGTCCCATTGTTTGGTTGTGCCGGAATTTGCAACAAATTGCAATAGATCTGATAGATATCTACCAAGTCAATTGGGGGTACCATAATACCCATTTTTTTAAACCCTGCAAATTGCCAAGATATTACGCATGATTGACTGTAATTACATGATTATAATTAGCAATCCTACCTGGGCCAATACCAAAGAAGATGGTTCTCATATCCGGCATGGAAGGGAGATAGCCGTGCAAACCTCGCATGGAAGTTTCTTTCCACGTCTCAGGCACCTGGAAGTCGTCAAGCGCTCCTTTGATTGTGTACCCTTAAAAATACGAGGCAAAAACATAACATTCTATAGTAGTTGTGTGATGTAAAATAACTAGAGGCAATCATATTATATTAACACAAGAATTCCCTGCCAGCTGCGTTGAAAAGTTTTTCGGTTCCCCAGCTCAAAATTGCCTGTAAAGAATATACGACTCTTTGATAATTCCCCCCCCCCCCCCCCCCATTTTACGGCTCCAACTCAGCAAAGGTTTTAACTTGGAAACACGCATGCTTTCAATATTAAATGCTGGCTGCAAATTATTTCATTAATTAATTTGATTTTCTCCAAATAAAACCTTTTTGACCTGTTGTGAGATAATAAATGAAATGAATATCTTCAACAAGTGCTATTAATTTCGAGTTATTCATACACTTAAGAAAATGCTTTAAGGATTTAATGAAACTATAAAATAAAGTAATAATAATAAAATGAATGGCCTTATAGAGTACAAACCTGGCTTTGCTACAACAAGGATGTCAGGGCAGTCTTGGCTTTTGGAATAATTAAAACTCTTGGGAATTTCCTCCTTCAAATAAACTGAGATCGATTTAGTAGCTTTCTTCAGAGTCTCATAAGTGTTCGTGGGCGAATGCCCTTCTTTCAAGTAAACCAAAGCCAACGCTCCTTGGTCCATCACGTGGAGGATGTCGTCTTTTGGCAAATTTTCATACAAATTGATGAACCTATATGTATGTGTATAATATAATATGTGTATGATGCATAGTATAATATATACGAAGTGTGGCTGGTCATCCCATGGTCAGACACTATTACAATGTTGGTTTTGTCCTTCAAATTTTTTATTTCGAGCGCGTTAAAAAATTCTTGAAGTGCTTTTCCCACGTCAAGTAACCCTTGTTGAACTTCATAGGATTCAGGGCCTTTGGAGTGACCCATGTTATCAATGTGCTCTCCATAAGCCTTCAAAAATAATATAATTAAAATAAATTTTTTTTTTTAAAAGTTAATAATTAATTACCATAACTAAATCAAACCCTTCATCTAAATAGGAAACAACTTTATTCAACGTTTTCTCAATCGCTTGGACGCCTCTAGCCACAAAATAACCTTGATTTTTCTCTGGTAAAACGCCATGCACAGGAACATCACTCCGAGACCACAAAATCGTTGCAACTCGCAGGCCATTTTTTGTAGCAGTGGTCCAAATTGGCTCTGCCTTGCTCCACCAGAACGTCTCATTGTTGGCACCTTCCAGCAAGAACTGTTTGTTGTGGTCTCGGCTGAAGAAGTAGTTGCCCAGAATACCGTGGCTCTCAGGGTACAGCCCTTAATTAACTTATTCCAGCAACAAAAAGAATAATATAAATCAGTATTAACCTGTACTCAGGGTTGTCCAACTTGGGTAGGAGAGCGTGGGGAAGACTCCGTTCACCCATTCGGCGCGGACTCCCTTGGTCAAAAACTCATTGAACCCTCCTGGGTTATTGACAACTTTGTCCAAGTAGTTGTAACGGAAGCTTAATATCAGAGTATATAAATATAGACATGGATAAGAATAAAATTGATGTAATATTTAATATTGATTGTAATTTTTTTTCCAAATTATTTGAGAATTCAATATGTATTCTATTTTGTTAAGCACTGCTACAAAGTAACAAACACTTTTAAAATAAGTTAGAGTACATAACATTATTGAAACGATAAAGCTCGTTCAGGTCATAAAATTGATGTTCTATACAAAATACTTTAATTGAACACGCAAATAAACTTTCTTCTGATAAGGTTTCTTTAAGGATATGTGAAAACTCTGAAGAAACATATTAAACGAAATTAATGATTAACAAAAATTAGAATTTTTTTTTGTTAGTTTGTCAAATTTAACTCACCCATCCAACATCAAAACCACGAGTGGATTTTTGTTATGTTTAGCCGAGATTACTGTGACCAGATACTGCGATAAGACGCCAAGTAGCATCATAATACCAAAAACAAGCCTCATTGTGAAAGGGCTAGAGTGTGCAATTTGTGACATATGCAGAGAGCAACTGCTCGGCTGATTAGGATGGCTAATTCAAAGTCTATTATTCTGCTCACACACAAAAGTGTAGCGGGGAAGGGGGAGGCGATATCACATAAGTATTAATATACATATATGTCAAAGGGGACTAACAAGACCAACGTTCATCCGGGTAAAATTTTAATTGGCACTGTGCACGTGATGTATTTGTGCAAATGCAAATACATAATATAATACGTGTGTTTCCAGAATAAATTTATCCAAATTTTGCACGAAAATTTCGGCAAATTTCGGAAAGTGATGAGCCCATTGCTAATTTTGTATTTGTAAAATTTAACTTTAAATTGTTATTGTTTAATCTTCAAAAATCAGGTCAGTAAAAAAAATTACAAAATTTCAAGAAATGGCAACACCTCTGGCAAACAGGTTGTTAAAACGCGGAGCCCCCTCTATTACTTTCCTGTAACTTCGACTTTATTATCTCTTCTTCAAAGTTTTCATTAAAGATTCTAATTCTAAGCTATTTTCTTTCCAGCAAAAATGACTTAATCCAGTCTAAGGCTTTACCATTAACACCAAAAACATTTGCAGTTTGCTAAACAATCTCTCAGGCACTAGTGATCCAAATGCGTTTGTTAAATCATTCAAAATTATATTAATCTTCTCTCTCTTGTCCAAAGAGTCATACACATTTTTAACCATATATGTCAAATGGGGCCGTAACTGTTGAACGCTTTTTTTCCATGCTGCTGGACAGGCAAAAAGTAACCGAACCACATTTAAATATTAAACCGTCAATTAAACATTATTAAAATAATACAAATTGGACTAGAAACAGAAATGTGTATTTCACAATAAATACAAATAAACCGACCACAATTAACCTGCTATTCATTTCAACAAAAGGAATCAAGATTTTTCATTGTGTGTGAAACCCTTGGTAGGCTCGCTGCGTTTACAAGCCTGTAAAAGGGAGGGGCCTTAATGTGTCCGAAATAATTGTGTCCGAAAGTATTTTCTGGAATTTGTCCAAAAACTTTCGTCCGAAAATTTGATCCAAAGTTTAAAAAATAATGGGGGAGATTCAATAGACTTAGCTCTCCCGGGATAAAAGATATCCCGAGATATATCCAAAGGGATAAAATTTAGACCAGTGTCCCCGGTTAAATATTTTTTGTCCCGCCTTCAATTTTTTCTCCCCAAGTCATTGGGGGATATCTTTTCTTAGCCCCCTCTACGGATAAATATTTAACCCGCGCTAAAATCAAATCAGCTGGTAAATAAAAGGTCGTCAACATGCTCGCAAACTTTTTAGATTTTGGCCAATTGCAATTTGAGCAATTTGAGGTGCTCATTTGAAGTGCTCATCTGAGCAGCTGATATGAGGTGCTCATTTGAGGTGCTCATTAGAGGAGCTCATTTGAGGTGCTCATATGTGCAACTAAAATGAGGTGCTCATATGTGCACCTGATATGAGGTACGTGTTCGAATGAGGTGCTCATTTGAGCAGCTCATATGTGCTCATATGAGGTGCTCATATGAGGTGCTCATATTTGCACCTGATTTGAGGTGCTCATATGTGCACCTGATATGAGGTGCTCATTTAAGGTGCTCATATGTGCACCTGATATGAGGTGCTCATTTGAGGTGCACATATGTGCTCATATGAGGTGCTCATATGTGCTCATATGAGGTGCTCATATTTGCACCTGATTTGAGGTGCTCATATGTGCACCTGATATGAGGTGCTCATTTGAGGTGCACATATGTGCTCATATGAGGTGCTCATATGTGGTCATATGAGGTGCACATATTTGCACCTGATATGAGGTGTTCGAATGTAATGCTCATTTGAGCTGCTCATATGTGCACCTGATATGAGTAGCTCATTTGAGGCACCATGCCCTGATAGACGAACCACTGAAAAACAGTTAAAATAGACCGACAGTGGACGACTAAAAAATCTGTAAAAATATTACGATCATCTTTGTAAAATATTGGTCTAAAGATAATTGAACCTAGATTTTGAAATAATTTAAGGATTACAAAATAAATTGTCGTTCATTTGGCGAAAAGCCACAGCACCATGCCCTTATAGACGAACCACTAAAAAACAGTTAAAATAGACCGACATTGGACGACTAAAAAATCTGTAAAAATATTACGATCATCTTTGTAAAATTTTGGTCTAAAGATAATTGAACCTAGATTTTGAAAATATTTATGGATTACAAAATAAATTGTCGTTCATTTGGCGAAAAGCCACAGCACCATGCCCTTATAGACGAACCACTAAAAAACAGTTATATTAGACCGACATTGGACGACTAAAAAATCTGTAAAAATATTACGATCATCTTTGTAAAATTTTGGTCTAAAGATAATTGAACCTAGATTTTGAAATAATTTAAGGATTACAAAATAAATTGTCGTTCATTTGGCGAAAAGCCACAGCACCTTGCCCTTATAGACGAACCATTAAAAAACAGTTAAAATAGACCTACAGTGGACGACTAAAAAATCTGTAAAAATATTACGATCATCTTTGTAAAATTTTGGTCTAAAGATAATTGAACCTAGATTTTGAAATAATTTAAGGATTACAAAATAAATTGTCGTTCATTTGGCGAAAAGCCTCAGCACCTTGCCCTTATAGACGAACCACTGAAAAACAGTTAAAATAGACCTACAGTGGACGACTAAAAAATCTGTAAAAATATTACGATCATCTTTGTAAAATTTTGGTCTAAAGATAATTGAACCTAGATTTTGAAAATATTTATGGATTACAAAATAAATTGTCGTTCATTTGGCGAAAAGCCACAGCACCATGCCCTTATAGACGAACCACTAAAAAACAGTTATATTAGACCGACATTGGACGACTAAAAAATCTGTAAAAATATTACGATCATTTTTGTAAAATATTGGTCTAAAGATAATTGAACCTAGATTTTGAAATAATTTCAGGATTACAAAATAAATTGTCGTTCATTTGGCGAAAAGCCACAGCACCTTGCCCTTATAGACGAACCATTAAAAAACAGTTAAAATAGACCTACAGTGGACGACTAAAAAATCTGTAAAAATATTACGATCATCTTTGTAAAATTTTGGTTTATAGATAGTTGAACCTAGATTTTGAAATAATTTATGGATTACAAAATAAATTGTCGTTCATTTGGCGAAAAGCCACAGCACCATGCCCTTATAAACGAACCACTAAAAAACAGTTAAAATAGACCTACAGTGGACGACTAAAAAATCTGTAAAAATACTACGATCATCTTTGTAAAATTTCGGTTTATAGATAGTTGAACCTAGATTTTGAAATAATTTATGGAATACAAAATAAATTGTCGTTCATTTGGCGAAAAGCCACAGCACCATGCCCTTATAGACGAACCACTAAAAAACAGTTAAAATTGACCTACAGTGGACGACTAAAAAATCTGTAAAAATATTACGATCATCTTTGTAAAATATTGGTCTAAAGATAATTGAACCTAGATTTTGAAATAATTTATGGATTACAAAATAAATTGTCGTTCACTTGGCGAAAAGCCACAGCACCATGCCCTTATAGACGAACCACTAAAAAACAGTTAAAATAGACCTACAGTGGACGACTAAAAAATCTGTAAAAATATTACGATCATCTTTGTAAAATTTTGGTCTAAAGATAATTGAACCTAGATTTTAAATAATTTCAGGATTACAAAATAAATTGTCGTTCATTTGGCGAAAAGCCACAGCACCATGCCCTTATAAACGAACCACTAAAAAACAGTTAAAATAGACCTACAGTGGACGACTAAAAAATCTGTAAAAATATTACGATCATCTTTGTAAAATTTTGGTTTATAGATAGTTGAACCTAGATTTTGAAATAATTTATGGAATACAAAATAAATTGTCGTTCATTTGGCGAAAAGCCACAGCACCATGCCCTTATAGACGAACCACTAAAAAACAGTTATGTTAGACCGACATTGGACGACTAAAAAATCTGTAAAAATATTACGATCATCTTTGTAAAATATTGGTCTAAAGATAATTGAACCTAGATTTTGAAATAATTTAAGGATTACAAAATAAATTGTCGTTCATTTGGCGAAAAGCCACAGCACCTTGCCCTTATAGACGAACCACTGAAAAACAGTTAAAATAGACCTACAGTGGACGACTAAAAAATCTGTAAAAATATTACGATCATCTTTGTAAAATTTTGGTCTAAAGATAATTGAACCTAGATTTTGAAATAATTTCAGGATTACAAAATAAATTGTCGTTCATTTGGCGAAAAGCCACAGCACCATGCCCTTATAAACGAACCACTAAAAAACAGTTAAAATAGACCTACAGTGGACGACTAAAAAATCTGTAAAAATATTACGATCATCTTTGTAAAATATTGGTCTAAAGATAATTGAACCTAGATTTTGAAATAATTTAAGGATTACAAAATAAATTGTCGTTCATCTGGCGAAAAGCCACAGCACCATGCCCTTATAGACAAACCACTAAAAAACAGTTAAAATAGACCTACAGTGGACGACTAAAAAATCTGTAAAAATATTACGATCATCTTTGTAAAATTTTGGTTTATAGATAGTTGAACCTAGATTTTGAAATAATTTATGGAATACAAAATAAATTGTCGTTCATTTGGCGAAAAGCCACAGCACCATGCCCTTATAGACGAACCACTAAAAAACAGTTATATTAGACCGACATTGGACGACTAAAAAATCTGTAAAAATATTACGATCATCTTTGTAAAATATTGGTCTAAAGATAATTGAACCTAGATTTTGAAATAATTTAAGGATTACAAAATAAATTGTCGTTCATTTGGCGAAAAGCCACAGCACCATGCCCTTATAGACGAACCACTGAAAAACAGTTAAAATAGACCGACAGTGGACGACTAAAAAATCTGTAAAAATATTACGATCATCTTTGTAAAATATTGGTCTAAAGATAATTGTACCTAGATTTTGAAATAATTTCAGGATTACAAAATAAATTGTCGTTCATTTGGCGAAAAGCCACAGCACCATGCCCTTATAGACGAACCACTAAAAAACAGTTAAAATAGACCTACAGTGGACGACTAAAAAATCTGTAAAAATATTACGATCATCTTTGTAAAATTTTGGTCTAAAGATAATTGAACCTAGATTTGGAAATAATTTAAGGATTACAAAATAAATAGTCGTTCATTTGGCGAAAAGCCACAGCACCATGCCCTTATAGACGAACCACTAAAAAACAGTTATATTAGACCGACATTGGACGACTAAAAAATCTGTAAAAATATTACGATCATCTTTGTAAAATATTGGTCTAAAGATAATTGAACCTAGATTTTGAAATAATTTAAGGATTACAAAATAAATTGTCGTTCATTTGGCGAAAAGCCACAGCACCATGCCCTTATAGACGAACCACTAAAAAACAGTTAAAATAGACCTACAGTGGACGACTAAAAAATCTGTAAAAATATTACGATCATCTTTGTAAAATATTGGTCTAAAGATAATTGAACCTAGATTTTGAAATAATTTCAGGATTACAAAATAAATTGTCGTTCATTTGGCGAAAAGCCACAGCACCATGCCCTTATAGACGAACCACTAAAAAACAGTTATATTAGACCGACATTGGACGACTAAAAAATCTGTAAAAATATTACGATCATTTTTGTAAAATATTGGTCTAAAGATAAATGAACCTAGATTTTGAAATAATTTAAGGATTACAAAATAAATTGTCGTTCATTTGGCGAAAAGCCACAGCACCATGCCCTTATAGACGAACCACTAAAAAACAGTTAAAATAGACCTACAGTGGACGACTAAAAAATCTGTAAAAATATTACGATCATCTTTGTAAAATTTTGGTCTAAAGATAATTGAACCTAGATTTGGAAATAATTTAAGGATTACAAAATAAATAGTCGTTCATTTGGCGAAAAGCCACAGCACCATGCCCTTATAGACGAACCACTAAAAAACAGTTATATTAGACCGACATTGGACGACTAAAAAATCTGTAAAAATATTACGATCATCTTTGTAAAATATTGGTCTAAAGATAATTGAACCTAGATTTTGAAATAATTTAAGGATTACAAAATAAATTGTCGTTCATTTGGCGAAAAGCCACAGCACCATGCCCTTATAGACGAACCACTAAAAAACAGTTAAAATAGACCTACAGTGGACGACTAAAAAATCTGTAAAAATATTACGATCATCTTTGTAAAATATTGGTCTAAAGATAATTGAACCTAGATTTTGAAATAATTTCAGGATTACAAAATAAATTGTCGTTCATTTGGCGAAAAGCCACAGCACCATGCCCTTATAGACGAACCACTAAAAAACAGTTATATTAGACCGACATTGGACGACTAAAAAATCTGTAAAAATATTACGATCATTTTTGTAAAATATTGGTCTAAAGATAAATGAACCTAGATTTTGAAATAATTTAAGGATTACAAAATAAATTGTCGTTCATTTGGCGAAAAGCCACAGCACCATGCCCTTATAGACGAACCACTAAAAAACAGTTAAAATAGACCTACAGTGGACGACTAAAAAATCTGTAAAAATATTACGATCATCTTTGTAAAATTTTGGTCTAAAGATAATTGAACCTAGATTTGGAAATAATTTAAGGATTACAAAATAAATAGTCGTTCATTTGGCGAAAAGCCACAGCACCATGCCCTTATAGACGAACCACTAAAAAACAGTTATATTAGACCGACATTGGACGACTAAAAAATCTGTAAAAATATTACGATCATTTTTGTAAAATATTGGTCTAAAGATAATTGAACCTAGATTTTGAAATAATTTAAGGATTACAAAATAAATTGTCGTTCATTTGGCGAAAAGCCACAGCACCATGCCCTTATAGACGAACCACTAAAAAACAGTTAAAATAGACCTACAGTGGACGACTAAAAGAAGATGATACCCACCTGGATACAACTTTTGGACTTAGAATATTTTCATATGGTGGGCTATTATTTTATTATTAGGCAGGGCCGCGCGCGCCTGTATTGTACACAGGGCGGCAGCGGTGCGAGCGCGAGAGAGAGGCGCGCATACATCTTTTATACTTGTAATATTTTGGCTGGCTGTGTGTATTTTATTTTAACGCGGGCCGGCAGCGGTGCGAGAAAGAGTCGATCTCGTGAACTTAGAATATTTCTTTTCGTTGAAATTTTATTTTATAGCTGGTGTGGACTTAGCGTGCGCAGCAGAAGAGAGTGTGTATTTTATTTGTACAGCGAGCGAGGTGCACTTGGTGTGTGCTGGAGAGAGAGTGGCGAGCAGCAGCAGGCAGAATCGATTGACTGCGCCGCGGGAGACTTAATTTATTTTTCCTTCTCTCGCTGGCGGTGCAGTCGTGCGGTCGCGAGTTGAAATTCTAATAGGTGGACTTAGAAAATTTCGTGCAGCGGACGCAGCAGAAGAGAGTGTGTATTTTATTAATACAGCGAGCGAGGCGCGCTTGGTGCGTGCTGGCGAGAGAGTGGCGAGCAGCAGCGGGCGGATTGACTGCGCCGCGGAAGACTAATTTATTTTTCCTTCTCTCGCTGGCGCGGCAGTCGTGCGGTCGCGAGTCAAACATAATGGCTGGACTTTCGTGCGTCGGACTCTCTTCAATGAATATGGTTCTCTCGAGAGCCAAATTGTTTCACGCAACAGCCGTTTATAATTTTAGTCGCGTGTAATGAGAATAATGATATTTGTGTTTTATTTTTATGTAGCGATACCATTTTTTTATTTTATTAAGGACACGCATTTTTTAATATATGAACTTTGAGATTTTGGTGCGAACTCGAGGGTGTGTGTTGTAAGTCGAGGTTTACGGAGTGTACTAAAAAATTTAAAATTTTTATTTTATTAAATATTATTTAATAATATAATTTAAAAATATATTATATTCATTGCGCCGGCGCATTGGTACTATTCTGCGATTCGTTAACCCTGGATGGGGGGAGTTAATGGGGGTGTACGTAGTGGGGCGTAGGGTATAAGAGAGGGTCAAGCAAAGGGTCGGCATCATTCTTGGCTGCTCGAGAAGATCGTCCGTCCTTAAAAAAAATCAAAATGGAACCCTTGACCCCTCCGATCTCCCCTGCTCGTCCTGCTCAGAATAATGTAAGTTGTTTGCGATGAAACTTAGAAATATTCAAAAAAATATTAAATGTCTTATTCTTTTCATATAGGTGGATGAGGTGAAGGTGAAGGTGGAGCCTGTTGAAGAAATGGCTGAAGAGCCATCCAAACCGAGCAAGTTGGATGAAGCAATGGAAGAAGATTTCCAGCAGAGTTCGAGAGCTTTGGACTTTTCAATGATTAGCTCGATCAGCGGCTATAATAGTCAGGAACATAGTCTTGCTGTGAGTTATTGAGAAATTATTATTAAAAAGTTCAATATTTTAATAAACTGTTTTCTTTTTTCAGTCTGCTGACACAGTCTATAATGGTAGCAGCAGCAGCAGCAGCAGGGGGAGTAGCAGTGGTGATGAGAGCAGCTCGATGGATATTAAGGTTTGTTTGAAATGAACCAAAATTTCTGAACGAATTTTAAAATTTGTTACATCTTGTCTGCCTAGAATGATGATTTACCTGACGATCCTCACAATCTGCGCATTCTGCACACCTTTGTTGAACTTGACCTGCTGCCGAGGGAAGTTACTGGGATTCAAGAGACTGCTGCCATGTCGCTGGTGGACTTGGAGAAGTTGGTCACTTTCAAGGAGAAGTTTTTCAACCTCGGAGACGAGAAGACCCATGCTGGCCACTTGTACGACGTGGAGAATTGTTTCTTTCGTCAGGGGTTGCCTGCTTTGTACGAAACCACATATTGTGTTCCTGGTTCCGTTGATTTTCATATGGGATTTCTGATTTTGTACAATAAGAAAAATCACAATTTTGAGCTCAAGTTTTATCTACGTGTCGGAGAGCGCCAGATCATTGTTACCGAGTTTCAAGACTTTTACAGAATGTTATTCAGCACTGATCTTGCCACTCTAGAGAAAGATTACGGAGAATTTATTTTGTTTGAGAACATTGTTGGTAAAGTTAAGCGAGATGCTCACAATTGTGACTGGCTAATTCTGTACCAAGTTTGGGATAATTATCATCACCGACTTGGAGTTGACAACGAACCTTTTAGAATTGTAATGAGCGAAAGGCAGCATACCAGACTCCAGAAAACTATGATTACAGAAATGCACGTGTCGCATTTATACATGAAAAAACTCACTGCTTCTGCAAACATTTGTATGTCCACTGCCATTGGGCTTGCCTACAACGGCTTAAAGATGAAATGTAAGGGTTGTCGCCAAAACAACCCGTACGATCACATTTGTCGTACCTTTGAATTTTCCAGAACTGTTCACAATGCTCTTGGTAATGAGCTCGAGAGACTTGTTGTGGAGGACAAGGACCACTTTCAATGTGAAATCTACGGAAGACTCTTGAAATTGGTCAAATCCGAGTACTCTCTGAGAGACATTCTTTCTGAAATGCTGGTTAATGACAATGGACTAGCACTTGGTGGAAATATGATTGGAGGTAGAATTCCTGGGTGGGTTTCTGAGTTCAAAGCTCCCTCGAGTGAGTACATCAGAGCCAAGTACAGAATTGTTGATTACGATATGATTGATGGTGCAGATGATGATGATGATATGGACTTGTAAAACTTTGGCCGCTGAATCAGAAAATATGTCTTGATGGTTTATTTTTAAGTTTTATTTTTACGATTTTCTGAACTTTGTATCACATTTGAAATAATATAAAAATAAACTGTATAAATAGACTTGAAAACTCGTTTGTTTCATTCAGTTTCAAACATGGTGATACCTTGGAAGCATCCATTTTGCTGCACACTAGCAGGTTAGAATTAAATATAGCTTTTATGGAAATAGCATCAAAGTTAAATTAATTTTTATGTAGGGCCGACTTCATGCGGCAAGACGAGATTTATTACTGACTTTTTGAGCAACTTGGATAGAATGGTTGACACAGCGATAACAGAAATTATTTGGTGCTACGGTGTCTCACAAAAGTTTCACTCCGAGTTGGTCAACATGTTCAGCGTTCCATTCAAGTTGTACGAGGGAATGCCAGCCCTGGACGAGATCAGCAGCATCAACTCAGGACCGAAGATTGTGGTTTTGGATGACCTTCAGAGCTCGACAGACAAAAATATGGAAAACTTCTTTACTTATGGTTCTCATCATAGGTCGCTGAGTATTTTTAGAACGACTCAAAATATTTTCTACAGGGGTAAAGGCCAGAGGGACATAACATTAAACTCGCATTATGTGACGCTGTTTTTGAACCCCAGAGAAAGATCTCAAATTTCGAGTTTTGCACGTCAGGTTGATCCGCAGAATACGGCGTTTGTGATGGAAAGTTACAGAGATGCCACTTCCACACCTCACTCTTACTTACTATTTGATTTTACGCAGGATATTGACAATGATTTGAGATTGAGAACTAAGATATTTCCCGGGGAAGAGAACATTATTTATGTGGCCAAGAAGAAAAATGGGTATAAATAGAAGTCGAGTTCTAAAATTATCATTAGCAATCATGAGTCAAAGATTGAAAGAACAAAAACTTGTGTTGAAGAAGCTTGTAAAATGCTGTGCCAAGGAGAGGCGCAAAATTTTACACGATTCTGGAGATGAGACTATCAAGTGCATCTGCGAATGTGCACTGAACGTATTAAAAAGAAACGTTCCTCTCACGGACGATCAGTTTAAGAAATTACGCAGACACAAGCAGACCTTAAGGTTTTTGGCAGACAGGCGGGTAGCAGTTAAAACAAAAAGAAAAAAGATCAAGCAGGCGGGTGGATTTTTGCTTCCCCTTTTGATTCCAATTATTACTTCGGTTATTTCAGCTCTTGCAAAATGATGCATACCACAAAGATGGTGCTGGTTCCGCAGGAAATCGCAAGAGCGTTGAGCGAAGATATTCCTCAAGCTCCTGCTCCTGTTGGTTCATATTCAGCAATGGACGAGGAGATGAGAAAAATATTAAGTGACAAAAGTTTAGATTCACTTTCCAAATGGCGCAAATACGAGAGTGTTTTGCAAAGATACATGACCAAAGCAGAGCGAACGAAAAATTCTTTATTCATGCAAGAATCAGATTCAGAGGATGACGATAAGGGTAAAGATGGAGCCGCTGCTCCTCAACCACCACCAGCCAAGAGGGCTAAAGGAGCCCCAAAAAAAGACAAAGCCGCTCAAAATAAAGCTAACGCGGCTCCGAAAAAACGAGCAGCAGTGGCAGCTACCAAAAAAACAGCGAAAGCTGTAGGGAAACGATCCGTCGCTGCACCACCGGCTGCAAATTCCTCAGCGGCTGCGACTCCAAATTCAAGTGCAGCAATGAACCACGAGGTAGAACAGTTTGTGAAAATTGGTGATCCTTCTCAAAGGAAAAAGGCTGAAGATTTATATGATATTCTGACCAATGCAAAGAGTGTGTCCTGGACAGCTTCAGGGCACATGAGTATAAATGGGAAGGTGAGTGGAAGAGTTGGCACACTCATCAAGTACACTGTCAACGGACAAAGAGGAAGACAGCCTGCTGGTTGGGAATCGTTCAGACCACTTCTCAAGAGTTTAAAAGTGCCAGCGAGAATAATTTCTTTCAGTACAGAAAAGGATTTGTCTGAAGATTTGCAAACGCCAGGTCGAGAAAGACGTACTCTTTTTGGGAAAAATAAATCTCACAATAATGCCAGCTGGCTCTACTATAAGTGACAAGGTCAAAAAGAAATTGAGTGAAATATATTTCAATATTTCGCATCCTGCAGGTTTTTCCAGCGTCAGAAAATTAGCCGAAGCAGCTGGTGTTCATTATAATGTTGCCAAGGAGTGGCTCTCTGGCGAAGAAGCATACACTGTTCATAGACCAATTAAACGTAACTTCAAGAAGAATAGATACATAATTCCCACTTTGGGTTGGTTGTATGAAGCTGATTTGGCTGAATTTCAACCGTTAGCAGATAAAAATGACAATTACAGATATCTTCTTTGTGTTATTGATGGTTTTTCTAAGATGGCCGCGGTGGAACCTTTGAAAAATAAAACTGGTCCAACCGTCAAGGAGGCACTCGAAAAGATTTTTGAAAGGTTAGGTCCTAGTGATGTACTAAGGACCGATCGAGGACTTGAATTTTTAAATTCTTCAGTAAAAAAATTCTTAGATGAAAATGGAGTTCAACACATTGTCACTGATAACACAGTTAAAGCGAGTCAAGTTGAGAGACTGATCAGAACATTAAAATCACGTCTTTATTCTTACTTTCGGCATTTTGGGAAAGAGAGATACGTGGATGTAATTCAAGATGTAGTTTCTGCGTACAATAATACAGTACATTCGGGTATAGGAAAAAAGCCAATTGAAGTAAACTCTAAAAATGCGCGTGAAGTTTGGAAATTTTTATATTCCGGAGCTGGCCGTTATCCTAAGCTAGAAGCCCCGCTTAAAATGCACAATAAAAAAGCCAAATTTAAGGTGGGAGACACAGTTAAAATATCAGAGGCAAAAATGCAATTTAGCAAAGGCTACCATCCTAATTGGACTTACGAATATTTTATTGTAGATAAAATAATTAAACGAAATCCGTTCTGCGTATACAAATTGAAAGATAGTGCCGGGGAAGAAATCACTGGTACCTTTCAGGATGAAGAACTCCAATTGGTTAATATTCATGAGGAAAAAGAATTTCACATTGATAAAATCATCAAGTCAAGGGGGAAAGGTGCCAGTAAGCAACTTTTCGTGTCTTGGAAAGGTTATCCATCAAAGTTTAACAGCTGGATCAGTGCAAAGGACGTAAGGGAGTTAGACAAGCAATAAAAAAATGGATCATTTTTTTTTAACTGTCAGCAGTAATTCAACTTGTGAATTCAAGGAGCAAAATAAACCATCAAGTTTCAGAGTGCACTTGGGGCAAGCAATTGAGTTGGTTGGCACTTGGGAGGTTGCTTTATTCGAGGTCAATTTTCCATCAACGTACCCAAATGTTAGGAATAGTCAATGCTTCATTGAAAGAGAACACAATCTTTTAAAAGCAACTTTACCTTGTGTTAGCGGTGCAGGTAAGGCAACCGTATGCAACGAGGACAATGTGCCAGTTAATAAAATTGGGGGCTACAAATATCATATTCCAGAAAATTATTATCACACGCAGGAGGAATTTTTTAATATCGTAAATGAAACATTGAGCACCACCGCAGAATTTTACGTTTCAGACGAAGGAAAAGTTGTGTTCACAAGTAACATGTTGGCTAGTACTGACACGGAAATTATAAATTATAAGTTTTCCGATCATCTGACTGATATTTTGGGATTCCAGAGAGGCGCAGAGATTGAGTTAGGCGAGAGCAAAATTTCCCACTTGAATTGTGATTTAAAAAAAGGACTACCTACATCATTGGTTTTCTGCACCGACATTGTAGCAGAGCAAAAGGTGAATAACTCTCATTTTAAAATCCTCCGCTCTGTCCACCTTAAACCTGAGAAATATAATTATGGTTATCAGCAGAACGAGCAGTTTAAAAGACTAGTTTTCGTTCCAGTCGTGAAAAAAAAATTAGATTTTCTGGAATTCTATATAAGAGATGAGTTTGGAGATTTGGTTTCATTTGCTCACGGAACTGTCAGACTAATGTTACTTTTCAGACGATCAGGAAATGGATACTGATCGGTACTATAATTATTACTATTCGCAATCTAGAGGTGTCGGTGCGGGTTTCAAATTACCTCGAACTCAAAAAGGGGCAGGTGTTGGAAGTTTTTTGGCTGGAATATTTAGGAGAATTTTTCCGTACGTGAAGAGTGGTGCGAAAGCCTTGGGAAACGAGATTTTAGACACTGGAGTTAACATCTTGAGGTCCAGTTTGAACAAGGAACCAATAAAGGAGAGCCTAGAAAAACATATTACTAACGCAGGCAAAAACTTGGGGGCAAAAGCAGCGACGGCAACCAAATCGATGCTCGGAATGGGGTATAAAAGAAAGCGTAGCTGTTCGACTGGCCAGTCTAAAGCTGCCAAGCGACGACGAACCAAACCAGCTGCCAAGAAGAAGCCGAAAAAACCAAAACAAGCTAAAAAAAAGCGCCGTAGAGATATTTTTGGATAAAAAAAAGATAGAAAAAAATGCCAGTTGAACCGCAAGAAGCTCTAATTTCAGAGCTTGACCTCTTTCAACCACCACTCGTTCAATCGTCAGCTGTTGCTGGTGATTGGATGACGTACAAACCTGTTCAAGCACTCTCGTCAACCGCACCAATTACATTTATCGTACCTTCAAATGGTGACTGCTATGTCGATATGAGTAAAACTCTGTTTTACTGCAGAGCGAAAATCATAAATGCTGCAGGCAATGCAGCCTACGGTGCTGGTGTTAATTACTCAGTTGTAAATAATTTACTAGGTTCACTTTTCAACGAAGTGAAGCTTGATCTCAATCAGACAACCGTTTCTCAAACTCATGGGATGTATATGTACAGGTCTTACTTGGAGACTCTGTTTTCTTTTAATGAAACTGCCAAAGATTCACACCTCACATCAAGCTTATTTTATCTTGACGAAGCTGGAAAATTTGAGGACGCAACTTCCACAGCTCTGATTAAACGTCAATCATTTGTGAGTGCAAGCAAAGAAGTGGATTTATTCGGACGATTGCATTGCGATGTTTTAAATAGCAGTAGATATCTACTTAACGAGATTGAAATGAAGTTTACGCTAACTAAGAACACGTCTAACCTTATTGTTTGGGAATCTACTCCAGCCGCAGGCGTTGCTGCTCTAACTCCTGAGGTTGTGATCACTGATGCGACCTTGTACATTAGAAAAGTGAACATAAATCCTTCTGTAATGCTTGCCCACGAAAAAATGCTGCACACCACACCAGCTTTGTATCCCTACAAACGGTGTCAGTTAATAAATTTTACCGTAGCCGCGGGAATTTATCAGAAAACTATTGAAAATATGTTTTCCTCGCGCGTACCCAGCAGGATTGTTTTAGGTTTTGTAAAAAATTCAGCTTTTTCAGGAGCACTGGATCAAAATTGTTTTAATTTTGAACATTTCAACGTAAGCCAGTTGACACTGACTGTCAACGGAAGAGTCGTCGGTTCGTCTCCTTTGAAGCCCAATTACGCTATCGACCAGAGTGTGATTCCATTTTTGTTCAGTTTTTACAATATGGGCAACTGCGGGCAGGATGACGGACACACCGTGGACCGCGAAACCTACCCTAAGGGGTTTTGTCTGTATGCCTTTGACCTTAGCGCTGACCTCTCTGCCAGCGAAAGTTATTGGTCTTCTCCTCAACAAGGAAACGTACGGCTGGAGGTTAACTTTGCTGTGGCTCTCCCTTGCGTGGTTAATATTATTGTCCACGCCGAGCATCAAGATTGTATGGAAATTGACAGAGATAGAAACATCCATTTGCAGTATTTAAAGTAGGGCAGTACAGATCAAATGTCAGTCGCAAACATGATCTGCTTCGTTGAGGTTCAAGGTTACTGCACAAAGGAGCTAGGGTTTCTTCCCAAAGAAGTTGCCTTAGTTGCTGATGATTTGAAAAAAAGTTATCTCATTAAACCACCAAAAGCCTTTAGGAACTTTACCAAAGAGGATCAAAAAACAATAAATTGGGCAACTTTCGGTTACTTCCACATTCCGTGGCCTCTTGGGAACACTGATTATGGTAGCTTCTTGAAAAGTATAAAAGAAGATGTCTCCCCATATTCTGTTATTCTTTCGAAAGGTCCCGAGAAAGTAAGATTCCTCTCTTCAATTCTGAACAGACCTGTACTTGATATCACTTTTTACGGCTGCCCTGCGATAAGAAAAATAAAGGAAGGAAAAACTAAACCTTGCTCTGCACATTTCAAAGAAGATTCGCATTGTGCTATTGCTAATGCAGAATATGGGCTTGAATGGGTGAATGGACACTCAAACATTAGAGAACTGCTTGAAAATACTAAACCTAAACGCTCCTAAGCAGCACACAGTCGGAGTTTTCGCCAGCGATAAAATTCCATCAAAGTTAAAGAAACCTGCTGCCATCATAATTCACTCTGAAATATCGAAAGTTACAACTTACGGTCACTGGACGGCAATTTTTCTTCCAACCAGAGGTTTACCTGTTTATTTTGACAGCTTTGGACTTCCGCCAGTGGTTGAAAACCACATTAAATTTTTGTCAAAGATCTCAAAATTTTACAATTATAATGCCACATGCTACCAGAGTCCCACAGCTCTCACATGTGGGAAGCACACTTTATTGTTTCTTGCGTCAAAAATGGGAATCATTCCAAACACATTTTTTGATACTATTACAAAATTGTCAAAAAATAACCTTGAGCTCAATGACAAAATTGTCGAGCACTGCTGCAATTGGCTGGTTGAAAATCTCGGAAAAAATGGGGGGAATAGTGGAGGGGATGATTCAGGGCTATAAAGCGGCGAGATTCAGAAGATCAGCTTCACACATCTGTGCCCGCCGTCACGCCAAAGTTGTCGTTTTGACTAAAAAAAATTGAAAATCCAGAGCCATGGCTGACATTAAAAAGGGTAAATATGATGCTAAGCTGGTCAAATTTGGGGTGGCCGCGACCCTTTTTGCTGCCAACAAGAGGAAGCAGCTGTATGTCCCCCGTGATCAAACTAAGAAAAATAACTACGTTGAAACAAGCGACAGAGTAAATCAAATTTATCGCTTCGTTTACCCAATAAACAAAAGTGGCACGAAGCAACTGGTGATTGGTGCCGACCCGAAACTTGACTTTCTTCCCACTATGTACATAAGACGGCCTGGTTTTCTGGGAGTTAAGTTGGGCCACGCTGCGAGCAGAATGTTTATGGATCAATTGGAATTAATAAATAACTACTTTGATTCCGACACTCCAGTTTGCCAAGACAAGAAAAAGATAATGTTGGGAGAAGTTGAAACTTTGGAGTTTGGTTCCTTTGGCAACGTCAAAGCCATTCACCTGACTTCAAGAGTTGAAGGCCAAGAGTACGAGCCAAAAATAACTTTGACCAACAGCACGATTGAGTTCATCAATGATTTGAAAGACCTAATCTGGTGGGTTCTCAATTCACTGGATTCGTATGCTGGTGAATTTAAATCAATGTTTGCGGCCTTCAAAAGTAAAATTGAGGAACCTGGATGCCTGCCCTCCACCGAGAAATTGGAAATTCTGCGTCACCTCGAGACAACTGACATCAGCTTTCAGCGGTCTGCCGAGAATCTCAACTTGGATTACTTGAGAGCCTTCATGGAGATTCGAAAATATTGTGAAGCTCATCTGACTGTTTAATAAAAAATTGTATGATATGTTTTAGAGTTAAAAAGAAAATAAAATTGTAAGTTTAAAATGATTTCTGAATAAAATTTATGCTTAACTTAAGAAAAAAAATAAAAGATAAAATTTTGAAAATATTACAAAAAAATGGAGAAATAATGTTATGTAAAAGAACCAATAAATAAATATGCTTGTGAGTGAGAAAAGAAATAATAATAATAAAATTATAATAATAATATTAATGGAACTGACTTCTTAATCAAATGTATGCAAATTTTTTAATTAAATGTAAGTTGATTTTAATTAATAAATCTATGACAATTTAATGAAATAAATAAATAAATAAAATATGCAAAATAAAAAAAACTTTATCAATGGTAAAATATTTCTCCCGCCTCTGCACAAGAGCATGTGGCGTTGCCGCCAATTTTTGAACAAAGAAATAGTAAGACTTCTTAGTGTTGACCAATCATAAGAGACCAGCTGATATCATACATATGTTGGATGACAACAGAATAAAGTCCAACTTTTTAAAATTATTTACATCATGAAAAATAAATAGTAAGAGGCAAGTTCAGCATTTATTAAAATAGAGATTTTAGTATGGAACAAGATGATGACAAAAAATCTTTAGAGAAAGTTACGAGAAACGGCAGGTTTTCGCTGATTTTTTATTCTCATGTTTTTTGTGTTGGTCAGCCTGCAAATATCTAGACTGATTTGTTATTATTTGTTTTGGAGATGATTTTGATCAATTTGGTTTTGGAAGTTTTTTTTTGTTATTTATGGAGTGAAAATTGTTGACAATGCCCATCGAGAGTATTTTTACAAAGAGCAGCAGATCAAAATGCAAAGTTTGTCTTCATTCGGATCTGATTCGTATGAGAAAAAGGTAAATTTTTTGCTTCGAAAAGTTCAATCCACTTCGACCACCAAATAGCACTATTTTTAATGGCCAATTGTGCACTTGAAATCAGCATATTAACATAATAAAAAGTGCATTTTAACAAAATATAAAGTGCATAATGTGATAATGAAAATCTATTTTGTATATTTTTTATTCTGTAATGTCAAACTTTTGAAGCAACAAAATTACATATTTTTAAATGGACATTTTAACCAAATTTTATTAACTTTTTTGTAATGATCTTATGTTTTTTGAAATTTAAAATTTTTTTAAACATATTGACAACTAAAATATTTTATTTAAGTAAAATAAACTTCAAATAAATACATTTTTATACATGATAATCTTTATTACAGACATTTCACATTTGAGCTATGCAGCATATTCATGGATGGACCACATATGAACATCGATTGATTCGTCGGGGATCACAGGTGGCCAGTTTTCCTTCAGTCCGTGTGGTGAGGAAAAATCAACTACGCCCTCCTCTCGGAACCTCTTGTCGTAATTCAACTTTATTTTCTTGGAGGTGTCGGACGAGACAAGCTGGAATCCGAGGGTCCGCTCTATTTTTTTGTAAATGTTAATTTCCACTTCTTCCAGTTCACCGTGAATGAGTCGACGGAGAGTGGCCAAGCTTGTTTGCTCCAAACAATTGTGCCGCAGTGTGATGCCCTTGATTTTGCGAATAGCATCCTTGGATCCATCGGTGTTTTGGAGCGCGAGGCCGTAGTTTTTGGGTGCGACAGCAAGGTATTCACTTATTACTTGATTTGGCACTTCGTTTGTCAGTTGACCTAAGCCATTTCCCGTCTTGAAAATTGGCTCTCCTTTTTTCTGAACTACAATGACGGAATCTTAAATTTTTTTTCAACAAATTAGTATATAATTTATCAATTAAAAAACAATTTATAACTCACCAGTGTCAGTATACAACACTCTGTGTCCACCCAAATCCAATAGTCGGTAAAGCAAAATTCGAGCTTGAGCAGTAGTGAAAGCTGCAACTACTACATTAATTCCTTTTGGTTGTGAGGCCTCGTCCTTATAAGTGGCTATCATTTTCTCGCCAAGGTTCGTTAGAAGACTTTGAACCTCGACATTCGGTGACGACAGCAGCCGCAAAAGCTCACTCCTCTCGTCGAGGATCGCAGTTTTCGTCATGTCCGTCCTCATGGCAAATCGTCCCCTAAAGATAAATATGATTTTAAAAATTGAAAAATGGAAATAATTTAAATATTTTACCAGAGAGAATTAAGAATTAACTTGGCAATGTACCGCATCACTTCATTTCGCTCAATTTTGTTGGGATCTAGTCTTATGCCCTCTATTTGCCAAAATTCTTCTACATAGGCGTCTTTTTCCTCTTGAGTCATGTTTTCCCTTGGCCACCCTGAAGCCTCCTTCACATAAATAAAGAAAAATTTTAGTTAAAAAAGTTTTAATATAAAAAATTTTGTTAGAATTACCGCTTTGATTTTAAGGAAGCAGTTGACAAACTCTCCGAAAAGCCCATTCGAACCAAAGCCGTCCGGTCCAGTCATGTACTGAATTATTTCAGAATAGTCCCAGATCTCAAAAATTCTCCTGATCTTGTATTGATATTTGAGAGCCAACAGAATTTCGTAGCTCACCCACGTGCCAGTGAGTTTCCTCTGCTCTTCATTGTGCGGACAGTATTTAAACTTTTTCAGTCTGGCGCAAAGTGAGCACAAGTGGAAAAGCAATTTGCCATCCACTTTTTCGGGCAGCACAGGGTGATGGAGGTTTCCGGGCGGGTCCATTTCACAGTAGACTAGTCCGTTGACATCCTTTATGTCAGGAAAATCTTTGGTGTAAACCTTTGGATGACCAATTGGATATTTGCCATACTTGTTTACAAAACTGTACATTGAGGTGAAGTCCAAGTATTGAATTTCCTCATCTTCTCGGGGCAGACATTGAAGCCTAAACGCACTGCAGTGGCCACCAAAAAGTGCATTTCGCGCCCTCAAATATCCCATTTCAACGATGGGATCTGTGCACAATTTCAAGTACGTCTCAGCCTCGGATTTCATTTTTTCCTTCCACTTGCACTCGTACATTTCCACCACAGTATAACCTTGGTCTCGTAAGAACTTGGTTCGGGCGTAGGTTTTTGAACGAACCTCAATTCCTGTTCCGCGCGGTGATGAAGTTGCGTTCGGGAAACAGTCGACGCAACAATGGAACCAGCATCCTGCAACAAACAAATGCAATATGGTTAGCAAAAAAAACATCAATTTTTAGTTAAAAAATCAACAAAAGAAAAAATGAAAAAATGAATTGAATTTAAAAAACAATTATTAAAAAAAGTGAGAATTTAAATAAACTTCAAATTTTTCTAATTATAATTCTAAAATAAATTATGATTTTTTTTTAAAAATTAATTTTTTTAACTTGCAAAATTCAGATATTTTTTTTTAAAAGTAAGTAAAAAATTTTTACATAAAATATTAACTAACCATGGAATTGATAAATTGTTCCTGTATCAGGATCAAAACCGTCCACTGGTGCTCCTCCAATGACCTTTTCCTTTCCATTCCCAGCGTGTTGTAAATTCTTGATGCCCATAAATTTCTCCACATAGGTCAAATATTTTTGTCCTTCCTTACTTTGCGAGCCACGATACGAATCATTTTTTGGTAAAATCCCAATTGCTCCATTCAAGTAGTGATTTCTCTTGTATATCTCGTGTGTGAGTGAGGCCATAGTCAAGCTTTCCAAAAACGGCTCAATTCTGAACAGCCGAATCATTTCCCTGAATTTTAGTGCAGCAATTCTCAAAATGCGCACATCGTTTTTGCAATAGTGCTTAATATTTTCGCGAAAGTTCCAAGTTGAGCCACTTTCAGCGAGTTCTTTGTTGGTCTCCTCGTACCACTTTAAAAATTCTTCCCTCGCACCAGTTGTCATACAATCGGGACCGAACGTTTCAGCTGGAGGCAAGCGCCCCTCGTCGTAATTATAATATTCGGGCTTATTAGCATAGTGCGGGAAATGGCCTTTGACAACATTCTCAATTTTGAAAGCTTTTGGCAAGTCGGCCAGTTTAGCAGGCGTGAAGTTGACCATGTCAAGCCATTTCAAAGACACTCCACTTTCTTTATTTTTTATCCGCATTTGCAAAATTCGCAGTCCACTCATTATTATGTCCTTGACAATCCAATTTTCATCGTTCATCACATGGGAAAGGACAAGATGATTGTCAAACGACGCTGCGTTGAATTGCAGCACAATACCCTGGTGTCGGTTAAATGATTTTCTAGATTTACATTTATCATTCATGTAGTTGAGAAATTCACCCACAACACTTTTGTCAGGTTGATCAAAGTTGTCGAATGACTTTTCTCTTTTCCCGCACCAGTAACAATTATCTTCTCCTTCGTGATCGTCCAAACAGTTCACACAGCGATTTGAGACGTGCACTAAATTGGCCATGTGCTTGTACTTCACTTTATCATTGACACTAATTGTTTGGTCTTGACGAGTCTCAAAATCTGAGAAAAAGTAGATTACATTTTTGCCCAGTTTCATCAATTCCTCCTCCGAAACGTCGACGCTCTTGATCGAGCAATAATGTGGAATTTCCTTGTATTCCTTGCAGGAGGAGCAAAAGGTAGTTCCACAAACGTGTGCCATTCCGTTCAATTTTTTCATTTCGTAAACATTTCCACAATTTTGACAAGCCTTTTTTTCTTCACAAACGTTGTTTTTCAAATGGCCATCGAAGCACTTTTTATTGTAAAACTTGAAATTACAGTGAAAGCATGTAACTTCCCATCTTGCTGTATCACCAATCATGTCATTCGGAGATTGATATTTGCAGAAATCATTACACTTGAAACACTTGCTGCCTTTACATTCCCTGTGGAATAGGTTGTCCACAGGCTTCTCACAGAAGTCGCAAAAATGCTTTTTATCAAAGAAAGCTTTCGCCGAGAGAAGAGCGTGAAAGTGCTTCTCTTTGTCCATGTACAGAAATATTTTTTTTCTGTTTTCATCACCGTCAACATAATCGCTTCCGAATATTCTTGACTCCAAAGTGACACCAGCGAAGGCGATTATTTTATACTCTCTGCCAAATATTTCCTGGATTTTTTGCAGGTTTCTGTGCCCTGACCCATTTTTAAAAGGAAGCCCAACGTCTCTAATAAGTTCAAAAACCTTTTGAGTGAAAGCTTTTGAATTTTGTGCTTTTGCTTGTCTCCACTCATTAGATTCACCTTTTTCATTTGCGGCCACTCTATCGGCATGTATTTTTCCCACAAGAGCAGCAAAATACACACAAGAATCTTTGCAAGAGCCAAGTTCAATGAGATCACTTTTTGTCAAAAGCTTGTCTAGCTTATTATTCTGGTCATTTTTTGCAGGAATGGAACTTGATTTTGCTGAAATGTCCAAATTCCCTAAAAATCTGCGCCCACGGGCTCCCAAGTCATTGACAATAACAGCAATAATTTTGAAACTGTCGTCAATTGTGAACTCATCTCTGGACTGTGAAATTCCGCTGATCGAATTGAAAATCAAATTTGGCTCGAATTGGTTTTTTCGCATGAGCGGAATACCTGCCTCCTTTGGCTGGGCGCGAGTTGAAAGAGTTATTCCGATCCATGAATCGTCCGAAACATCTTTAATGATGTGCAAAATTACATCTCGAATTGCTAGAATGTCCCCCATTGGTGCATCTCGAGCACTTTCGGAAACTTTAAATTGAGCAATAGTGGTCAGAGTTTCAAATTTTTCATCTTTTGCGTCCGATCTAGCAGTTATTTCAAAATATTCTCCTTTTTCAGGATTGTCTAATTCATCGAGCTGCTCCAACCTTGCCTTTTTGGTCTGCTCTCTTACTTTTGCGCGAACACGCTGACGCTCCTCGACATCCCTTGCCTGTTCGTTCTCTGCTGAAGAATCTCTTGGCTGGACAGTTTGCTGAGATGCTGCTGCTGCTGTGTCTGGGGGTGCTGGGGGTGGTGCTGCTTGCCGAGTGTCCACCGATGCTGAATCGTTTGCTTTCGAAGGTAATTTCCCTGCTCCAATTTGGCCCATGACTTTGTCCTTTTTGTTATTTTGTTTCTATAATATTGAATTGAATTGTTAATTTTTTTATCTTTCTTTAAGCATGATAAAGTGCTAAAAAGGTAATTTTTTAAATGAAGCTGGCCAAAAATTGAAATTTTTAATAATAAAGTTTTTCTGAATCTTGATTTTAAAAAAAATTATTTTTCAACTTTTTAATTTGATATCTGTAATATTAAATGATAATGAAATCAAACAAATTTAATTTTATAAAACATCTTTTTTATTTGAATAGACAAGATAGCAGGAGTACAAAGAAAAATCAAAATGAACTTTATCGTACTGAAATTACATTGTAAAAGTTAAGATTTGCAACTGCATTCATGGAATAATAACATTTTTTTTTATATAAAAAGTTAAGATTATAAAATCATGAAAGGAAAAATAACAGATTCACACCGTTTTATTCTTCGGCACAAGGAACCTCTCGATGGTCTCGTTGGAAGCAAGTTCTCGCTCCACAACTTGCTGATCCGCAGTTTTCTTGAGCTTCTTCCTGATCGCCTTCAGCATCTTTTCCAGAGTGGAGTCAAACTTCAGTTGGCCCTAAAATCAAATTAAAAGATATTTTATTACTCAATGAAATTAAATTGCAGAGAAAAAATACTCACATCAATGACAACGTCGTACGCACTGGCCAACTCTTGCATCTCTGCGGACAATCTGCTCCGCTGTAAAAGAATCAAACAAAAATTAATTTTTTTTAATTTTACTTTAAAATATTAATACTTACATATTGGGCGACAGTGACGTAATGAATATACTCCAGGTAGTGGGAAGGCAATTCGGGTAGCTCGACAGCATTCGGGATGTTTTGGCGAGTGACAGCTTTCAGGGCCTCCCTCAAGTCCTGGTCGTTCTGTGAACAGAATAAAATAAAATTGTAAACAATTTGAAATATTTAAAATTATATTTTATGCATACCTTCTTCCACTTTCTCTCATAGTTGATGAGTGCTGTAAAGGGAAGGCGCTGTGAACAAAACAGAAAATTATTATTAAAAAATCAGTCAATAAATTTTTGTTTATTTTTGTTTGAAAAAAAATTAAAAAATTTGTAATACTTACAGCATCTTTAGCCTGCTTCTTTGCCGAGTGGAGTTGCTCCTCTTGGTTCTTTGAGAAAGTGCTGCTGTATTGAAAATCAGTGGGCATCGTTGGTCGATCACGGGGTAGATGGGCATTGAAATCCTTGTGCTCAACTGGAACTTGACTGAAGACCTGTTCTGAAGTAATGCTCCTTTTCTTTTTCTTGACAGGTGAACCAGCAGTATCGGAGTCTGAAGATGAAGAGTTTGAGGAAGCGTCGGACTTGTTCTTCTGCTGCCTTCTCCTCCGTCTCTTCTTGCTGACGGACCTCTCCGGCTCAGTCTCACCATCACTGCTGGATTCACCCGAAGGACCAATCTCCGGACTGGACTCCACCGAGGGCTCAGCTGAGGCCTCGCTCTTCTCCTCGGCAGCCATCTCTGATCCCATCGGCTCGACACTCGCTGCAGCCCCTGCGACTCCCTCTTCACCAATCTGCTCTTTCTCCATTCCCCTCGGCTCTTGCTCGCCATCTGACGAGTCTGAAGAAGAGCAGGAGGAACAGGAGGAAAGGCTGGGTGAGCCAGTTTTTGTCTTCTTGCAGGGAGGCTGCTCCGCTTCCTCCTCATCAGAACTGTCGGACAAGGGTGGGACAACCTCCGAAGTCTGCGGAGGGCAGGAAGCCACCTCTGCACCAGCTTGGTCAGTTTCCTAGAAAATAATTATAACAAGTTAGTTATTTTTTTTTAAAACAGTTTTTTTCCTTAAAAATTTTCATAATAATTAAAAAGAAATATTTAAATTTAGATAAAAAAGTAATTTTTAAAACAGTATTTTACTTAAAGTTGCTCAAACTAGCCTAAAAGATATATGTAAACTTTATAAAATTGAAATTTATTTACCATATCTTCCAGAGTTGAAGTCACCAAGTTGTCGAGGTCCAAGCTGCTGCTGATCTGCTCCTGCTGCTGGGACTCCTGCTGCTGGGACTCCTGCTGCTGCTGCTGCTGTTGGATGTCTTCTGTCCCCACAAAGGACACCATTTCACCCTCCTCGAGTAGGAAAGTCAGATCGACAGCTCCCTTTGCGCGCCTGGCCAGCTCTTCCAGCTCTTCCTGCTCGACTGCAACAAGAAAAGCTGCAGATTCAGAATCTTCCTTCCTCCTGGCAGCCTCCTTCTCAGCCTCTTCCTCGGCCATGGCAGCTTTCTTCTTCTCCTCCTCTTCCAACTGCTTACGAGCCTTCTCTTCTTCTTCGAGCTTCCGCTGCTTCTCCAGTTCATCTTCCATCTCCTGTGAACACAAGAATTTATGGTAATTAATTATATGTTTTATTTATTTTATTTTATTACAAACTTACTTTGAGTTTTGTCTCCAGCAGGGTAATGTTGGACTTGAGTGTGTCCTCGGCAGCCTTCTTTGCAGCCTCAGCTTCCCTTGTCGCATCAGCACACTGCAGGTCAAACTTGGTCTGGAGCTGTGATTGAAGTCGATAAGTATTTTTTTTTATTGCTATTGAAAAAATTTAATTTACCTCATTCAGAATAGTCTTGAATTCAACGTTCTTCTTCTTTAGATTTTCCCGTTCTTGATGATTTTCTCCGAGACCCTCCTCCAACACTTTTTTTCTTCTTTCACCTTCAGTCTGCAATTTTTCAAGAGAAGCACCCTCACTCTTCAGTTTCTCCACCAACGCTGTGTCTCTTTGAACTTGCAGCTTCCACGCAGCAATGCTTTCGTTCTTCCGAGTGATGGTTTCCTCCACCTCTTGTATTTTGCGATGCTTCTGCTCCAAGTCTTTGTTAAGTCGACACACAAGATCTTTCTTGATTTCCAGTTCATCCGTGAACTTTTTATCTGCATCGTCCAGCAGGAGCAATTTCTTCTCCGACGACTCCTTGCCCTCACTTGCCTGCTTTCGAGTGTGAAGCATGAGGGATTTCAGGTTTTGTTTGTTTGTTTCCAGAGTCTTTGTAAATTGCTGAGGCAACTCCATGAGTAACCTTTTATGTTTTGCCAGTTTGTCTCCGACGATGGCCACATTGGCGAGAGTGACTGACGGACAGGAAGCCTCGGCCTTTGGGTCGTACACCTCAGCCACAGGGTACCCTGGAGCGGTAACCACAGCCACAGGAGGATGGTTTACATCCTGTGCGGACGGTCCACAAGCAGCCTCCCCCCGGTTCTCACCTCCACCATCTCGAGGCTGACGAGGCACGTTCGGCTGAGCCATTGCTGTTGGTGCTTTGGCTGGAATCGAGATGAGTTTCGGAGCAGTGCGAACCTGGGAAGCTCCAGGAAAGATTGGAGTAGTCTTTCTTTTCGCTGCTGCACCCGTCTGGCCTGAACCGAGGTTCGCAGTGGATTGAAGGGGTTGGCGCTTCGTCGGAGGAGATTTGAAAACGTCCTCATCGGACGAGAGGATGAACTCCATCGACTTGGCCAACCCCTTGGGTCCAGGCTTCTTCTTCATTGGAGGATTCTCCTTATTAGGTGCACCCTTTCCCCCGGAAGGGCGCTTATTCTGTAAAAAAAATTGATTTTTCCGTTTTGAATAATTAATTATTTAATTAATAATTTAATCTCTCAAATTTATTACACTGAAAATTCATAAATAAAATTCAGGGCAGAAAAAAGATTTGAAAAATTAAAAGATTCATATCAAAATTTACAGTCTGAATTTTTTACATTTTTATTTTAGATTTTGCTTATTATTATGATTTATTTTTATTATTTAATAGGTTTTGTCAGAATGAATAAATTTCTGTTAAATTTTGTTATCAGCAAAATTTCAAAATATTTTGCTCATTAATTGGTATTAAATCAAATTTCAATATTTTTAAAAGAATAAATCCCATAAAAATTTATCTCTCAGAGTAAATGAGAACAGAAAAATTACTTACGGAAGCACCAGTTAGTTGATTCTTCGACATTGCCCAAAATGGTCAAAAACGAGCAGTGGACAACTGGGTGAAAAGCTCACTTCCTTCTCTTACGGAAGCACACAATGCAACTGCACGCTGCTTTCCTAGTGCGGGTGCGAGTGGTGGGGCGCTCGCTTTGTCTACCACTCTCACTTTTCCAAGCTTTGATTTAGCTTCCAGCCATATTCCTTATAACTCAACAGTCCCTTTAATTTTCCACCCCATGTGCAAGGGATGCTTCTCCGACACACATACAAACTATTACGAAGCAGTAAAATTGCAAAAAAAAAAACTAATGTATCACAAAAAGTACTCCTGGATATTAAATTTTTATTTTGTTCTACAATTCTCCTTATTTTTAAATAAAAATAAATTTGTTTATTAATACGAAGAACTAATAATTACCATTCTCCGTTTATTTTCTTAAAAATTTGAAATTTTTAAACCTTTAAAAAGTGATGTTTGGGGGTTATTTAACCTGGAAATAAAATTTTATTTTTATTTCAAATAAAATACAATTTATCTTATCTCCATTAAAAAAAAGCAGGTAAAATTAAAAAAAATTCGCCAAAGGAACGAGTCAAAAATTCGCGGCAGAGCTCTCAAATATATTCCCGAGACCAAAATCACTAGCATTGGTGGCGCCGAGAACAATTTTTGTGATTTTTATTCCATTGATTTCAGTCGCCTGTAAATAGAGTTCAGTCTAAGAATTTAAATTAAAATCCACAACGACGCGCACACAACCAGCCTAGTAAAAATCCATTCAGTCGACGGAAATGACAACTGGCGCCGGCCGCGCACTTAGTCAAACGCCTCTAGCCGCTGCTCAATTACACGCCACTCTCTCGCCAGCACGCACCAAGTGCACCTCGCTCGCTGTACAAATAAAATACACACACTCTCTTCGACGGCGCGCACTAAGTCCACACACAATCAACCAGCGATAAAATAAAATTAAAGCTAACAGATACTTGATCGACTCTTTCGCACATCGCTGCCGGCCCGCGTTAAAATAAAATACACACAGCCAGCCAAAATATTACAAGTATAAAAGATGTATGCGCGCCTCTCTCTCGCGCTCGCACCGCTGCCGCCCTGTGTACAATACAGGCGCGCGCGGCCCTGCCTAATAATAAAATAATAGCCCACCATATGAAAATATTCTAAGTCCAAAAGTTGTATCCAGGTGGGTATCATCTTCTACTAAAAAATCTGTAAAAATATTACGATCATCTTTGTAAAATTTTGGTCTAAAGATAATTGAACCTAGATTTTGAAATAATTTCAGGATTACAAAATAAATTGTCGTTCATTTGGCGAAAAGCCACAGCACCATGCCCTTATAGACGAACCACTAAAAAACAGTTATATTAGACCGACATTGGACGACTAAAAAATCTGTAAAAATATTACGATCATTTTTGTAAAATATTGGTCTAAAGATAATTGAACCTAGATTTTGAAATAATTTCAGGATTACAAAATAAATTGTCGTTCATTTGGCGAAAAGCCACAGCACCATGCCCTTATAGACGAACCACTAAAAAACAGTTAAAATAGACCTACAGTGGACGACTAAAAAATCTGTAAAAATATTACGATCATCTTTGTAAAATATTGGTCTAAAGATAATTGAACCTAGATTTTGAAATAATTTCAGGATTACAAAATAAATTGTCGTTCATTTGGCGAAAAGCCACAGCACCATGCCCTTATAGACGAACCACTAAAAAACAGTTATATTAGACCGACATTGGACGACTAAAAAATCTGTAAAAATATTACGATCATTTTTGTAAAATATTGGTCTAAAGATAAATGAACCTAGATTTTGAAATAATTTAAGGATTACAAAATAAATTGTCGTTCATTTGGCGAAAAGCCACAGCACCATGCCCTTATAGACGAACCACTAAAAAACAGTTAAAATAGACCTACAGTGGACGACTAAAAAATCTGTAAAAATATTACGATCATCTTTGTAAAATTTTGGTCTAAAGATAATTGAACCTAGATTTGGAAATAATTTAAGGATTACAAAATAAATAGTCGTTCATTTGGCGAAAAGCCACAGCACCATGCCCTTATAGACGAACCACTAAAAAACAGTTATATTAGACCGACATTGGACGACTAAAAAATCTGTAAAAATATTACGATCATCTTTGTAAAATATTGGTCTAAAGATAATTGAACCTAGATTTTGAAATAATTTAAGGATTACAAAATAAATTGTCGTTCATTTGGCGAAAAGCCACAGCACCATGCCCTTATAGACGAACCACTAAAAAACAGTTAAAATAGACCTACAGTGGACGACTAAAAAATCTGTAAAAATATTACGATCATCTTTGTAAAATATTGGTCTAAAGATAATTGAACCTAGATTTTGAAATAATTTCAGGATTACAAAATAAATTGTCGTTCATTTGGCGAAAAGCCACAGCACCATGCCCTTATAGACGAACCACTAAAAAACAGTTATATTAGACCGACATTGGACGACTAAAAAATCTGTAAAAATATTACGATCATTTTTGTAAAATATTGGTCTAAAGATAAATGAACCTAGATTTTGAAATAATTTAAGGATTACAAAATAAATTGTCGTTCATTTGGCGAAAAGCCACAGCACCATGCCCTTATAGACGAACCACTAAAAAACAGTTAAAATAGACCTACAGTGGACGACTAAAAAATCTGTAAAAATATTACGATCATCTTTGTAAAATTTTGGTCTAAAGATAATTGAACCTAGATTTGGAAATAATTTAAGGATTACAAAATAAATAGTCGTTCATTTGGCGAAAAGCCACAGCACCATGCCCTTATAGACGAACCACTAAAAAACAGTTATATTAGACCGACATTGGACGACTAAAAAATCTGTAAAAATATTACGATCATTTTTGTAAAATATTGGTCTAAAGATAATTGAACCTAGATTTTGAAATAATTTAAGGATTACAAAATAAATTGTCGTTCATTTGGCGAAAAGCCACAGCACCATGCCCTTATAGACGAACCACTAAAAAACAGTTAAAATAGACCTACAGTGGACGACTAAAAAATCTGTAAAAATATTACGATCATCTTTGTAAAATTTTGGTCTAAAGATAATTGAACCTAGATTTTGAAATAATTTCAGGATTACAAAATAAATTGTCGTTCATTTGGCGAAAAGCCACAGCACCATGCCCTTATAGACGAACCACTAAAAAACAGTTATATTAGACCGACATTGGACGACTAAAAAATCTGTAAAAATATTACGATCATTTTTGTAAAATATTGGTCTAAAGATAATTGAACCTAGATTTTGAAATAATTTAAGGATTACAAAATAAATTGTCGTTCATTTGGCGAAAAGCCACAGCACCTTGCCCTTATAGTCGAACCACTAAAAAACAGTTAAAATAGACCTACAGTGGACGACTAAAAAATCTGTAAAAATATTACGATCATCTTTGTAAAATTTTGGTCTAAAGATAATTGTGCTCATATGTGCACCTGATATGAGGTGCTCATATGTGCACCTGATATGAGGTGCTCATTTGATCTGCTCATATGAGCTCATATGCCCGCTTCGAAACATGCGCCGCGCTAGCCCGGCTGTTTCGCCCACTTTTCATGTTTTATATTTTTTTTTTAAATGAAGTATATTTATTTGAAAGAATTTACAAGTCCAGCCAACTCCAAACGGAGTTATCGGCCGGTGCTTATGTGACTGGAAAGCAAGACTTAAGAGCCGAGCAATCCAGTTCTATACACATTATTTTACATAAATTCAAAATCCTGAATCAAACAACTGCACCAGCAGCCGCCGTCGAGTAATTTGCCCGCGAATTATTAATTGATTTGGAATAAAGTTCATCTCTTCGGCCAACCCTTAAAACCCTAGACACATACCGAGATCCACCGTTTCATTCTTCCAAAGGGCAATTTAGAATAAATACACGCAAACACCCTACGTGCCCTGCTCGGCATTCTTTGATCTGGTTTGAAGGCCCGCGTCATCCGGTGGAGCGACGCGTCCCTCTCGCTGCTTCAGCTAGAAGCCACCACCTATCTGGTGAGCAACACCAACTGACAACACAAAGTCCACCTCAGCTTGTCACTTCAAGTTTGAGAGGTTTGAGCGCGCCAACAACTCCAACATTTATCACAAGGTACACGAACCCCAATTCAAGCTTCAGATTCAGATTCAGATAATTTTTATTCCATATAGATCAACATAGTACAGAAATAATCTGAAATTAATCAAAAGTCCAAAACCAAAAATCAATTTAATTTTTTCATTAAAAACTTAATAATTATTTTTAAAATTTGAAGAATTTAATGTTACAATTAGACAAAGTTACATCAATAATGTTTAAGTATGTTATGCAAAAGAAATATAGGGTAATTAAAAGCCAGACCTTCCCAGCCCACCCTCTAACGTGTAACTTGCCCACGGCCATACAATATGGATGGGGCCCAGGTTCATTCAATCTCACAATTTTTAGCAAAATCTTTGAAAGTGGTGGTGCCATTTCTTCCCAACAATTCAATGTTTTTCTCCCATAACAACTTATTGTTGTTTATTCTACTCAAGTCATACATGAAAAAATAGAATTGGAAAAAAATGAGCAGAAAGGGTATCACAACTAGCTGAGGTCTGCTAAAACGCCCGACATCAAAAGAGATCGGCCACTTTTCTTTCAATGCAATTTATTTAGACCCGTTTATGAATGCTTGGCAGTGAATTGGCCTCGATTTGTGGTTCAAAATGCTATATTTCTTATTTAGATTGATGAAATTTTAAATTAAAAAATTAGAGCATTATTTTTTTAAGGATTTCAAGACTTAAAAAAAATATCAAATAAATTTTTGGAGAAAAATCGCCTACATAATAATATATGGACAAGAATTTTGAAAGAGAAGTTGTTCAGAATAATAAGTAACAATCAGAAGTGAAGATCACATCTAAGTGTCCACTAAAGAAGCTAAGATATTTGCAATTTTGATTTGATTGAATGCCAAACTTTTTGCAAAAAAGTAGAATCCAAACTTTTCAAATCATGGCCAGAGAATCAATGATATAATTTAATAACAAAAATCATTGTTCACAATGATTTCACAATTTCGGCCCCAATTTGCGGTCAAATATTTGTGAAGTCCTTTTTAACAACGTGGACCAAAAGAACCCATTAATAATAATATTTTAAGAACGAGGTTAACTTTCACGAAAGTGTTGATCACTCTGCCTGAAGAGTCCCTACCAGCTATTTGCCTTTGCGTTTCAGCGTAGAAAATGGAGAGCCGGTTCTTGAACTGCTCCTAGAGTTGAAATGTTGGTGTGCATAGAGGAGCACTCCAACATCTCGATGTCCTGCTTCCATTGCGATGTTCAGGGCTGTGCTCCCATCCTTAAATCATGATCAATATTTATTGCATTAGACATATATTGTACATGAAGTTCAAAATAGTTTTCAATTGCAAAACATTAATAAAATATTATAATAATAAATTTTGCCTATTTCATAATAAGTCACGAAGCTAAAAATTGAATTTTCATAAATACTGATATGATTATTTTTACACTGGAAAAAAATATTTTAGATACATTTCAATGATGAATGTCTAATTTGCCAAATTTCTCTATTAGGGGCCAATCCTTCAATGTGGGGTGCCACGCAGGGAATCCGTAAGTCATGATCGGCTTGGCGAGAGAGATACACATTTTTTAAGCTGTATTTTAGTGTCATATTCCAAAGATTATTTCTGTAAATATAATTATTTATACTGAATAAATCTTATCTGAATCTGAATTCTTTTGACGCGGGGGATGCAGCCGCGCAGGTTTCGGGCAGCGAAGCAAAGAGATTGGGCCACCTTGCTGTACACAATGTCCGTGTGGACTGCACTTTTCCGCGTTAAGGCTCATTCCGCTGTTCAACCAACACACATCAATGTGGCACAAATCTTCTTGCAATTCATCGGCGTACTGAACCAGGGTGCTGTTGCCCCTGACCTCAGTGAGGTCAGTCACGAAAAAGTTGAACCAGAACACTACCCTGAATTACTCCGGACGAAACCTCGCAGGGCGCGGATTGCGCACCGTTGAAAGAAACAAACTGAGTTCGGCCGGCGAAAAAAAATTTCCACCCACGTGAACTTTGATGACATAGTATGGGCGAGCTTTGAGAGGCGGCGCAGTTTTTCAGCAGCACTGTCGGCACACCGTCGGGGCCCACGGCTGCGTTTGCTTTTTTTCCTGCAGTTCAGATTCAGATAATATTTATTCCGTATAGATCAACATGTGTACAGATATAATTTTACAGCTTGCTTAGACAATTTAAAATACAGTTCACAAAATTTTTATTCATGCACGTCATAGAACATTTTGTAATAAAATATTAATTCCAATTACATCTAAAACACTTGAAAACTATCAATGTTTTTTATTAGTTCAGGAAAATAATTGAAAGTTCTTGGAATCATAGTACTTCGATTTTGGTGCACTTTGCATTCAGATTTTTTAAGGAACAATTCAGGATACTTAAGTGCTGTCTCACTTTTTATAATTCATTACTTATGATTGTTTTAAAATGTGGCGTGAGGCCGTGGCTTAAAAATTGTCAGGCCACGGTTCGTTCTAATCCAGCTGCGGGTACATACTGAATTTGGCAAACAATTTTCTATGAATTAGTCCTACCAACCTAAGCCAAGCAATCTGGAATATACTTGATATGTTCCGCTACAAAAAAAAAAAACGGTAAGCAAATGTGCTCATCAGATAATATGAGTATCAGCCAATCTGCCTTAACAATAAAACTTTTTTAAAATTAATATTTTTTTTTTAATTGTTTATCCCTCTTGGGAAAGGAAAAAGGAACCAGCGCTAGCAGACACGCCTGCTAAATCGCAAGGGCCGATAACTCGGGTTCTCCCCTTTTGGGGCCGATAACGCGGTAGCCTTGCGCCCACTGGGCCGGGGAGAAACAAGCATAGGATGGGTTTGGTTGCTGGGAATTTCTAGGATGAGCTAGGAAGGTGAGCAGCAGTGGCCTATAAATGAGAACTATGCCTGGAATGACTGATGGAAACCGCAGAAAACACGCGCGCGTGAGAAATATCCATCACTTTGCACTTTTTCGCGTTAAGGCTGACCCCAGCCAGGATAGAACCCAAGGCCTCCAGATTATCAGCCAAGCGCAACAACCACTGTGCCACACAGTCGGTTTTTTAATCTGATATAGCCAATTTTGAGAGGCCCTGGGGGACACGTTGAGCTGTAGTAAGCGTTCAATTGGAGTCATTTCCCCTTTTTTTAAATATGAAAAATATATTGTAAATTAATTACATGATCAGTGATGCTCGCATCTATATCCTGAGAAAGCAGCAGTTTGACCATGTCGATATGACCATGCTCGGCAGCACACATTAGGGCAGTGCTACCGTCATCATCTTGAATGTTGACGTCAGCCTCGGCTGACAGCAGCATGCTGGCCATCGAGTACTTTCCGTGAGAGGCGGCCAACATCAGAGCAGTTTGGCCATGCTAAAATTAACATTAGTTTTGATAAAAATTTAAATAATTAGCAAACTTGTTTAGCACGGATGTTGACGTCAGCCAGTTGAAAGAGTCTCTGCACGACCTGGCTATCAGTTTCAGATTGTACCTCGGCCAAAGATACAAGCATCACACTTGTGTAGCCAGCCTGGTTGAACTGGTTGATGTTGCACACCTTTGAGTCCAACAGGATGGACACGACGTCAAAGTTTCCATTAGAAACTGCATAATGCATTGCAGTGTTCCCCTGCAAAGTAGCAAAATTAGGGCTTTGGAATTGTGAGGGGCTTACAAAAGCATATGTGAGTCAACGATTTAAACAGATCTTGAAAATTATGATATTCCTAATATTCACGGATAAATTTTTAATAATCACATCCTTTCTGGTTTTTTCAAGACATGTTTTAGCTTCACAAAAAGGAGGCAGAGCGACCGATGCGGGGAATTTCTGAATATTTTAATTTTATTATTATTTATTCTACTTAAGTCATTCAATGAGCAGAAAGGGTATCGCAACTAGGTCTGCAAAAACGGCCACACTATATTAAAAAAAGAATCACAAAAACTTTAAAAATGATTTTTTAAATAAAGTTGAACCCAAAAATAAAAATAATTAATTGGGTAGTGCCTTCTGTACCACCAATAAAGAGCACAGGCCGACAAGACTTTGTCTTGGCCTGACCCCAAAAAAAAAAAAAAAAAAAAAAAAAAAAAAAAAATACAGCTGCCACAAATACTTGACCGACCGGACGCAGGCGGTCAAATTGCGTGACATGGACGGCAAGCTGAAGACATTTGTGTACTCTGAGGAGAGTTTACTAAATGGGGGACTCCATTTGGCTTTGACGTTTCCATTGGTGACATAGCGATCCACGTAGCCGTCGGATTGCTTTTAAATTATGCGAATGATTTGTCGATTCGCTTGGAGCCTTGATACAAAACTTTTGAAAATAGTTTGAGCCGTTTTGTTCATGGCCATAAATTTTATACAAAAGCAGAGTTTTCATCTTATCGATGAATTGTAATATATTTGTTTTTTAATTCAAGTTCAAGTTTATTTAGTTAAGATTTAAGCTAAATTATACATTTTACCAGTTAAGCTTTTGCAAAACAAGTACAAAACGAGATTATACTAATTATTTAGAGCGAAAAATTCGCCCATGTCATGTGTGCTATTTCAAGGCAAAATCCGCTTCTTTGCTTGTCGCGCTTGTATAATAATTTGCCTGTATCTATTCGATTGGAGTTGAGATTCCCTCAGTTTGTGGGCTTGTTAAAAAAGTTTGTTGGTTCTCACAAGTATATATATACTGAGGAGGAATATGTAAATTACAAAAATAACTTGTAAATATTATGTTAATTTCTTTTTTCCCCTGCTGTATATTTCATTTGACAAAATTGTAATGGGTGGGTCGCACGGGAGACATTACATGTGATTACATTGCATAACAATAATACAACTGATTTTCTGGCACATTTCGCTTAACCTTTTTCACACGCTCATCATCATTACTACAACATTTTATATTTTTAGGAATAATAATGTAAACGAAAACAATAATAATAATGATATAATAATAATAATTTTCAAAATCATCTTTGAGAGAATTTTTCAAGATCCTTGGTCTACACACAAAAAGCCACCAACCGACAATTATTGTCAAAATCGGTTGTCTTGGGGTCAAGAGTCAGTTAAAATAAAATAAAAAGTGCCAAATAAATATACTCACACTATCGTCGGTCATGTTCACTATATGCTCTAAAAGTTCACTGGAATAGTCCTCAAAACTGTCCAAATAGTCTTCGACGTTTAAGGGATTTGCTAATGATGAACTTGATATCTGTAAAAAAAAAAACGATAAAAACTAATAAAATTATTGAATTAATTAAATAATCATACCTGGAACCATTCCCTCTGGATGATATTGACTGCTGCTTTGAGCTGGGTGGGCAACTCACTGTGAGGTGACCTTTTCAGTGAATCACTCATCACTTTCATCGCTCCTCTCATTTCTTTACTTGGCTCCACCCTACAATAATGCAATTTAAAGTGGATATCAACTGCTCAGGTTCGCAAAATCGTTATTTAGAGCTGTTAGTATGGACCTTATGGATCATTGTGATAACCAGAAATTTTGGGGTCACCGTGTAAATTTTTGAGAAAATCGCATTTGAATTTAACATGGGTCGCTTATGTACAATTTTCACAATTAAGCATTTAAGCTTCCTTGTTCCTTGTTACACTAATGAACCAAGGTATCTTTTGATAGTGGTATCAAAGTTTGTAATTGAAAGGACCCTTGCAAAAGGTAAAAAAGTAAATTTTTCTGCCCCTTGAAAATATGCAACCAGAACAAAAATCCGAGATGGTCAAAAGATGTATTTTTACGTCAATCTATAAATTTAAAAAAAATTTGGTTTAGCCATGAAGATTACTAAAAAAAATTGTCTTGGAATGACTGAAATACAATAATCGGGACCTTTTCTGAGTTAGTGACATTTTAAAAATATTTTAGTCCCTATTGATGAGCTTTGATGCATCCTATCCGAAACTGATGATTTTAATAAAATTTTGGAGGTTGTTGATATGTTGATATCCACTTTAAATTAATATATTTTTGTTGAAACAAAACCAACTTTTTTCTATTCTTCTTTTGTGTGGAAATTATGTACAGTTGGTCCGCAGAGGAACTGAGGTTTTGGTTTCCCTCCTCATCGGAACGATTGTCTGTGCTTGTTGAGGAAACAAGTTCTCTGCTTCTCTCTGGACCTGCCAGCTTGACCTCTACATTTGTAGACGCACTGAAAAAATATCAATTAGTAAAAGGTAGTAAATATTTATAATTTTTATTATTATCGCTTTTATAGTATTATGGCGGGATGTCACAAAAGTACAAAATTTTTGTAGTACCTACAACTAAGAAAAAGTAATTTTTTCTCTTATTAAATACAGAATTAGAAATATAGAGTAACATATTGTGATGAACACAAATATTTTTTATTTTACTTGCCCTCCTTTATCCATGTTCCTTCCCCGCTTTGATATAATTGTATTTCTTTTGTTCTGTTATTCAATTCTTTTGTATTCCCTTTTGTCATGTGACGAAATAAAAGTCTCTTTCCAGCCCCGGCAAAAAATTGAATTGAATTAACAAGGTATGTTAGTGGAACTACAATAAAAGCAGATTTTTTTTCAACACTTCTGTGGAAATTCCATCCCAGGCAAAAACGATCTCTTATTTGGCAAACCGCCAACTTCATGCATGGAGGCTTGTAAATTTGTGCGTAAATACCCTCAGTATTTTGTGAAAACGCGAGATGTGCATGCCTATGAGACGCGCGAGAAGTTTGAGTTGTACGTGCCGGTCCAGATCGAATGGAGAATAAATAAATAAATTAACATATAAAAATTATGAAATCGCTAAGACATTTAGAAATTAAAGGTATCATTATAAATTTGGCAACCCGCAGTTCATACGAGTGTGGTGAACTGGATTATTTAAAACTGATTGCTGGAATCGGGACTTGGGATGGGTCCAGAAATTTCATTTTGGGTACTCACGGGAACGGGACCTGACTTGGGAAATTTTTTGACAAAAAAAATCGGGTACGGGACGGGAAAATTTTCAAGAAATGGTCCCGTCAAACACACACCGTGATCAAGTAGTTGCAAAACTGAGAATTTCTACGAACCTTTTTGCCAGGACGCATTATGGGCCAGTGGAAATGAGCCACCACGCATAACTTTTTGTATTGATTTGTTTACAAGGGATGAAGGGAAAGTGACAAGTGGTGGGCCGCGCAGATGAGGGTGCGCCGTAGATTGCCAGCGGGGAAACAGAGGGACGTTAATCTAACACGAATGCTCAGTCCACTTCAAATTGTGCGCAAGATGTAAGCCCAAAAATTTTGTCACAACCAATTCAGTCAAAATTTTGCTGTAAAGACGAATTGGAGACGTACTATATATGTCTAATGCAATAAATTTTCCTCTGATCTAATCTATTATTAATGGGGGGAGATTCAATAGACTTAGCTCTCCTGGGATAAAAGATATCCCGGGATAAATCCAAAGGGATAAAATTTAAACCACCGTCCCGGGTTAAATATTTTTTATCCCGCCTTCAATTTTTGTCCCCAAGTCAAAGGGGATAACTTTTCTTAGCCCCCTCAACGGGACAAACATTTGACTCGCGCTAAAATCAAATCAGCTGGTTATTAAAAGATTCTCAACATGCTCGCGAACTTTTTAAATTTTGGCCAATTGTAACGAACAAAAAACTTTCTCAAATCAGAAGTTTTTGAGGTTCATGGAAAAGAGGGCAAAATTGAAATCCAAAGCTGGCACAAAAATCTATATCCAATATAATTTGAAATTGCTTAATTTATTTTTTTTTTTTGCTCAGAAACATTTAAAGATCTCTTCATCAAAGCGAAAATATACTAGAAATTGTAAGATAATAAACTTTAAAAGAGCAAAAATTCGCTGTCACTGCTCAAATGAGCCATTTGAAGAAAAAAAATGAACTCATATTCGTCTTATCTGATTTTTACTGAATAGAATTAAATAAATAAGCAATAAATTATCTACTGACCTGACGGACTCTGACCCATTCTCAGGAATTGTCTGGCTGGTGACGTCAGAAATGATTTTGGTATAAGTATCCTGGCGGTTGAAAGGCTTCTTGGCTGCAGAAGGGTTCTGTCCTTTCGTACGAGCTATCCTCGGAATCTGAGATGGCTGATTTGTTCCTGGAGACCTTGGACTGGACGACGGCAACGTGGAAACAGATTCAAATTTTTCGGTTGCAGTTATTCTTTCAGCGCAAGTTTTGCACTGAGCCGGAACTGCGAGTTCTGACCGAATGACCGGTGGTTCAATCATAACAGACACGCTCTTGTCTTTTGTAAATACCTAGTTTTATGCATAAACCAAAATATTATTTATGAGGTAAGTAAAACCTTGCAGTTTACAGAGGAGTCGCCTTTCTGAATATGGGTAGTGTTTCTTTCAAAGTTTTCCAAAATGATGAGGTCGGAGGTGTCTGTCAGTTTGTTAGCCACAGGTCTCTGCTTTTGCCTGACACTGAAGTGGTCTGAGGACTTGCTGCGCACCATAGTCTGGGGTACCAAATGGTCTGGTGTTGTAATTAGAGCAGTAGTGCAAACCCCAACATTCTTTTTCGACACATTGCACAAATCACAGTGGAGGATCTGCATACTGTGGTCAGAGACACCAACATTCTTCATCTTCACCCGAGTCAGGACACTCACATCCGACATCCGTGGCTTCGCCATAACAGATTTGTCAACCTGTTTCAAATTAAGCACCTATATTACTTTTTTGGAGGGACGGTCAGGTCAAGACAAACTCCAGTTGCATTTTTTTAATTGTTTGTCCCTCTTTGGGAATGGCACCAGCGGTAGCAGACAGGCCTGCTAAATCGCAAGGGCCGATAACTCGGATTCTCCCCCCTTTCGGGGCCGATAACACGGTGACCTTGGGACCCACTGGGCCGGGGAGAAAGGAGCATAGGATGAGTTTGATTGTTGGGAATTGGGAATTTCAAGGATGAGGAAGGTGAGCGGCTGCGGCCTATGAATGAGTACTATGCCGGCATTTGCCTTCAATGTCTGATGTAAACCGCAGATAACACCAGACTGCATAGCCGAAATTGCAGACGAAATGCCTGCAATTTCTCCTGAATCTGCCTGTCGTAGTGAATAATGCACCTCCTATGATTTTCTGAAGTCTTGTGAACTAACCGGCCAGAAACAGAATTTTTTCAAGCTCTGACCCCGTGATAGAACCCAAGGCCTTCAGATTATCAGCCAAGCGCACTAACCACTGTGCCACACAGTCATTTATCCACAAATTTTAGATAAAAAGCGGATAGAATGTGGATAGTAGCAACTGGGGAATAGTCTTAAAGGCCGTTTAAAATCAATGCATTCCTACTTTAAGTTTAGCCCTGAGAGCCTCCTCCCCTCGTTTTATTTTCTTTTCATGACTCTCGAGCATTTCCTCCAGTTGGCTTTCAGTGTATAGCTGCTGCATTTTTAAATCAGTGAGTGTGTCACAATCCTTCACCTTGGCATAGCGAGTGTTGGTGCTTTTGTTCACCAGCTTTATGGAAACCTTGTCACACTCAGGGGCAATGAACTGTGGCTTAAGGGTGTCCATGGACAACCTACAAGGTTTCTTTGCGACAGGAGGTGACACTAGAATAGGCTTAGATTCAATGGAAGTCTTCACCATGTCAACCTGGGTGCTGGTAGAGCGAAGTTTTGGGTACTGATGTGAAACTCCGACATCCCGTGTGAAGATAGTGCTGTCGAAGCTCACGTCCGAATTATTGAGTAAGTTTGTAGCTAGAAATAAGTAGTTAATAAGAACGTTATTTTACTCTTTGATACACTAACTTTTTTGTTTTAACTCATTGTTAGCAAGCTTGAAGTTTGCACTGACCAAAGAATTGGCCAAATTATTCTTCTCAGCCTCTACTGCTTTAAGTTGAAGCAACAGAACCCTCTTTTCGTCTTTCAAAATATTCACCTCATTCTGTAATTGAAAATAAAAATGTCATGTGACAAAGATGAAACAGAAAATAGTAATATCAAAAATATAAAAGGCTTATAGGGTCACAGGATGTGTGGAATGTGTACCACTTGTACCAGCGGAATGTGACTTGGCCGACTTTTTAGGTCCACACATTGACCTAAATGACATTAAATGCTCTGGTTTGATTCTTCCATCTCATGGAGCAATGAAGGGGATCGAAGTTGTTGTTAATGCAAATATTTGTTAAGTTTGCACATAATAAAAAAAAAAATAACTAATTTTTCTACCGTTCAAACTGAACGCACGTTCTTCCCTGAGAGCGGGCAGAAAATTTACGAAGCAGACGGGGCGGAGAGAGGACAACAACGAGAAGTCGTCGTGCTCCTGATAAACGATCTATTTTGCTTTCCTTCAGATATACATTTTTAATTGACGGTTTATCATTTTTCATATATAATTATGCAATGCTGATTTTGCTACTTTTTTACTATGTAAACCAAAAAGAATTAACAGACATTTTACTATACTGTCAATACAGCCTATTTTCTTCCTTTTTTTGTCTAGAACAAGGATGGACAAAATCGCTAAAGCGATCTGATCGCACCATTTTTTGTACAGATGATCGCGATCGCAACAGTAAAAGGTGGTCGATCGCAGGCGATAATCTTTATTGCGATTGCAAATGAGTGGATTACGACGGAGACATGTAATAACAAAGAGATGTAATAACACTTTTATAACACAATAAAAGAGAAAAAATAATAATAATTTTAATGCTTAATCTCAAAGAATTTAATATTAAATCTGAAAGAAAACTATCAATTACAGGTAATTGTAAAGAAAAATTTCTTAAAAAACTTTTTATTTAATAAGTTCATTTTTGTTCCGACTCTACGTTCTGAAACCAGAATTGATAAAAAACCGTTTGGAAATGTGTTATTTCAAAAATATATTTGATCGCAAATAATCAAAACGTTTTTTATCGCGATCGCAATCGCACAATTTTTTATTTTCAAGATCGCGATCGCAAAATTTAAGATCGCGTCCATCCTTGGTCTAGAATGAACAGCAATAATAATTATGTCCAATATTTTGCTACTCTCTTATCGTACGTATTTGAACATGTTTGGTATTATTTGGTCCATTTTCACTTCCCAACCAACCTGAACAGTAGGGGACGACTTTCTAGCAGTTTGGTAGGGCTTACATGGGACCCCCAACCCCCTTGAGACCATTGCCCCTTGCCCCGGCCTTGCCACGAAGGGCTTAGAATGAAACGAGCAATTCTTTCATCTTATGCATTCCATGCTTATAATATATTGAACCCTGAAATTTTACCCGAAGAAGTGGAATATGTTTTAGATTCTCCTCCATCTCTTTCATTTTTTCTAAACTCTTAGCCACTTTTTCTCTAACAACCTGAAAATTTAAAATTTACTTTATTAGGACGAATACATTAAAATAATATTACTTGAAGTGCCCCAGTGCTGATGCCCGAGACTGAGCTGCTTATGCTGATTGTGTCACACTCTTGACTTCTATGAGAGGCACGCTCATAAAAATTAGTTATAATGTCTAAAGGCATATCATCACTTGAGCAGCTCGAAAGGGAAGACACTGAAGGTGAATGATGCAATGGGACTTCAGGAATATTGTCTGCAGGCAAGGGATAGATAAATAAGTAATTAGCTCTGATTTTGTTCATGTTTGATAAAGACTTTCAAGTCAAAAATTCACCTTCAACTGTATGTAAAAGCTCTGTAACATCAGCCAGTGAAATGTTCTTATTGGTCATTTGATAAGTCTCTTCAAAATCCAATACAGCCTTGTTTAGTGCGTCTCGGCAAGAAACTGAAAAAGTTTTCTTTTCTTCTCTGGCCATATTTGTGAGTTTTTCTGCCACAGTTCTTTCCTCCAGTTTATCAGCCAGTTTGTTTTCACACTCAACCTTATGTATCAATTAAAAAAAAAGAACTTTTTAAACTTATTCTAACCTGCTGCTCAAGTTGCCAGACAACAGGACTGGTGATGCCCAGCAGAACCTCCATGGACTGACGCTGCCGCCTGCGTTCTCTTAATGTGCTGCTTGGTGCGGCTGTTTTAGAGTCCATAACCTCGCAGAAGCGAACAAAGTCTAGGTCGATGTGATACCCATAAGGGCAGCACTCACACTTTTTTTTAGTCTTCTTTGCTACTGTTGGTGGTGGTAGAAAAGGAGGCGTCTGACTCCACAACGTCTGATCCATTTCAGAGGTGCACTCAACCATCATTCTTAAACAAAAGCACCATAATTTTTAAATGTAAATAATTATTACATATTTGCAAGTACTTCAAGACATAAAGTAAAAATTTTATTTTTTTGCAACTAAAAGAATAAAAATATTATTTTTAAAGATCGCTACTCATATTGGTTTCCAGCTGCAATGGAACATTTAACGCCTGGTGCGGTAACCTTGAATGCCAATAAATGCAAAGCTAGGAAGTGAAGAACTCGGGCTTTTTCGTTTAAAAAATTTTTATTCAAAAACAAGACAGCTCTACCAGTTTTGATTACAGTCTGCAACCTTATTTCATGATCAAGAAAAATACGAGTGAACGTGCCGGCACACCGCTCGTGCGGCAGAAAAAAATAGCGAACATTTCGCTGGTTTCCTGCAATTTTTGCTACCAAATTGGACATTCTTGTAACATTAATGTACGAAAAACTTCTTATTTATTGTGCTTAAATTTACCTTGTAATTAATTATTTTAATTTTGCAACTTATAAAATTATTGGGGGAGATTCAATAGACTTAGCTCTCCCGGGATAAATCCAAAGGGATTAAATTTAAACCACTGTCCCAGGTTGAATATTTTTATATCGCCTTCAATTTTTTGTTCCCAAGTCAATGGGGATAACTTTTCTTAGCCTCCTCAACGGGACAAACATTTGACCCGCGCTAAAATCAAATCAGCTGGTAATTAAAAGATTCTCAACATGCTCGCGAACTTTTTAAATTTTGCCAATTGTAACGAAAAAAAAAACTTTCTCAAATCAGAATTTTTGTATTTCGAGTACTGCGATTCTGGTGCACCTTGCTTTCAGCATTTTTTAGGAGAACAATTCAGGATACTTTTTGTAAAATTTAACACATTCAAAGGCGTACACTGAGGAGGCTGGCAGGATCTGAGTGAAATTATTCAAAAAGTGGTCGGCAAGACTCGACAGGTGTCAATGCCTTCCAGTATCTTTTACCTGCCATCGCACGGATAACTCTCTTTTGAGCAATGAAAACCTTTTCCAACATAGGCGACCCACCCCAAATTACAATTGAGTATAGTGATTCCTTCTTTATGAAGAGATTATAATTTTATATTTCAATCCATCCCAAAATAAATGTTATATATTTTGTCAAAATTTTTAAGCAGAAATAAATATTTTTTACATTTATATATTAAAATATAATGCGTAAAAATAATTATCGCTATCTCCATGCAGATGTTATGCAATTTTCATCAAGATCAATTTTCATTTGTATTGGATTTTGTGAACACTAAAAAAATATACGTAAAGTACCCATAGTTGCAGTTTGCATCTTGGCGCCATCTCAGAAGATTTAGGACGAATGGTATTCAAATTCAATTCATTTATTTAACTTGCAAGTCAAACAAGAAATGGAAAAGTCTAGTTTGGGGAGAGAATTGCCTGCCTTGAGCTCTAGTAAACAACAACTAAATAGGCCCAATTACAATTAGGAAGCAAGTTAATATAATTATGTAGATAAGCAACAATAATAATCAATCACTTATTGTAATGAGATATTAGTTATGTTTGATATATTTTACTTAGAAACAATGACTTGTTGTAAAGGCTAAAGACAAATAGGAGATGACTGTATAACAATTTTCTAGGATGGACGCGATCTCAAATTTTTGCGATTGCGATCTTGAAAATCAAAAATTGGGCGACTGCGACTGCGATAGAGTATTTTAGTTTAGAATTTGGATTTATTTTAGATTTTTCCCTGACTCAAAAACGGGCGGAAAAACGAATGGCGTGGTCAAAATCAAGATCCCTTCAGCCGTTTTGGAGATATTGGCGTCTTAAAATCGAGTTCTTGGTACTTCCTCCTTTGAATTTACCCGTCGCTGCAACAATCGAAAATAAGAGACTGTCGAGAGCGGATTTGGCTGATCCCGACTTGGGTCACGTTAGGTCGTCAAAAGTAAATGAAAAATTAATCAAAGTGAATAAAATTTTGGAAAATAAAAGTTAAAGAGTTGCTTGACACGGCCCTTTAAATTAAATTATTTAATTTTCAGGTACACCTGAGATATAGAAGGGTTTGCTAAGAGTAGTGCCATTTGATAAATAATTTTTTTACAAACAAAAACTTAATGGGAAAGTTGTAGCCAAAGACATGTTCTTTCTTTTTTGCATTGAAAAATTTTGCGTCAAAATTTTTATTATCCCTGAAAAAATAAAATAAATTTGAAATTTATATTTTTAAACAAGAAATAAATTTTTTAGATTTTTTCTGAGATAGCCAATCGATTCAGCATGTATTCATTAGTCTATGACTAAATTTTCATCAAAAAATTCGCAGCCGTTAATAAATTATAGCTTAAAGTCCAAGGACACCTCTTTTGGCTGTTTTCAATAACACGACTTATCCGAGTATTTTGAGGATTATTTATTAACGGCTGAGACTTTTCTGATGAAAATTTAGTCATAGACTAATGAATACATGCTGAATCGATTGGCTATCTCAGAAAAAATCTAAAAAATTTATTTCTTGTTTAAAAATATAAATTTCAAATTTATTTTATTTTTTCAGGGATAATAAAAATTTTGACGCAAAATTTTTCAATGCAAAAAAGAAAGAACATGTCTTTGGCTACAACTTTCCCATTAAGTTTTTGTTTGTAAAAAAATTATTTATCAAATGGCACTACTCTTAGCAAACCCTTCTATATCTCAGGTGTACCTGAAAATTAAATAATTTAATTTAAAGGGCCGTGTCAAGCAACTCTTTAACTTTTATTTTCCAAAATTTTATTCACTTTGATTAATTTTTCATTTACTTTTGACGACCTAACGTGACCCAAGTCGGGATCAGCCAAATCCGCTCTCGACAGTCTCTTATTTTCGATTGTTGCAGCGACGGGTAAATTCAAAGGAGGAAGTACCAAGAACTCGATTTTCAGACGCCAATATCTCCAAAACGGCTGAAGGGATCTTGATTTTGACCACGCCATTCGTTTTTCCGCCCGTTTTTGAGTCAGGGAAAAATCTAAAATAAATCCAAATTCTAAACTAAAATACTCTATCATGAAATTGAAAAATCGTGCGATCGCGATCAAAAACGTTGCGATCAAATATTTTTTTTTTTAATACATTCCCGAACGGTTTTTTATCAATTCTGATTTCAGAACGAGGTGTCGGAACAAAAATGAACTCCGTAAATAATGAAAAGCCTTAGTTTTTTCAACTCATCGATGAATTGTAATATTTTTCTTTTTTTTTTAATCTTCCCTTCAATTTATTTTGTACAATGTTGCAAATGGGGCGCGTTACAGTGAGTCACTACATCGTGGCGACGCTTCATAAGTCAATAATAATAATAATAATTACCTGAAATTGAAATTTTTTTCTTCCAGATTTAGCATTAAATTCGCCCAGATTAAGCATAAAAATTGCTTTCCTCGATCGCAAAAAGATTGCCTGCGATCAACCACCTTTTGCGATCATCTTTTCAAAAATTGGTGCGATCGCGATCAGATCGCGACCGCAATCGCGGATCGCTTTTGCGATTTTGTTCGTCCTCTAATGCAATAAACTTTTAATCAAATATTTTTGTTTAAATTATTATGTAAAAGTGGTCAGAAGTCTCTTAACTTTCACTGGCAATGCTAGAACAAGGTTAAGAAGAGAAAATTATACTAACTTTTGGGAAGACTGCAGTGGAAATTTAATCTGATAGGAGGCAGTCCTCATTCACATCGTCTCCGGCCTATTAGATTTATTTATCCTCACATTCACGCAGTCGCCGACTCGCTAATTTTGACCTATAGAACAGATGCACAATGTATGAAAATCAAACAGGTGTCAAAATTACCTATGATGAAAACGTTATGCAAGCAAGCAACATTACTGAAACAGAGACAATGGGAGAAAAGGAGGGCGTCAGCCGCGTCAAGAACGAAACGACGAACTAAAAAGGTTGTAACTTCTTGAGTTCGTACCCTTCGTGTTGCTCCACCTCCGCATACTCTTCCTTCTGCCTTTGCAATCTGCATCTTCTTTTACGTTTTGAAACGTTGTCCGCAGACAAGGAGGCGGGCTGCGGTCCAAACTTTTAAGCACTTCACCTAGTGTAGATCCGCCCCCTTTAGTGTGAAAAGGATGCGGACCCTGCGGACTACGCGCCCTAAATCCAAGGAGGTTTTAGTGTTTAGGGCATAGTGCGCGAGGTTTGGATTAGTGTGTCCAACGGGAACGGGAATTTGCAGGAGTCCCGGGAATTCCCGAGAAAATTGCCTCCCGGGAGCGATTTAGTACCCATTTTGTCAAGGCAGGAGTGAACCGGGAAAATTTTCTCGGGAGCGGGAATTTCCGGGAGCAAAATTATGAAAAACCTTCAGCAAAATTAACTGTTTTTTACAATTTTCTTTTTTTCAATTTTTCGCTAGAAAAAACCCTGTTTTATACTCCAAAAAATTCGAATTTTCGCTATAAAAAAGGTAAAAAAAACTTGTTCTTACTTATATTTGAAATTTTCATTATAAAAATTAAAAATAGTAATAACCGGGACTCCCGGGAAATTTTTTTCGGGAACGGGAATTCCCGGGAGATATTGGACACAGAACTCGCCGGGAGTGGGTGGGAAAACGAGAATTTTTCCGGGAATGGGACTCCTCGGGAGAAAAATTTACTCCCGATGGACTCACTAGTTTGGATTGGACCGCGGCCCGCAGCCCTTGTCTGGCAAAAACTTGCTGTGACGTCATTGCATGTGTTTGTTAAATCTCAAAACTCTCATTTTTAAGTAAAATAGGGTAGGGACTTGTGGAGGAAGAAGACATTCGTTAACGCGCATGTGTAACCTCCAAATACGCAGGACCTCATTTTATAGCACCATTTGTTGTTGACCTTGATAATAAGAATAGCATTACAAGGTCATGCAATGCTGATCGCTATTAGATAAGAAAACATGGCGTCCATGACGTCATTGTTGGTTAGCCAATCGTGGAAATTCATAGTTTAAGAACGGCTTTAACTTCTTGTCAGGACAAGAAAAGTAATTTTCAAGAAGTGTCTTTTCTTGTTAACGCAGACGACGTTTCCAAACGCACCCTTAAAAACCACCTCAGTTTTTCAAACACCTCCTATAGCAAAACTCCTTGAATTCCTTGAAAAGAGTGGTGGGGGCGCTGATGATCCAACGTTGGATCCAGCTAACAACAACAACAACCAACTAATTTGAAGAAAGGGTCTATGGAGCTTTGAACGCTGCTGAAAGGTAATTGACAGTAATTAAATAATTCATATATAATTCAGCTACAGCTAAGGTAATAGAGGTGGACGTAGCTGTTTTTTCCTCTTTTACATTACATTAAAATCCTCACATTTTATCTTGAATTTATATGGTTTACCAAATATAGCTATTAAATATAAGAAGAAGTACGCAAATTTATGTTGATTTCATTTCAAGCACCCGTGATGCCGAATTTGATAATTCCCGCATCGGAAATTATGAACAATAATGTCATCGAACCTGCTGTGAGTCATGAAATTTAAGTGTTAAAAATATATACATATTCTCGCCAATTTTCCTTCTAGCAACAGCAACCGGTCATAAGCCACAATATCATCATCATTCACCCAGGTTCACAGAATCTGCGAATCGGAAGGGCTTCAGACCCTTATCCCGTCACCCTGCACCATGCTATTGCAAGGAAAAGATTAAGACCGGATTTGATTCAAGTGGACACATTATTGCCAGCCATTTACAATGTGCGTTTCATCGATATTTCTAATGTGTTTTATTGACAAAATATTGCTAAGAGATGGCCCAGGTTTTTCCAATGAAAATCTATGGAAATGAAAATATTGGGCTTTTCCTCGTTGTAAAAATTGTTTTATTCAAAAAGAAATGGCTCTACCAGTTTTGGTCATTCTTTTGTATTAGTCAGCAAGCAGCACGTTAGCTCATGACAGGGTTGCAGACCCGACCGAAACTGGTAGAGCCACTTGTTTTAGAATGACACCAATTTTTACAACGAGGAAAAGCCTGATTTCTTCATTTCCATGATTATCTCCTCAAGTGTAAACTTTTTCAAAAAAAAAAAAAAAATCCACTTTGATTTTGAATATTTGATCATTAATAATATGATCTCTGATATCCCAACCATTTAGGATCAAAATATATTGGCTGAGCTGGATGAGGCAAGACTTCAAGTCAGTCATATCCTGCAGTCATGTCTACAATCTGATGGATCAAGACGTTATGCCACTCCTCCACAGCAGATTTCTGCTTTCAATCGTAGATCTCGGTTGGAAGTGGTCCGAAATACCAAAGAGGAGCCTTTTTCCCACGAAAATGTCATCATTGGAGATGATGTACTACAAAATTAGGAATTTAAATTTTTTTATTAAGATTATTGCAGGTCCTAAATTTGCCAGAAAATGAAGAGTATAATGTCTTCTACCCCATCAGAAGGGGTGTCTTTAACATACACGCCGGAGTTGGCGGATCTCTTACATCTGTCCTGCACGACCTGGAGACTATTTGGTTGCATGCCATTGAGAAGAGGTTAAAAATACCAAGAAAACATTTTCCGGTATTGTTGATGTTCTGTTAGGAATAAATAAAAATAATTAAAATTAATTTCATCAGGTCTATAAAGTGGTCCTTGTGATTCCGGACATTTTCAACAGGAAACACTTGTCGGCGCTGATGAACTTGGTGCTTACTAGAATGAACTTCAACTCATGCTTTTTGGTCCAGGACCACATAGCAGCGACATTTGGCGCGGGCTTTACTTCAGCCTGTGTAGTTGATGTTGGGGACCAGAAAACTTCAATTTCATGTGTTGACGATGGAATCTCCCAACCAAGCACAAGGGTTCAAACTTTGAATAATTTTTAATTTCTTCAATAAAAAAATGGATGAATTTTTAGATACGACTCGATTATGGTGGAGGTGACATCACAGTCGTTTTCTATAGATTGTTGCAGAAATGCTCATTCCCTTATAAGCAGTGCAACCTATTAAAGACTAAAGATGCTGTTTTACTGCAAAAGTTAAAGGAGGACTTCTGCCATGTTGATTTGGTAAATTTTTGGAATTCTAATTTGAATATATTATGTGAAGATTTATATCTTATATACCCGCAGTTCTAAGGTTCTATATTTTTTTACTCGTTACATAGCTAAAAAATTTAAAAAAAAAGTCCGTATACATAGCATTTTTCAAATGATAAAATTTCTTAACAGATTTCTGCAAGTTGTAGAATTTTTGCCCTAATACAAGTGGTTGTAGAAATTGACACTCAAGGAGATGATCATACAAGTGAAGAGATGAAGAGATCGGACTTTTTCCACGTTGTATAAAATAAAACCCGATCTCTTCACTTCTTATACAAGTGCCTTACTTAACTAACAATTGTTAACCTCCTTGTCACTTTATAGGTTCTTAAAATCATAAACTCAGGGGTTCTACACTACATACTTTTTGGTGATTTATTTCCTTCATAACCAGTTTGTTTCAACAAAAAAAAAATAATAATGTTCATCTTATGAAACGTACTCCCAGCGTCATATGCCTCCCAGTTCTTTCAGGTGACGCAACCCTAGTATTAAAGTTAATTACTTTACCTTTGACTGCGAACAATGAAAATAATGGTAATTTTACTTTTCTAAACAACTGTTATGCCTACTCCAATTCTGCTGTAAAATATTTCATTTCGAAGTTGGTGCTCATTTATTAATATTTATTCTTATTCCTGGTGATACAAAATTTTAAAAGTTGTCCGGAAATAAACGGAAGGAGAGAGTTAACAACTAGCAGATGCTGTTGCGGTAAACCCACGCATTAAAAAAAGAAAAACAATATCACAAACACTTTAAAATCTTGAATTACTGCCATAAATGCGCCTTGCAGATTCAAATCGCTTGGGGGCAGATGGCAGATGGTAGGTTTTGGAAGGCTAGTGTGCCCCGGCCGAACTTATTATTATTGTTGTTTATTCTTCACAAATCAAGTCAAATGAGAAAAAAAAAATTACAAAATGTGAAGAAACGGCAACACCTCTGGCAAACAAGTTTGGTTGGGGGAAGCTCGAGGGTTGCGTCGCCTCGCTGATCACTGCCCTCGATGATGCGTGCGCGCGCTCTAAACCTTTCTTGTAAAAAATTTTTTGCCTTAACCGTTAAGGATTTGTTGACCATAATTTCTAGTCCAACCATTTTGCAAAATTCGTTAATGACACTGTAACCACTTGTTTCATTATCTTCTGGCAAAAAACAATAAGAAAAAATGAAATGCACAGGAATAAAATCTTTTTTATTTCAGGATATATGTGGTCCTAGAGAAAAATCCTTTGAAATAACTTCTTCTGAGGGCTGCGTGCAAAGAGTTACCCTGCAGGTTGGAGACGAATGCCTGATTGCCCCTTTGAGTCTCTTTACTACAGACCTGTTGTCTATAACCGGCACAAAAGGTGTCCATGGACAGGTCTCCTATGAGTTCCAGTCTGAGGATCCTCATGACGCCAACTATCTCAGGGAAACCAGTGTATGTAGTTAATTGATGTTTTTGCTTTAAAAAGCAAAACATTTTCATTTTTGTATTGACCGAGAAGAATAAATAATATTTCATTAACAGCGGAAAGCAGCCAAAGAAAATCTTGACGTGACTGGTGATGGACCTGGAAACATGTCTTGTCTAGGGAATATCCCTCTGCCTTTAGACATAAACAGTGTAATGGAGGAAGACATTGTGGTAGATGGATTGGATCCTACTTTCCATGCCAGTTCACTGTTAACAGCAGCTGGTAATATCTTGCAGGAGAAGGAGATTTTTGAGTCGGAAATTTTGCTCAGCATTGACCAGGCTATTATGCAAAGCATTGAAAGATGTTGTAAGTGTCTTAGATAAAATTTTATAATCTGGCTTAAAAAAAATTAAATTACCAGCTGAGGAATTGAGGAAAAAAATGTATTCCTGTGTGCTGATTGTGGGAGGCGGAATGAAATTTGTTGGAATCAACACCTGGCTGCAAAACAAAATCAGTCTGCAGATTCCCTACATGTATAGAAGTGGTGAGTTAATTCAATCTGATATCATCATTTGTAAATGAACTTTCCAAGTTTTCTCTAATTAATTTTTAAGAGTCGCACAATCCAGTACCCTTTAATGGTAGTGTAGACTACAGACCAATTTAGTCTGTAGTGTAGACCAATTAATTTTATTTTTTCATCTCATGTTTCCTATATCCGCTAAAATCTCCTAAAATCTAAAATATTTATATCTAAAACATTCCGAAAAAAGAACCTATCTAATTCTGGATTGGTTGTTATTTTTTATTCGCAATAAAAATCTGTTTCATTTGGGAAACAAAAATTAATTGGCTCCTATCTAAAATTCCTATTGCACACCTTTTTGTGCAATTTGAATTTAATGCGCGTACTAATTTTTAATGTTTATTTGTCAAAACCGGACAAAAATTTGATATCTGAGGCATAACAGAAAAAAATAATTTTTCGGAGCCCACTCATAACACAGCCGCCCTTTTATCCTTGCCCTCCGAACGACCTTCCCCACGTCCTCGACCTTGCTGTGCCTCCATCCCTTGCTCGCGGCTTCTGCGAAAATTATTCTTGGGTGGTTGCCCAACTCCGAGTTGCCGGTCTTGTTCGTGTTGTGCGTGCAAATCTTTTTTTTATATTTATATTTTTGAGGGTCAGGTCAAGACAAGTCTTGCCGGCCTGTGCCCTTTATTAGTGGTGCAGAAGTCACCACCCAATTTTTTTACTATTATTATTTAAATTTTTGGGTTCAACTTTATTTGAAAAAATCTTTATTTTTTGCTGGCATATCCTTAATTTTGGTCCACGCGATGATGACAAACAAAGCTGTAAACTAAAAAAGAGAGAAAAGTTTAAGAAGGATTTGGATTAGGTTTGGGTTGGGGAAGGTCAGATTTTGATATTTTATGGGTGGTTGGATTTAATGCATAATTTTTGTGCTAAATCTTTTATCGGATATTTTTTATTTGCGCTGCAATTTTTTGTAAAGGATTTTTTAATTATTCTATTTTTGTTAATTTTTGTGTATTCGGGAACTGCAATTTTTGTTCAGTTTGGAATTAAGGCTTGATACCATAATTTAATGTTCTCTTTAGCCGTATTAATTGTATTAAAGTTTTTTAAGCGGGCAGGCAACTTGTTCCAAAGTCGCGGCATAATAAGTTCCCACGTTCTTTCGTGAAATCAATTGTGCCTAAGAGGCATCACAAGCGGGTCGGTTTGCGCCGTGCGTGTTGAATAATTGTGCGTTCTCAATTCAATTCAATTTTATTGTTTTTCTGTTAGACAAGAATATTAACAGTAGTCTTTAGAACATGTCAGGTCTAAAATTAAAATTTAGAGAAAAAAACCCGTTGCTTAGGGCAAAGGGGAAAAACTATAAGATTAGCGCGAGAAATTTCACTTGTCAAAACTGCACATAAAGTTTCCGTCAAAATATTTTAGAAGAATTATATTCTGTTCAAATATTAGCTCAAGCGGCAATGCGTACCAAATTTTAAAAACATTTTCATTATGTGCTTTTAACTGATTTTTTTCTCGACCTTTTTCTCGCTGACGTTCCCACCCTTGTTGCGGCCACGGAGGTGGTCTCGGGGGTGAGCGACCACGACGCCCTTCTCGCCACTCTCACGGCCACAATGCTGCGCCCGGTGTTGCCGCCGCGCGAGACGTTTGATTTTAAGAGAGCAAATTGGCCAGAGGTTAATAACGCATCAGCGAGTCGCCTTTTGGAAAAATTTTCAAACTGCAGGAAATCAATGAAATGTGGGAAAATTTTACAATGATCGTGTTTGACAGCGCGGAGGAATTCATACCCAAGAGGAAAATCGGAGGAAACAAACGACGTCTGGTCCCATGGCTCAATCAATATGTAAAATCGCTGATAAAAATTCGCGACCGACTTTTCAAAAAATGGCTGGCGGAAAAAACAAACGACTCCAGGCAAGTCTTTTTAGCCGCGAGGAAAATAACTCAGTCTGCTATTCGATCCGCACGCGAAAACTGGCTGTGGAAATTGGGAAAAGGCCCAAATGGGAGCTCTGAATTCTGGCGGTATATAAATGGAAAAACAAAGGTGCCAAATAACACCGCCAGTTTTGAAATGCGAGGTTTAAATGTGACGGAACCACGGGAGGTGGCAGCTGGCTTCAGCGACGTTGTTCAAGAACAATTTCTCGCGAGTCACAAATATTTTCCCATTCATTAGGCGCACTTCAGCATTACCCCTTGCGAGGCTCGTCAAATCGTCGGCAAAGACATAGAGGGTAGCAGCTACGCTTTCCAACGAGAAGTCGTTTTCATAGGCCGTGTAACTAAATGGTCCTAGCGACGTTCCTTGCAGTACTCCAATGGAGGAGTCCAACGTTGCAGATGTTACGTTCGTTATAGTCTGGTTTTCGTCAAGGTGCCTAAGTTGAACCACTTGTTTTCGACCCGCGAGGAATGATTTTATCCAAGAGAGTGATTTTTCATCGAGTCCATAGCATCTCAGTTTCCCGATCAGCATTTCGGGCACAACGCAGCCAAACGCATTCGAGAAATCGTATAGGATCATGTTCACTTTCTCTCGTTTCTCGATAGACGAGTGCTAGTCCGTGACTAGGTCATAGAGTGCTGTTACCGTGCTTTTGCCTTTTCTGAAGCCGTGCTGGAAGCCTTGAATTAGTTGGTTGTCCGAAAAGTAGGCGTCAATTCTATTTAGGTAGCATTTCTCAAATATTTTTGCAACCGTTGACGTGAGAGCGATTGGTCTGTAGTTTGCTGCGTCGTTTTCCTCGCCCTTCTTCTTGTAGATAGGTACAATGGTCGCCAGTTTTAAATTTTCAGGAAATTTCCCCTCCACGAAGGAACAGTTTATTAAATCCGAAAGTGGCGTTGCAATGTAAGCGGAAATTTGTTTGATGACGCTCATGGATATTCCGTCCCAGCCAGCTGATTTTTTTGCAGGAAAGGCGCCAATGACTCTCCGAATCTCGTCTGGTGTTGTCAATTGATTAAGTGAAAATATCGTCTCCACTAGTGGGACGTCCTCAATGGCGAGTTGTATTTCTTGTTCACTCATTTCGGGAAGTGGCTCGATAAATTTAGTGTTCAGGAAGTCAGCAATTTTCTGCAAATCTTTTTCCTCTTGCTCGTCTATGCAGATTTCTGAGATAGTGGTGGATGTAATTTCATTGCCAACAATGCCAACATTCTCCTTGATGATTTTCCAAGCCTTGAGACTTAATTATTTGAACTCCTGAGCTTTATTGCTTCATTGTTTTTCCTGATCTCATCGTTAATTAGGAAGCCGACGTAGCTTTTTGAGGCTCGCCACCTGCTGCTCCAGGTCCCTGATCTTGTCTGCTTCTGATTGATTGGTGATTGTATTTGCTCTTGCTTTCTTTCGTAGTTCTTGGAGCTGTTCACTCATTTCTCGCAGCCTGATTTTGTTGTTTATTGTTAAGTCAGAGCGATGAATTTTCCCGGCTTGGTTTGCTTTGCGGATATTTTTTCTCAAAGGGAAGCTCGCATCAAAATATTTTTTCAGTTTTTCCATGAACAAATGGCTCTTTGTGTCAGCTGAAGTAGCGGCGAAGATGTCCTGCAAGCTCTCGTGGCTTAATTTTTCCTTGAAATTTAGCCAATTTTCATCATTATAGCTTCTTGAGAAGACGAACCAGTCCTTCATTTCTTCTACTCGAACCTCAAACTCGATGTGCACTGCGTTGTGGTCGGAGAAATTGACTTCTTTGACTTCAAATCTAGCATCACACTGAAGGGAGGTGAATGCGTGGTCAATGTGTGTGCTGCTGTGAGCAGTCTCTCGTGTTGGGGCATTTTTATTGATGAGGTGCATCTCGTAGCCTTTCATTATATGCTATTTAGTTTCCGGCTTTCGGCGGAGTCCTGGAGCAGGTTAATATTTAGATCCCCCAGAACAATCATCTCCTTCTCTGGTGCCAGATTTTGCTCCACAAGACTCTCCAGGTTGTCGAAGAAGGACTTCATAGTGCCGTGGTTGGGTGGTCGGTAGACATTAAGCACCGTCAACGTTGTTTTCTTAATTTTAATTTCACACCCTGCCGTCTCAAATTCATTTTCGATAGAAGAAGTTGGAATCTTCTTGTGGCTAAAATTAGCATTTGATGAGACAAGAATGACAGCACCTCCTCCGTATGATTTTTTTTATCTTTTTTCTCTTTCCTGCCAAAAAATGAAATGGTTTTGTAGCCTTTTATTCTGAAATAATCGCCCCGACACCACCAGTGCTCGTTGAGAGCGATGATGTGTGGTTTTTTGTTGAGGCTGTTGACGTGTTCTTCGAAAGATGCAAATTTTTCGGCTTTGAGCAAACCCTGTACGATTAATAGCATTATTCTCAAATTTTTGTGGGTTTTGGCGGAAATTGTAACCGTCACTTCTTCTTGGTCATCTTGCTGGTCATCTCGTTTTTTGAGAATTTAATTCCGGAATTTAAGTCGAAAAGCTCACTATTTTTTCCATTAACATTTACACAAAATTTTCTATTTTTTAAGTCGGTAGAAAAAAGGGAAAGCAATTCCAATATTTTCTAATTTTTTTTTATCAAAATGTCATGGTCTAGCACACCAAACTTACAAAGTTGAACCCAAAAACAAAAATTAAAAAAAAAAAAATAAATTGGGTGGTGCCTTCTGTACCACCAATAAATGGCACAGGCCGACAAGACTTTGTCTTGGTCTGACCCTAAAAAAAAAAATTAAAAAAATAATAAAGAAAAGGCGTTGCTGTAATCAACAAAAACTGCTAATGTGTGCTAATTCTTAATTATGCATACATGCGTCGCACCTTCTGTTGAGTTCTCCTTGGTGATTTAGAAAAAAACTAGTTTCCTTAAAAATTACACCGCTACCAGTATTGATAGCGCGCCGTAAAACCACTATTGTATGCGAGACGTTATACTATATACTAACATGGGGAAGCGCGGTACTTTTGACCGCTCTGCGGCCGCGGAACTCTTGGTCCCATGGACCTAGTAAATCAATGGTTGGTCCCCTGAGGATGTCGGAGTGTGCAATGAGAAGGCAAAAATTACTTTTCAGAGTCGGTTTATTTGAACCCAATTTGGGTTCAATTTTAGATTAACTTTGTTCACAAAATTTGGCGAGGTGCACGGGTGAAGATTTCAGCCAACATGGCTGCCTTCGGGAAGGTTCGCGTACATTCAGGATTTTATCACACGAGCGCCATCAAGTGGTGACGGCCAAAGGGGACCCCCTTTTAAGACTGTAGGTCTTATAATTTGTCTGCAAAAATTCAGGGAAATGCACTTTGCTACCAGCACGAGTTTACCTCGGAGTCGAAGAGAAGTCTCGGAATGTCAAGTCCAGAGAACTGTCGGCACTTGGGCGCAGTGAATCAAACGCCTTTTGAAGCTGGCTGGCAAGTTGAGACTGCGGCGCTTTGTTGGGCGCCGGCTCGAAAAACTCACCAGGAACTCGGGGATTGTGTCCGAGCACCAACTGGGCAGAAGTTAATGCCAGGCACATCGGAGGCCCAACATCACCGCAGGCAGCGCCGAAGTCTACGACCGTGGGTGACAGCGCAGAGCAGCCTTCAAAGGCCTATGGATGCACTCGACCATGCCATTCGCCTGCGGATGGTAAGCTGTGGTGTGATGAACTTCAAATCCCAGCTTCTCACCCAAATCATGAAACACATTGGAGGTAAATTGCCGCCCTTGGTCGGACACCACGTATGCGGGCACTCCAAATTGGGCCACCCAGTGCAGTAGAAACGCGCCAGCAATCTCTTCAGCTGGGATGTCCGACAAGGGAATGACCACGGGCCATCTCGTCCACCTGTCCACCATGGTCATGCAGTACTTCTTGTTGTCACTGGAAAGAGGGAGAGGTCCAATCAGATCAACATGAACAACTTCAAAACGCTCCGTAGGGAGAGGAAAATTTGCCAAAGGTGCATTTGTGTGCCTCGTAATTTTTTATTGTTGGCACTCCAGGCAAGTCACTGCGTCTGCTCGTTTTGTTTCCGAACAAATTGCTGCCTTTCGTCTTCTACTCGACCGCGCGGTGTATCCAAGGTCAACTCACTGTTTTTTTTCCGGAGAGATCGAAACGACAGCCATAAGGGCGGCTACCTCCAGTTGTAGTGACCTGAGTGTTTGTAGAATCCAGTCATCAGACTATTTGCCGATGAAACGAGGCTCTTTCGGGGTGCGGTGGCCTGTTTTTCCGACAAAGTGTCTTTGTTGATGTTGTTTTCGCAGTGTCGCCGCCAGCCGCCATTGAACTTTTTACCGTCCAATTTTGACCTAATCAACGCAAGATTTTGGCCACCTTCACTCGCAGGGCAAGAAGGACTCTTTATATACCAACTCCGATCAGTAATAGAAGCTTTCTCACTCAAAAAACTTATTTTCTTATCAAAAGTAGGTAACAAACAAATTTTACACGTCCATATATTTCAAATGGGGGCGTGTCTAAAAAAAATGGTCATGACGATTGCGTCCTGGGAAAACTTGGAAAGTGTTTTTTTTTTACTTCTACAAGTAACACCCCTCCGCCTCTATTGAAATATTTTAATTTTTATGGTGATATTATTATTATTATTCTTTATTGACTTATGAGTCGTCGCCACGATGTAATGACTCACTGCGACGCGCCCCATTTGCAACACAGTACACAGTATATTACATTTCAGAGCAAATGGATGTCCTAACATTCCTTAAAGAAACTGACCCACAAATTACAACTTGGAAAGGAGCGAGCTTGATGGCTACACTTGAGTCGGCTTCCGAGTTGTGGATAAAATCTCAAGACTGGTTAGATAACGGAGCTAAGACACTCAGGGAAAAAGCTGCATTTGTGTGGTAGAATGTTTCAAGTTAAGTATGAATAAAACAATTTTCAAAAATATGCATTTGGTCTTTTCCAAACCAATTATTATTAATATACATAAGTTATTTGGGTACATTTGCAAATATTTTCGAATATATCCAAATATTTGGTTAAATATGGTGTTCGTGGGTGTGTTTCTTACAGTTGCTTGGCTTCATTTAGTACACTTTTAGTGCTCTTGTTACTGTGTTTTTGTTAGGCATCAAGGAGCGTTTTAATGTGTATTTGTGCCTTTGTAGCGTTTTTTTTCCTGCTGGTGAGTGATGCAGATTTACGTTTTGGTGTTTTATTATTATTATTACGCATTGCATTGTTTTTTGGGTATATATCCAGTAAATTCCAGATTATGATTTTTGGGTTGGCACTACTGCATATGCACTGGCTGGTTGTGTACTTTGAACTTTGTCACCGGTTTATTTCGGCGTTTTTACATATTGCTATGGCTGTAAGTGGGCGTTTTTTCTACAGCTGGTTGTCTGCTTCCTTATACACTTTTATTGTTAAGTTACAGTGTTTTTGTGATTTGTACTCCCTCAAAATGTGTTCTTATTGGTGTATCGGTTTGTGTTTTGTGTGTTTTCTTGTGTTAAATAGTAAATTATTCGCAATTCTTTCCGTCCGTATCCACATATATATGGTTAAATATGGTTGTTATTGGGTGTGTTTCTTTCAGCTGCTTGGCTTCAATTAGTTCACTTTTGTTGTTCATGTTTCTGTGTTTTTGTGCAAATGTGCAACATCAAGAAGTGTTTTGTTCTGGTTTTATTGTGTATTGGTGCCTTTTTTGCGTTTCTTTTCTGTTGGTGAGTTAATGCATTTTACATTTTGGTGTTATGCATTGCCTAGGTGGTGGCAGGGTGGTGGTTTTTGTGTTTTCTTTTTTCGCTCAGATCTTCGTGGAAATTATACTTTTGAAGTGGTCAGTCAATGTTTATTTTAATTTGTCTTTATAATGTCGCGTAAACGCATTTATTGTATTTTGTTGAAATAAAATCCGGCCTCCTCAGTGGAGATGAGCAACTTTTTTGTTTCTGCATGGTAATGGTAAAGAAAATCACTGCTCTACTAGTTTCGGTTGCGGGTTGCAACCCTAATTTATGAGCTGTTGAAATGAAATAAACTGATAATTAACCAATTTTAATTACATTTTGAAAAATTAACATGCAAATTGTATAAAAAAAAATTAAATTAAATTCCATAATTTTAAAATATAGATCATTGGAATTAATTTGTGAATGACGTATTTTAAAAGTTGTCAATGCGTTGATGACTTAATGAAATAACAATTATTCTTAATCTGAATGCGTAGAGCTACCCCAGATTTCATTAGAGTATAGTATTCGGCTAGCTGCGTGCGCATGATAGGCTTAATTGGACTAGAGTTAATTCTAATGTACATTTTTAAATCCCAGGGCGCACTTTATAGGAGCAAATTATTTAACAATCGGTCGCAGCCTTTTGACCTTGACCCACCCGTCAAGTGGCGTGCCGACTGAGTCGGCTAGTGCAATTTTTCCACTACAAGGCCCTTTTTAGCGCTTTAACCAGCGTGTGCGCATGTATGAGGGAACGCGACAGAATGAAGTCACGTCATCAATAATCTTCAAGAGGCACTTGACAGAAAAGTCCGCAGGGATAGAAATGTGGCTAACGAGAGAGACTTTGTTACCAATTCAGAATTCTCCCTCACACTCTACTGGATGCAATCGTGCTCTTTTAAAGCATCGGAACGTGGAAAATCTTAACACGGAACATATTTATTTAAACTAAAATTTTAAACGAAAAATGAGTAAAAGGAGTAAAAGATTAAAAAAATTTAATCTGCTGATTGTACACCCTTTCTTCTATTTTTCCCAATTTAAAATTTATGTACTGACCAAGAAGAATAAATAATAATTAAAATTATTATAAATAAAAATAATAAATCCAGATTTGCATATCAATAGATGGATATACTTATCAAGTACTTTGACCACTCCTTTCCATTGAAACGTGTAACTATTAGAGCTAATCAAAACGGTAAAATTAAATTGACTGGGGAAACAAGAAAATTACAAAAAGACATGATTAAGCTCAGCAATGAAATTAATTTGAACTTAGATCAAAATAAAATATTAGACATGACGTCAATATTAAAAAGTATTTAGAAGAAAATCTTTGATAATAATCAATAAGAAACAAAATTTCAATTTTCATTTGACAGTAAAATATCAAGGAACCATAATAAATCTAGTGCAGCCTGGAAACTAATTAATTCACAAACTGGTAATAGAAAAAATGTGTTGAATATTGATGGTGTTAATGAGTCAATTAAACTTAATATTGCCAACCACTGAACAACAAGTTTGTTGAAATGGAGATAGATACGAGTAATATAAATTTAGATGACTCCTCAAAACTAATAGACGATATCAATATTACGGCTCAAAGCCTGCAGTTTATGGAAGAATTTGAGATTAATAATTAATCAACTTCCAACAAAATGCTCATCTGGATGGGACGGGATTTCAACAAGTTTCATAAAAAAATTCAATTTACATTACCGCCCCCCTCACCCATCTTAAAAATGAATCATTTTTTGGAAGGGAAATTTCCTGACAATATGAAATTATCCAAAATTATTCCTCTGTTTAAGAAAGGTGAAAAAGGACGACCCCTCTAACTATAGACCTATAGCTATAACTTCAGCAGTTTCTAAAGTGTATGAAAAAGCCTTTTTACATAGACTAGATTAGATACTCACTTAAACGTAAATAATATCTTAATCCCAGAGCAACATGGTTTTAGAAAAGGAAAAAGTACAGTGACCGCCCTTTAAAGTTATGTGACATCTTTGTATGAATCTTTTGAAGCCAGGGAGAAGGTTAATGTTATACTGTATGACTTCTCAAATGCGTTTGGAAAAACTTAACTCTCCCCTTCTTGTGCATAAACTTAAATTATACGGCTTTCATAAAAATCTGCTATCATGGCTGGAATGCTTTTTGACGAATAAAAAACAATTAGGGCGATCCAAAAGGCAAACTTGGCCCAGGGTAGATTTGGGGTCTACCCAGAAATCTTTCAATTTTCCGCGACAGTGGCCATATATACATATAAGAGGATATGTATAGGGTTGGGGAGCTAGTAAGCGAACGACTCGAGGGCTATTCAGCGAAATAATGCTGATTCGTCAAGAATAAAGTGGCTGTATACATATTTAGCCCTTTCTCGCTTGCATCTTCTTCTCTCGCGGGGTGGGAAACTGCAAGACTGCCATCGGATGAAAACTGCTCAGTGTGGCATTTTAAAGCAGATGCTCTGTTTGTGACAATTGCTGTGGAGTATAAAAGGAAATTAAACCGGTTCTTGAGGCACTAGCTCGATCACTGTTGCTGGAAACAGGGAAATTAAGGCGAAAAATTTTATTGTATTTTTTTTCCGAATATAACTAGATATATTTATATGGAATAAATAAGAATAATAAGATACTTTAATAAACATGATTAGAAACTATATTTATTGGAAGAAGTTGCAAGTCCAGCCAACTCCTAGCGGAGTTAGAGGCCAGTGCTTATAGGATTGGCGAGGAAGGCAAAGCCAAACACATCACTACAATGCTACAAAAATTTTTTACATGTGAATGCATACAAGAATCTTACAGAAAGAACATGGTATTTTTATAATTGCAAAAGAAACAATTTTCATATTACATTTAACAGCATTTTTTTAGAATCTAGATTTATAAAATTTCTGGCAAGGCATTCCACAGTCTAGTATAAGAATATTTATTATATTTATTTACACTAACCGGCATAACTAGAGGCGACGACATTCTCCATACTATTGAACATCGACGGATTCGAGCGATTGCAATAATGATCCCTCAAGTTGCTCAGAATCAGAATAATTTTTATTTCGTTAAATTCTCTACGCATTGACAACTTTTGAAATACGTCATTCACATATTAATAAAAATTTACATTTCATAGTTACAGATGAAAAATTAATTCTTGTCATAGAACTGATATTTATATACAATTTCTCTAATTTTACAAATAAACTCATTTATATCTTCAATCATTTTAACATCTATTGGGAAACATATGAATATTAGAGCTATCTTCACTACAGGGTTTTGGTTTAATACGTCTAAATGATTGTCGATCTCAATATGAGATCATTATTACAACGTTTATTTTTTGAAATTTTTATATTTCGGACTTATGCAGTTTGGTACTTCAGACTTTTTCCTAAATTTTTCAGGATACTTTATAAAAAATTTCCTACATTCCAACTCATTCCAACATATAGAGAGAGTAAACAGTTAAAATATTCCATATTTAGTAATAGTAAACAGCGGCCTACATGTATCAAGAACACCATTACTCCTCCAATACTTTAGCCCAGCCATCGCCCGGACAACTCGTTTTATTATTTATTTATTTATTTATTCTCCATTCATGGTACATACAACGCAAAAAAAGTACACTGTACAAAAAAAAGCGGAATCATGCATCGACATAAAAAAGTACAAGCATATACAAAAAATGCCAAAAATACAGGAGTCGGAAATTTATGTATAATGCTGGAAATACATTGGAATAAAGAGAAGAAAGGGTTTACAACTAGCAGATGTCTGCTAAAACGCCCGACATCAAAAGAGACGGCCGCCGCGGTAAACCCACACTATCGGAAAAAAAGAACGATATCACAAACACTTTAAAATCTTAACTCTTGAATTACTGCCACAAATGCTCCGTGTGGACCTGCCACCGGAGATCCCTCGAGATGTGGACGCCGAGCATTCGCTCCTTGTCCACGAACTCGAGCACCGATTCACCGAGGTTGTAGACGAACTCCAACCGATCGCGCGCGTGAGAAATGTCCATCACTTTGCACTTTTTTGCGTTAAGTCTCATTCCGTTATTTGAACACCACAGGTCAATGTTGCACAGATCTTCCTGCAGGCGTTTTCGGGAGAGTTGATTTCCATGTAGATGGTCGCGTCATCGGCGTACTGAACCAGGGTGCTATTGCCCATGACTTCAGGGAGGTCAGCAACGAAAATGTTGAAGAGGAGGGGCCCCAAAACACTGCCCTGAATCACTTCGGACGAAACCTCACAGGGCTCGGATTGAGCGCCATTGCAGGAGACGAACTGAGTTCGGCCGACGAGAAAATTTTCCACCCACTTAAGCAGCCGCCCTTTTATGCCGTATAGTGGGCGAGCTTTGAAAGGAGCCGTGCGTGCGGCACCCTGTCGAAGGCCTTGCTCCAGTCCAGAAAAACTGCATGAATGTGCGCACCGCTTGTCTTGTCCAGGGTCGCCGTCTATCTGTCACAGTAGAAACAGTAGCAGCAGCTTAATTTCAATGACTTAATGTTTTTCAAGAAATGCACCAGTGGCGAAACTGACAAGGATGCAAAGGCGAGAATCACTACCGGCCGAGTGATGAGAAATAGTGGCGGCGAGCACCCTTAATTCTCCCAACAGAGCTCGGGCGACAAAGTTTTTCTTTTTGAATAGCAAATCAGTGGAATTCCCTGCCAGCTGCGTTAAAAAATTGTATCTCGGTGAATCGGTGCTCGAGAACGTGGACAAGCAGCGTTTGCTCGGTGTCCACATCGCGAGAGACCTTCGGTGGCAGGTCCATATGGACATTGTGTGCAGCAAGGCGTCCCAATCTCTCGGCTTCGCGGCACGAAACTTGCGCGGCTGCACTCCCCGCGTCAAAAGAATTGCATACCTCTCTCTCGTCAAGCCAATCATGACTTACGGACTCCCTGCGTGGCACCCCACGCTGAAGGAGAACGTCAACAAACTCAATCGAGTGCAAAATCGGGCACTGCACTTCATTTACGGCCGAAACCCTCGGCCGCCAAACGAGCAGAGAATTATGCCTATTGACATGCACCTCAGGTACACCGACCTCTACTTCTTCAAAAAGTGCCTGAGCGGCGAGATAGATTTTGATGCGCGCGCCCGAATCGCAATAGGTCGCAAGCTGCGAGGTGACGACGAACAGGACCCCCGCCTCCAGCCACCCTCGACCAACAACAAGTTCGGTCGCGGCGCTTTTTCCTTCAGGATAGTCAAGCCCTGGAACGACCTGCCACCTGCCCTCAAAGACTGTCCCTCAAGCAATTTTCCCTCCCTTTGCAAGGAGCATTTGTGGCAGTAATTGAAGATTGAAGATTTTAAAGTGTTTGTGATATCGTTCTTTTTTTTTCGATAGTGTGGGTTTACCGCGGCGGCCGTGTCTCTTTTGATGTCGGGCGTTTTAGCAGACATCTGCTAGTTGTAAACCCTTTCTTCTCTTTTTTTTCTCCAATTTTAAAAATTTTTGTACAGACCGAGAAGAATAAATAATAATAATAACGGTTTCTCAGTTTAAAATTGCATGTAAAGAATATGTGACTCTTTGATACATTTATTTCCTGTTTACGGCTCCAGTTCGGCGAGTGTAGGTTAAATTTGGAAAAACTTTTGCTTTTCTGTTAGATTAGAGAAGCTCTAATCTAATCTAATTTATTGTATTAGACATTTAATAGTACATCTCCAATTTGCCTTTACAACAGGTGTTTATAGTATTAATTTAGTATAGCCAATAAATCTATAATTTAACATCAAGAGATTGAAGGAGCTCGCAAGCCATTAATAATTTGGCGGGGTGGGCAAACTTGTGACTTAGCCTCCTCTGCAGGGGAAACCCCCCCCCCCCCCCGGAAACCCTGCTGCTAAAGTCTCACTCAGTTAAATTTAAGCATTCAAAATTACATCTCCAATACTCATTCATAGCATAGAATTGGCACTTCAGCATTACATATTTAGCCCTTTTAACAAAGTTGCTATAGTCAGCTATTTCTGTGCCGCAAGCTAATTAGCTTGCGGCCCATAAATAGCTGTAATTATCACAAATGGGGCAGTTACTATTTTTGCAATTTGCATGGCGTAGATGTTATGGCCTGTTATATCCCAATCAAGCCAGGCACAAGGTAAAAATCCCATATTTAGAGTTTTACAAAATTCACCTAACTAACCGCAATGACCCCGGGCTAACCTTTGTCTTGCTGGGGTTCAAAAATAAACAATTGGCTCGAATTTTGAGCTCAATCAATAAGTCCGAGTATAAAAAAAAATTAAAGAGCGACGGTTGCACCCTATAATGTGGGGAAGCGAACGTAACGAGCATACACATGCTATATCTGGTTCTCATCTTTTGCCTACTCGGAGGGATGGATATCAAACACGTCAAGTACCATTATGTACACGGTATTATTGGTTGCTATTGTCTGCGCGAACGAAGAGCGTACTTCGAAAGGGTCCCATGTGAGAGTGTAATTTGAAATTAGTTTCTGACGAAAAATTTTTATAACCGAAAAGAAGGAAATTATATTGACTGAATCTTTTAAAAAAAATGTAAGAGTTGAAACGTCTCCAGAAATATTGTTACGGCCGTTGCCATGATTGTCACAGATATCAAGAGGCTGAACGTGTGAGACGAGGAGTCGTTAGGGCGCTGCGCAGAGCCTCTTTGGGGGGTGACAGCACCTGCCTCCCCTTTTTTCTCCTTGCACCAAGCTTCCATGACCCGTCGGCACACTGACTTCTTCAACGTGCAAACTGCAGGTAAGTTCCGTCTTCATCAGCCGTTTAGATTCTAAGTTTAATTTTATTTTGATATAAGCGAATGTATACAAAGTAAACAGCTTTTGCAAGTCAATAAGGGAATAGTATCAATTTTTTGAAGCGAATAGTTTGCTCATGACATAAAACTGTTTATCCGTCACATATAATTTTAATTTTTTTTAACTCTTCATTACAACACTCTATGCTTTTTGGCAGAGCATTAAGTCAATTAAATTAATATTTATAATACAAAAATTATATGCTTACAGTTCTTTGTATTTGGAGGAGTTTGATGATTTGAATTACTATCATCGATTAATTATAATTATTATTTTTCATTTTATTATTATTATTTTTTAAAGAAATTGATAGTTGACACTCAATGACATGATCATGGAAGTGAAGATATCAAGCTTGTTTTGATGTTTTTTTTGCTGTAAAAATTTGTATTAAAAAATAAAACGGCACAACCAGTTTCGGTCACGGTCCGCGGTCCGCGACCCTAATTCATGAGTAAGAAAAATACGAAAAATTGAAAAACCAAATTTTTGTAACATAACTACTCAAAATCTTAAATCTACTAGCAAATTAAAGTACATGAGCTGCCCGCTTACTTATACAAGAATGAGCTAACTAAAGACAGATTCATTGGATTTATTGTGTGTGATTAGCGCGCGGCGCGGCTGACCACGGAAACGCCAAATGACATCGGGCACATAATGCCTTTTGATAAAAAGCTGTCTTCTTGCTCTCTCAAAAACTGCATCCATTCCATATAAATATATTGACTATTTTAAAAAGCGGTTATTACTATGTATGTTATTCAAATTTATTAATCGTACAAAAGTGCACAAAAGAGAGCCCTAATAGCTATGGCATTCATCAAGTAAATTCATTGTCTACTTGAATACTTAATTTGGATATATAGGCTAAATTATACATTTTATAGTTTTAAGCTTTTGCAAAATAAGTAAAAAAAACGAGATTATACTAATTATTTAGAGTGGAAAATTCGCCCATGTCGCAAAACTGATTTTCTAGCACACTTTTTCAAAAGCTCGTCATTATTACTACAGCATTTAATATTTTTTGTTAATGCGTTAATAACATAACTTGACCTTCGTGAGCCCACGCCCCTGTAAAGTATGTAACGCCTTGACACTTATCTTTTACGGGTTGCCTAAATCAGGTCTGAATGGGCCCCTTTCGGTCAGTGGGCCCGTGGAAACGTCCACATTTCCGCATAGGAGTTTCGCCACTGGCATTAAATATTCTCGGTATCATAGCAGCAGGACTGTCTTTTGATATTTGCAGTCTGCATGAGACTTCAACAAGATCTTCCCGACTAACATTATTCTGGTTATGTCGCGTAACTCTCCTGTTATCTGTAGTACCAGTACTTTACTTTTTGAACATTTGGCGATTTCTCACTAGGAACTTAAGATTCAAGATTTGTTTATTTTGTTAAGCATTATATACCACATAATATACATAGCAATAACAGCTTTTTAAAATAAGTCAATATACATTACTATTTAAACGATAAAATTCGTTCAGGTCATAGAATTGATGTTCTAGCTTTCACCATTTTTACAAGAGCCTCGTCATTTTCAAGGACTTTTAAAGATTTAGGTAATGCATTAAAGATTCTGGGGATCATAATTTCTGGGTTTTCTACAGATTTCTTGAGCTTAACTTCTTTCACAACCAAATCGTTGCAGCAAAGGTTAGTCTGATTATGTCGAGCTACTCTCCTCGTATCTACACTATCACTATATTTCCGAAATTGATTTCTGTTTTGCACTAAGAATTTTATACATTCAAGTATATACAACGATGGGACGGTCATGATATTATATTTAACATGACCGTGCCATCGTTGCATATTCAAGAATACATTCAAGAATAAACAAATACAACACCGTTAGTATTTCGTATTTTCTATAGATACCAGTGCTTCATCAAGTCAAGTCAAAGTACCATTTCCCGTGTAGTAAATGCCAGCAAGAGCACGCAAGATTCTCTGCTTGGACTACAAACTATTTGCGAAACTTTAGTCATAGAATAATGAAGACATGCTGAATCGATAATCGATTTGATATCTCAGAAAAATCTTAAAATTTTCTTCATGCCTAAAAAGTTAAATTTTTATTTTTCTCAATTTTTTACAGTCATATGTACTGTTGCGAAAAGTAAGAACATGTCTTTAACTACAACTTTCCTATCAAGTTTTTCTTTCCAAAAAGTCACAATATTAAATTATTATTGTTTCTTTATTGTATTATGGAATGTAATCACATGTAATGTCTCCCGTGCGACCCACCCATTTACAATTATGTCAAATGAAACATGTACAGCAGGGGGAAAAAGGAAATTAACATATTTACAAGATATTTTTGTAATTTATATATTCCTCCTCAGAACTTGTGAAAACTAACAAACTTTTTTAACAAGCCCACAAACTGAGGGAATCTCAACGCCAATCGAAGAGATACATGCAAATTATTATACAAACGCGACAAGCAAAGGAGCGCGGATTTTGCCGTCTGGACTTATCATTGCCTAAAGTACCGTTCAAAATAGAACACGCCGCAACAGTTCTATTCAACGCATTGGAAATAAATGCATTGTTAGAAGCTCTAATTTCCGCCTGCAGCTGCTTATATGCGTATTGGTCTCTTTTAAACTGCAATTTCTGCGGATGCCACGCAGGCATGCGCTTCACAACAACACTCTTTTCCATCAAATCGCGACGTTTTTTGACCAGCTTTATTTTATTTTTTCTATTAGCTCTCACAAGTTTCACTTTTTTGGGGACAAATTTGTTAATACCGTCCAAGAAAGTTGTCAGAAAAGCGTCATATTTATCGTCAACCGTGATTGAGAGCGCAACAGTACGCCAGCTTTGCAAATCCAAGAAGCCTATAAACTCAGCAATTCTATCATCCGAAAAATTGCGAGATTCAATATATTAATCACGCTCCTGCGGAATATTCAGCTTCATTGAAAAACGTACGCCCTCATGATCGGAGAAAATATTAGACTTAGCTGCACATTCGAAATCATCTAATTCACCTGGACCGGAAAAAATTAAATCAATCGACTTCGTGCTTGTACCCGAAATTCGTGTTACCATATTTTCATTCGAGAGATGCAGCTCAAATTTTTCAAAAATCTTGCCTTTGTCGTTCGTCGCAACATATTTATATTAAATTCCCCGGCTACAAAAATCTTAGTCACCTTTTTCTTTTTAACAACAGAGAGAATTGTGACTAACGCGTTCTCTAAATGAGCAAAAAACTCATCAAAGCGCTTGTTATTTTCTGGGTTTGTCGGTCACCAAGAAGTAAATTTTCTGCGACCCAACCTGTACGATTGTCGCAGCCGCCTCAAAGCAAAACTCCTCACACAGAACCGGAATAGTTAAATCTAAATTCTTATTTATTAAAACAGCCGCGCTTCACATAATATATATGCTCAACGCGTCCAAACCCAACTGCTAATTTATAATCTAATAATGGAAAATTTTTAATCTCATAATTATTCAGCCAAGTCTCTGTTGTTAAAATACAGAATAGTCTCTAATTAAAATTTAGCGCAAAGTCCTTAAAACGTTTCCCTGCCGCTGCCAAACCATGAAAATGAAATGGGAGTTCTTCCAACAAACCCTTTTATATCTCTGGTGTCCGTGGGAATTAAATTATGGCTTTTAAATAGTTATTTCGCAACTCTTTAACTTTTATTTTCCAAAATATGTTTCATTTTCATTAATTTCTCATAATATTTTTTCGATCTGGCGTGATCCGGGTCAGGGTTCAACCGAGTCGCAATCAAATTCGACGCTAAAAAGGATGACAAGAACAGGGTTGACGAGCGCGCTGATTTTAAGCACGCTCGCGCTCACGCTCTTTTCTGAAAATTGCGCTCGCGCTCCCGCTCGCGCTCTCCAACTTTTCCTCACGCGAGCGCTCAAGCTCGCGCTCTTTACCCAAAAGAGCGCTCGCGAGCGCTCTTTTTCTGGGGTCGCTATTTTTTAAATGAAATTGTTATTTGGATTGGTTTTCTTCAATATTTCTTAACGTACAATTCTATAATCATTGCTATTTTATGTATGATCTAAAAATATACTTATTTCCATTGAGTTTCATACAAATATTTTTAGAAAATTTGGAAAATGAAAAATTCTCTATGTTTTTCGAGCAATATTTTACCAATTTATGGTCCCCAAAAAGAGCGTAAATGAGCGCTCTTTTCAGCGCTCTTTTGAAAAAAACGCTCGCGCTCCCGCTCCCGCTCCCGCTCGCGGCATGAAAAAAATCGACGCTCGCGCTCCGCTCTTTTGAGCGCTCTTTCAGAGCGCTCGTCAACCCTGGTCAAAAAGAGATAGGGCAAACGCAAAGGAATGGTGCGAGCTCCAGGATTCTAAATGTAGAAGAAACGAGCTTTGGAGCTTTCTAACGGTGTGCATATTATTGCGTGTCAATTTATAATTCTGGGAGAAATTCGCGTTTGAAAACGGTCAAAATTTGAAAACAGTTCTTGGTCGTATCTCAAAGCTTTGAAAAGAACACGATCGTTCGGAGCAAAAACGGCACACCGGCGGAAAGCTCGTTTCATGAGGATGCCGAAAATGCCCATACACGTAGCATTTATCTCGTGATCTATACGGAATAAATATTATCTGAATCTGAATCTGAATCTGAATTTGCAACAATGTGAACAAATAAACAAACAACAGCAACATTTTAGTCTGATAAGCCCCAGCCGATAATTTCTTTTTCTTTGGCAATTGGCTGGACTCATATTTTCTATTTTTTTTTCTAATTTAAAAATGTATAAAAAAAATTAGATTAATCAAAAAGTTACACTGAATTCTGACTTCTTAGGGCTTTTGTTCGTAAGAGAAAAATTACGAGTGGAGAATAAATAAATAAATAAATAAATACGCATGCGCACGATTACAGGATTTTAAAGTCGTTAAGGGCTATGGTGGAGGCATCTCTCACGTGATGTGAAGAGACACCATTAGCGTGCATCTCTCACCCTTTTGTGTTACCAGGACTTCGATTTTTTCCACGCGCGTGAAAGAATCCAATGAATGAGGCTGATTCCTACTATCGATCGCTGCCGAGAAAGGAGGCCGGCCCTATAGGGCCGTGCGCCACCTGAGTAAGCAGCCCGCCCCATCGACTCCATCCCCGAAGATAAAAGCACCATCACCCTCAAACTCGAATTCAGTTAGCAACAGAAGGAAATATCCAAAAATCCCCAGCAGCAAATCTCTGCGAAAAATCGCGTAAATAAATTCAAAATATTAAACTTAAATTTTGGGCGCCAGTTGTCGGGAAATCGAGTGGCTTCCCGGATGTTAAATTACTTATTTACTTTCTTAAGCATTATTTATAGGGTAAATATAATTAATAGACACAATATTTACTTACTTTCAAAGGTTCGTTGTAATTAATAAGCCTTTTCACAAACAGTTAAATTATTTAACTTTTTGCAAAATGAGTACTGGAGTGCAGTGTATAATGAGAATAGTGTAGATAAGAAAAGTGAAGTATTTATGAGTATATTAACAAATTATTTTGAAGATTCCTTCCCAATGAAAAAAACAGTGAAAAGAGCTACTCTTATATTTATTATTTTTTCTACTCAAGTCATACAAAAAAAATTGAAATTGGAAAAATGAGCAGAAAGGGTATCGAATCGGGAAAATAAACTTATCTGCTCAAACTAAAAACCTGAGAAAAGAAGCATTAGAATTATCACAAAAGAGTAAAATTATACAAACCCTGAACAAAAATCTGAAATTAAAAATAAAATAAAAATAATGAAATACCAGGTTGGAAATTGTATAAATAATGAGGTACGGAAGTATAATGATAAAAAAATTAAGGGATCAAACAATAAATCAAATTACCTCAATAATATGTTTGTTGAAAATACGCCAGTAAGCCCGCATATCCCGCCCGATAATAGTAACATGAGCGAACCATTATAAATTACATCTCGAGCCTATGTCTGACTACGAAATATACAGTGTACATGTAAATAATGTGAATAGTCATGATTGCTCGAATGAGCTAGACTGAAATACAAGGTGTCAGATAATATTATTAAGTTGATATATTTAGCTCATGTACAAAGTCATATAATGTATGGAATTGTAATTTGGGGGGGCTCCAGCCATTTAATAAAAGTATTTAGAGCACAGAAAAGAGCGTTGAGATCTATGGCGGGCATTCCTTACTGGAGATCTAATGTAGCGTTGGATACTTGTAAATTAACCATTATTTATTTATTCCCCATTCGATACAGTCATGAATCATGAATACAGCAAAAAAACCTATACAGAAAAAGTACAGAAAAAGCTGAAAATACATTTTAAAAGAGACATACTGTTAATAAGGGGGTGAATGGAGAAATGGCTTTTCGCTAGCAAACAACTTGCTAAAGCACAGGACCCTCTCCTTTGAAAGAGAGTGTACCGGCCGCTAGAGCCATTTTTTAAATATAATATAATGACCCTGCCATCGTTGTATTGTATATACTTGAATGTATAAAATTTCTAGTGCAAAACCGAAACCTATTTCGGAAATATAGTGATAGTGTAGATACAAAGAGAGTAACTAGACTAACCTTTGCTGTAATGATTTGGTTGTGAAAGACGTTAAGCTCGAGAAATATGTTGAAAACCCAGAAATCATGATCACCAGAATTTTTAATGCATTACCCGGCATTACCGAAATCTTTAAAAGCCCTTGAAAATCACGAGGTTCTTGTAAAAATGGTGAAAGCTTTTGTATTAGAACATCAGTTCTATGACCTGAACGAATTTTATCGTTTAAATAATGATGAATATTGACTTGGAAATGAAGATTCGGGCTTTTCCTCGTTGCAAAAAATTTGTCTTTATTCAAAAACAAACGGCTCTACCAGTTTCGGTCACGGTCTGTGGTGTTTTTTCAATTTGCTGATTTTTTGTATTTTTTCTTGCTCATGAAATAGGGTCGCAGACCGTGACCGAAACTGGTAGAGCCGTTTGTTTTTGAATAAAAACCAATTTTTTGCAACGAGGAAAAGCCCGAATCTTCATTTCCATGATCATCTCCTCGAGTGTCAACTTCTTCAAACGAATATTGACTTATTTTAAAGTGGTTATTACTATGTATATTATGTGGTATATAATTCTTAACATAATAAACATATCTTGAATCTATTCTCGCTTTCTGCAGCTTCACGTGCCACGTGATTTCGTTGCGGGAGCCGATTTAAAATATTTGCTGTATAATATGCTTAATTGGCACTTAAAACCTCTGAAATAAATAACAATATGTGATGTTACAATTTAAACAAATAAACAACATTAATATTTTTTTCAATATCAAATATTCTTTAGTTTATTAACCATTAATTTCGAGTAGCAATAATAAAATTTAAAATAAGTCGAGGTACAAAACGGTGAAATTCGTTTAAGTCATGGAATTGGTGTTGCAGTACTAATTCAATTCAAAGCTTTTACTTCCTTCACAATTTCCTTGTCATTTTCGAGGTTGAATAGTAATAAAATAAATAACTTTGCAGGATGATTCGCGGTATGTCCTCATTTAGTCAAGGGCTGTGCGCTTCCGGACATGCCAACATACTCAATTTCTTAATCATCCTCATCCATGTCAGGTAAATATCAATACACTTTTTTTTTCTATGTTTTATATTAAATGACTACAATTTAATTGACTCATGGGGGGTTTCAAGAAAAATTGAAACTGGGCGAACCTCGTTGCAATGGAAAAAAAAGGAAAAAAAACCCATAATGCGACCTGCGGTCTGCTGATACTTAAAGAAACCTAGGAGTTTTGTCGTTTGCCTAAAACTAAGTTAGAGAATAACAAAATTAAATTGGGAAAAGTTTAATTTAAAAAAAAAGGCACAAATTAATTGGAGTCAGTTGTCATTTATTTTTTCTTTGCAATGAGGTTCACCTGGTTTCAATTTTTCATGAAATCCACCTCGAGTGCTAAAATTCAACCCAAAACTGCGGGACGGGCCCGCTATTTTACTTTGTGTTTTTCGATTTACAAGCGCAGACGTTTCTAGAACAATAGAAGAGTCAGACAAAAAAATCAGCACGCCAGGAGGCGGTGCGATATAACCCAGCACAGCCACCGTTCAGTATCAGTCTTCTCAGTTCTCAGTGTAGCTGACGAGACCTGAATTGGCCGAAACAGCTGTCCTAGTGTGGACGATTACTGTTATTTTGCCAGAAATGAGAAAAATCGTAAGGTTCCTTGCCCTGGAAATATCTGGCAAAGTCGTAGTATGAAGCTTTTGACTGACTCCTTTGTATCATTAATTTCTGCATTTTTTTTCATTAAAATTTAATTTTCCCTATTTGATTTTTTTAGTTCTTTTTTATTCCCACTTAGTTTTAGTTATGACACGACAAAACACCTGGGTTTTTTAAAGTACCAGCAGACCGCAGGTCACCTTTTGGGGTCAGTTGTCCTTTATTTTTTTCCCCTGGCAAGGAGGTTGGGAAAAAGATAAACTTTTTCAAGTAAACCTTTGAGCATCAAAATCCATTCAGGAACCTAGAATAATTTTACTGACCAGAAATTTGCAGGAAAACGCAGTTTTTTTTTAATTACTTAAATAATTATTTTATTACTGAGATAATTATATTGCTTACATTAACTATAACACAGACAAAATTTGGAACAAAACTAGTATATTCCAGACTATATATTTTAGGAGGCAAACATGGCTTTAATACAAATACCGATTGCCGTAGCTGGTACCTGCAGCTGGATTTGAACCGTGATATTCCGATTATAAAGCGATGACTATACCGGTAGGCCACACCTCAAGTGGAAGTAATTTTATGTAAAGTTAAATAAATATTATCGAAACTTAAAATAGTTGACTCAATAGCACCACACTGAAAAGACATTTGTAACACACACAACAACGATAAATAAAGACTTATCTAGCAGCAAAAAAACTATTAACATTAAGCTCTGACGGCAGCAGTGTACCAACAAAATTTTGGGACGAGCAGGGTTTGGAAAATACATACATATAACATATAATAATATAATTAAATTTGATTTCTTAATTCAAATATCATGACCGAGTTTAATAAAAATCCTACTTTGGGAACGGTATATTATTTTTCTAACATTGCCATTAATAAAAATGGTCCTATAATTGAAGGAATAAATATTTTTATGATTACACAAAATAGTGGAATTATATTGTAGCTAATGAAATATGGTAACTTAACCCTTTCGTAGCCAACATTCCATGCCAAAGACCAATAAGACCTAAGACTAAGGATTGAAATGTGCTCTGTCCCTACTCAAAAGACGCACAATATCAGTTTATATATGGCCACCAATTTTCAAATTTTTTAATTCACCGGTTTAAAAACCATTTGACATCAAAATTTTTTTTTCTTTACTTTAAAATGGTCTGCGGATTGTTGAAAATAGTAATTTGAGACTTGTTTGAATGGCTCATTACACAAAATTTTTAGAATTCATTGCTTCTTTGATTTGCTCTATACCAAAAGGAATAATTTCGTTTGCGTATTTCAACAATAGCCACTCTAAGAAAAATCCTCTGGGCAGAAAAAAAGACAGTTTCGGTTGCGAATCTGAGCACAAGCATGTTATTTTTTATCTTTTCAAAAATGTGTGGCTAAAAAGCATTTAAAATTCTGCCATCAGATATTGCTACAGCTTAGAATTCAGTGAAATCCTACCAGAAGACGCGCGGCTGTACGACAAAATGCGTCCACCAAAGAAGGATGGTGCACCGACCACCGTGTTTTTCCACGTCACAGTCATGGGCCTGGACTCTATTGATGAGACCTCGATGACGTACGCCGCGGACATCTTCTTCGCGCAGACCTGGAAAGACCACCGCCTTCGTTTGCCAGAAAACATGACGTCCGAGTACCGACTGCTCGAGGTCGACTGGTTGAAGAACATGTGGCGTCCTGATTCGTTCTTCAAAAACGCTAAAGCAGTCACCTTCCAAACCATGACCATTCCCAACCACTACATGTGGCTCTACAAGGACAAGACTATCCTATATATGGTTAAGTACGTAGCTAAAATAAATCCTAAAATCCAGATTTATTTTAAAATGATACATTTTTGGCTGATGCTTAATAAATAAAAAGAAATCTTAAATTATACATTTGTTTTGAACAGATTGACTTTGAAGCTCTCTTGCGCAATGAATTTTCTCATCTACCCTCATGACACACAAGAGTGTAAGCTGCAAATGGAAAGCTGTGAGTAATAATGATTTTATTAATTATTAAAAGTGAAAAGCATTATTTTTACAATTAGATAAGATTAGATTAGATTAAAATTTATTGCATTAGACATATGTTGTACATCTCCAATTTTCGTTACAACAAGTCAATAAAAATTGGAATAAAAAACACTGGGGTCAGTTTATTTTAATCAACGAGCAGCGCATTTGCTCATGAAATAGGTTGGTACTTGAATTAATTAGTTTTTAAGATTTTGATTTTTTTATGTTAAAATGTTGTTTTTCATTATACTTTGTATTTTTCTTGCTTATGAAATAGGGCCGCAGCAGACCGTGACCAAAACTGGTAGAGCCAGTTTTTTTTTTTTTTTTTTTAATAAAAAACATTTTTCTGCAACGAGGACAAAGCCGTAGACTTTTATTCAATTCAATTTATTTTTCTCCAAACAAGTCAATACAATCAATTGTGAAAAAATTGGTTGGGAGAAAAATAGGCACACAGTGCTAGTGAACAACTCACTGAAACCTCATAACCGCGTATTACCAAGAGGCGATAAATACCCGATTACTCGCCGCACTGCAGCCTAAACTACGGGGGGAAAAAATTCAAATTTGTTTAACATGCTCTTTGCACAATTTTGGGAAATTATTAGACGCACACGATTTTAACACAGAAGGGAGGGAGTTCCATTGGGACGCGAGGCGAAAGGGAAATGAGTAGAGGCTGAGGTCGGTGCGCACTTTCGGAGGAATGAACCGGTGGTGCTCTTCGACACTGTTACTGTCTCTTATCTTTCGGCCAGTCTTTATTCGCGCCATCGCGTCCATGTCGGTGTCTCCGTCCAGACACTTTCGGAAGAAAGTCAAGTCGTTGTACTTCAGCTGCTGCTGGACGGAGAGCAGCTCGGTCTTGGCCACCTCGGAAATATGCCGCCCATACACAAACCGAAGGGCCCTATTTTGAATTCTCTCAAATTTTAAAATATTTTTCTGGGTGGAAGGATGCCATGCGGGGGTGGCGTAGAACATGAGTGGCTTTACCATTGTTTGATAAGCGAGCCGCTTCACTCTCGGGGTGCAGCCGTGCAGGTTGCGGGCCGCAAAGGAGAGAACTTTGGCTGCCTTGCCGCGTGCAATGTCTGTATGCGTATTCCACCGCAGGTCTCTGCTGATGTGCACGCCAAGGATGCGCTCCACGCTGCTGTACTTGACGATGGTGCCGCCGATGGTGTACTGCGTTTCAAGCAACGTTCTGGCGCGACTTATGTCGAGGATGTGGCACTTGGACGCGTTCAGCTCTATTCCATTTACGGCGCACCAAGCGTTGACGGCGTCCAGGTCGTCCTGAAGCTGGACATAGTCGACGGCCGACTGAATTTCCCGCCAGAGGGTGGCATCATCGGCGTACTGGACGAGATTTGATCGGATGGCGCCTGGCAGGTCGGCAACATACACATTGAAAAGCAGCGGCCCCAGCACACTGCCTTGGACGACACCGGACAACACGTCTTTCGGCTCTGACTTAGCTCCGTTAAAAACCACGAACTGCGTGCGGCCTTACAAAATGTCGGGAAACGATCGGTCATCGTTGGTACGGGGTGGCTAGGATTGATTGAAACGATAATTACTTAATTTAAAATGTTGGTTGTTATTAATTAATTAGCCCTTTTCTTTGCACATATTACAAAACGCAACTGTGTCACTTGGCTACTCATTAAAATTTTAATTGTCGAATTCTTGGGGTGCGTTGCGCAAGAAATAGGAGTTGTTTCTCAGCAGTTTTCTCTACTTCCGCTGCTACCCAGGGCAGGCATTGCTTAAATGGGGTGGACGAGGCCCCATAGCAAACTGGCTTTTCCCCCCCGGGACAACAGAAGCAGATATACCTACGAGTTGGAGATGCATTTTTTTTTTGTAGTGGAGGGATGAAATGTGGTTTTGAGAACCAAAATTGAGAAGGACTGAACTCCAATTTTTTGCGCAAAGCAATGAGTTGAGCGAGTTGAAAATTAATTTGTTTCATGCATTTGTTTGTGTTGTGTTACATTTTAATTTTTGATTTGCCGAAAGTACAGTTTGTTCGTGAATTTTGATTGATTGTTTTGTGTTTTATTTGTGTATTGTGTGATTGGTTTAAATTTAATTTGTTGACGAGTGTTTAAATCTAAGTAAAAGGGGATGAAAATGCTCATGGTTTACCCTCTAAAATTGAATGGGGGCGCCTTGAAGAGGCCAATATGGTTCCTGTATTTTGGAATTTTTTTTGTTAATTAGATGTTGGTCAAGGCACCATGGTTCAAGAGCATTCTGAAACTGAGAAGAATTTTAGTATTTGGTTTTTTTCCCATTTTTCGGGGTTTAGGGGAAATTTAAAATTGGTTCCGAAAATAAACTTCAATTTAAACGAGGTTTTTCTATGCTACTTTTTGCTTCGACTCTACTCCCATTTTTTTCTATTTGTCTATTTCTCCCAGTCTAATCTAATTTTTCTTCAATCTATTTTGCTCTACTCTATTTTGCTCTACTCTATTTTTTTTTGTCTACTCGATTTCTGTTTTTTTTTTTTTTTTGGCTAGAAATTATTATTTATTTATTTTTATTTTTTTTGGGTTGACTGAGGTGTTCCTTTGACAATGAGGCTTGAGGGAGAGTCAGAAATACCGGGCCCCCGCTGGCGGGATTGGAATCGGGATCAGAAACCGTGCCACCATTTTTTTGAGACCTTTTACGGGGTCATCGTCCCCTCGAATGAAGCCTAATCGTCAATGGGTTTCAATTTGACTCCGCGGGAGGGTGGTGCTTGGAGATACCGGGCCTTCCGGGGTTGCGTCGGGCGCGGATTAACACCCGACTCGCCGATGAGGAAAGCCACTAAGGGTCCGGATTCACCCATCGCGAGGGTCATTTCAAAGACACCCGGATTTGTCATTAAAAATTTGGTGGATTGGGCCCATTGGATTTGAGCAGTAGGGGAAGGGGAAGAATTGAAGGGGAATTAGTGTTAGGGGTTGATTAGCTTGATTTTGGGTTCCAAGGCGTATTTGTTAATTTTGGTAATTTTGTTTCACAAAATAAGGAATGGTGGTGGAGGGGGAAGATGGAACCCCTAGCCAGAGCCATGGCCCAACTTGGCCTTCAGGGCACGATATTCTTCCTGAAGGAGAGCCATTTGGCGACTGGAACACTCTTCTTCAGAGTGGCCAGTGAAGAGAATGGGCAAAGAAGTCGTCATGATAGGTAGTCGTGGGGCTTGTCTCCGGAATAATGGCCGCCGAATGTGGCTTGTTGCTAAGCAAGGATGCGCGTAGGGTGGAGGGTTTCGGGGGCTGTTAGTTGGGCGCCAGTTGTCGGGAAACGATCGGTCATCGTTGGTACGGGGTGGCTAGGATTGATTGAAACGATAATTACTTACTTTAAAATGTTGGTTGTTATTATTTAATTAGCCTTTTTCTTTGCACATATTACAAAACGCAACTGTGCCACTTGGCTACACATAAACGACTCCTCTATCAATCTTGCTGCTCTGTCACCTGATGCCCTGTCTGTCTCTCAGCTTCGGCCACGAATGGTGCAACAAGCACCATCAGTGGCCGCTCGAGGAAGTGCTGAGTTTACCCCGACAAAAAATGATTCAACCCATTGCAGAATTTTTCCTTTGACGCCATAATGGGACAGTTTAGACAAAAGTCGATCAAATGGTACTCGGTCGAAGGCTTTTTTCCAGTCAAGGGTGACTGCATGGACATGCGCGCCGCTTTTCTGATCCACGATTGCTGTCCAGCTGTCCACTGTCTGACATAAAAGGGTTGTGCATGACCTTTTAACTCTGAATCCGTGCTGGTTGTCTGGAATAACTTTATTTTCCTCAAAAAACAGCTGAAGCCGGTCACGAACAAGTTTTTCCCACTAGAGATGACATGCTTATGGGCCGGTAATTTATTATTATTATTATTATTACTATTATTATTATACTATTATTATTATAGGCAGAAAGTCGATTCTAGCGAAAAGCACCCGCGCAGAACGAAGCGGCTCCGTACTGCGCCAATAGCGCTCACCCGCAAGAGCTCTCAGCACTTTTTACTGCGCCAGAAAAACCTCGTCCAGCGCTTGATTCGACCCTCCCCAAACCCCAAATTACAATGCCATAACTCATAATTGTCTGACAATAAGCAAAATATACCATTTTCAAGTACTTTTCGTCAACAGAATGCATCAAATTTTTAATCAAAAAAACCGCACTATTTAATTTCCCAACCACATAATCTGAATACTCAGAGTCCACTTCAAATTGTGTGCAAGGAACAAGCCCAAAAATTTTGTCACATCTGATTCAGTATATATTTTAAAGCGTAAGGATTCATCGATAATTATTTTTTTATTTGTTTATTCCCCTTTTTTGCAACGCACAAAAAATGTACACCATACAAAAAAGCGGAGCCTATAATGTGGTCGGCCACACTGTTCGATGGCTCTTTCATTATTTGCTGCAGGAACCGTTGACAACCAGAATTTTTGCTGTTTTTAAAACAGTTTTTATTGTGTTTCAGTGTCGCATACAACGGATGATATGATTTTCCAGTGGGACCCTGAGGTACCATTGGTAGTCGATGAGAGTATCGAGTTGCCGCAGCTGCAGTTGGTCAAGAATAATACTGCAGACTGCACGCAGGTCTATTCGACCGGAAACTTTACCTGCCTAGAAGTTATTTTCATCCTAAAAAGACGTCTCGGCTACTATCTTTTCCACACCTATGTCCCAACCTGCCTGATCGTCATAATGTCTGTGAGTATATAAAATGAATCAAAGATTCCAAAAGGTGAATAATGATTCAAAATGAAGTAAAAACAGCAAGATTCGAAATTCATGAAAGAGGTAGAAAATTTTTGTGAGATGAACTATTTTTGGATTTTATTTTTTCGTCTTGATCCTGCTTAAATAAAGTTTTTTCACCCGTGTTTCAAGTCATAAGAGCAACAGAAAACATCATTGCCGACGTGAAAAGCCATCTTTGATGTTAAAAAATATTATTCTAGTTTAGGCAAAATCGTGATTCAAGTGGGGCACTTTTTTTTTTAATCGGCCACACTTTTGGCAAGGGTCAACCGATTTGAATGAAATTTGGCAGGTCGGTTGCTCTTAGGGCGTAAACAAATAGTTTAGAAGGATTTTTGAAAATTCTCAAAATTGCCTATTTTACAGGGGCTCAAAGTTGCTGATTTTGAAAAATGGCGTTTTCAAAAATCGAAAATATCTCAGCTCCTGTTGCAGATAGCGCATAAGTTTATATAAGCAAAATTGTAGGTAATTAGACGCCCTACAACTTTTCTATAGTGACCAAGGTCGTAGGTCAAACCTGAAGGTCATTTATTTTTAGCTCATTTTTTTCAGGCTCTACCAAAGTACCAAGGCAATAAATTTTTTTGATTCCAAAATAGCCAAAAGTTGCTCCAGTTAGTAATAAACATCATATCAAAATTTGGTGATACTTATTTTTTTCGTTTTTGAGATATTCCGGATCAAAGGGCAAAAAACGTGGTTTTCCGAGCGTTTTTTGTGCACAATTTATTTTAAACCTCCATAAGTTTTTTCCTGTTAGAGTTAGGATTAAATGTATTATGACAAAAAATAATTGCCTTTAATTTTTCTTGCAGATCATGTATCACACATGGTGATCAGGTCACAAAAGGGCATTGACCCCATGGTGACCTGTGACCTTTTTGAATTTTTTTACGTGTGTGACACATGGATGGAAAGAGAATGTCAGCAGGAACATTTTGGTACCCGGATTTTTGTTCTAGCATCATTACAAGTGAAGTTATCATAGATTTTGTGAAGCAAAAGTTGGAATCCGACGAATAAATTATTTAAAACAAGATGTAACTTCACATCTATTGATGCTAGAACAAAAATCCGGGTACCAAAATGTTCCTGCTGACATCCTCTTTCCATCCATGTGTCACACACGTAAAAAAATTCAAAAAGGTCACAGGTCACCATGGGGTCAATGCCCTTTTGTGACCTGATCACCATGTGTGATACATGATCTGCAAGAAAAATTAAAGGCAATTATTTTTTGTCATAATACATTTAATCCTAACTCTAACAGGAAAAAACTTATGGAGGTTTAAAATAAATTGTGCACAAAAAACGCTCGGAAAACCACGTTTTTTGCCCTTTGATCCGGAATATCTCAAAAACGAAAAAAATAAGTCTCACCAAATTTTGATATGTTGTTTATTACTAACTGGAGCAACTTTTGGCTATTTTGGAATCAAAAAAATTTATTGTCTTGGTACTTTGGTAGAGCCTGAAAAAAATGAGCTAAAAATAAATGACCTTCAGGTATGACCTACGACCTTGGTCACTATAGAAAAGTTGTAGGGCGTCTAATAACCTACAATTTTGCTTATATAAACTTATGCGCTATCTGCAACAGGAGCTGAGATATTTTCGATTTTTGAAAACGCCATTTTTCAAAATCAGAAACTTTGAGCCCCTGTAAAATAGGCAATTTTGAGAATTTTCAAAAATCCTTCTAAACTATTTGTTTACGCCCTAAGAGCAACCGACCTGCCAAATTTCATTCAAATCGGTTGACCCTTGCCAAAAGTGTGGCCGATTAAAAAAAAAGTGCCAGTGGATAATTTTAACACCTCCATAAAGACTCTTGTCGTCATGACTCAAGTAATCTTGTCTGATATATCCGACTGGAATATTTGTTGCAGAATTGAGAATTTTTGGACAAAGTCGGGACGCGTAAAAGCAAACTGGGGTCCGATTTGGCACCGTGTAATGTACCAAGCAATTAGCAAAATCTTTCAATAGTAAACTTCTTTTTCGTTACAAAATTAACATTAAATTAATATTTGAAAATCATGCACCCAACCAACAACAGGCCTGTAACAGCTCTAAACTGGAGCCAATGCCGGCCGATGATGCTGACCGGGCACAGCTCTTTTTTAGGCCTATTGCAACCCTACCATAGAGCAGTGACAGCACCAAGTAGAGCTGCTGCTTCTCTACCTTAGAGCGGTGGCTGCTCTTGTGAAAATTTTTCTCCTTTTCTATATTTGTGATTTTTACACCTTCTTGCACAAAAGCATTCCAATGACTCATGACATCCGTTCAATCACCGACAATTTTAAAAAGTGGCTTATTATTGGAATTTTTAAAATTTTTGACGAATTTGGAATCCACACGACAAAATAAAAATTTGGCAAAGTGTCATTTGTAATTCTACGACATTTAGCGGCAAAGTTAGAAAATTAAATGTTGATTAATAATTTTAACATTTAATTTTCTAACTTTGCCGTTGGAGGGAAATTGCTTGAGGGATAGTCTTTAAGGTCTGGTGGCAGGTCGTCCCAGAGCTTGACGATTCTGAAGGAAAAAGCGCTGCGGCCGAATTTATTGTTGGTCGTTGGAGGCTGGAGTGCTTTTTATCGTCGCCTCGCAGCTAGCGACATGATAATTCGGGCGCGCGCATTAAAGTCAATCTCGCCGCTCTTTTTGAAGAAATAGACATAGAGGTTAGTGTACCTGAGGTGCGCGTGTCAATGGGCAGTCAATGGGCAATCTCTGCTCGATTGGTGGTGGAAGGGTGCGGCCGTAGATGAAGTGCAATGCCCGATTCTGCAGCGTGGGGTATGCCATGGAGGGAAACCGTAAGTCATGATTGGCTTGACGACAGAGAGGTACGCAATTAGTTTGACACGGGGGGTGCAGCCGCGCAAGTTACGGGCCGCGAAGCAGAGAGATTGGGACGCCTTGCTGCACACAATGTCCATATATATGGACCTGCCGCACCGAAGTTCCCTCGTGATGTGGACGCCGAGCAACCGCTGTTTGTCCACGTACTCTAGCGCCAATTTTCATCATTATAGCTTCTTGAGAAGACGAACCAGTCCTTCATTTCTTCTACTCGAACCTCAAACTCGATGTGCACTGCGTTGTGGTCGGAGAAATTGACTTCTTTGACTTCAAATCTAGCATCACACTGAAGGGAGGTGAATGCGTGGTCAATGAGTGTGCTGCTGTGAGCAGTCTCTCGTGTTGGGGCATTTTTATTGAATAGGTGCATCTCGTAGCCTTTCATTGTGCTATTTAGTTTCCGGCTTTCGGCGGAGTCCTGGAGCAGGTTAATATTTAGATCCCCCAGAACAATCATCTCCTTCTCTGGTGCCAGATTTTGCTCCACAAGACTCTCCAGGTTGTCGAAGAAGGACTTCATAGTGCCGTGGTTGGGTGGTCGGTAGACAGTAAGCACCGTCAACGTTGTTTTCTTAATTTTAATTTCACACCCTGCCGTCTCAAATTCATTTTCGATAGAAGAAGTTGGAATCTTCTTGTAGCTAAAATTAGCATTTGATGAGACGAGAACAGCACCTCCTCCGTATGATTTTTTATCTTTTTTCTCTTTCCTGCCAAAAAATTAAATTGTTTTGTAGCCTTTTATACTAAAGTAATCGCCCCGAGAGCGATGATGTGTGGTTTTTTGTTGAGGCTGTTGACATGTTCTTTGAAAGGATGCAAATTTTTCGGCTTTGAGCAAACCCTGTACCATTAATAGCATTATTCTCAAATTTTTGTGGGTTTTGGCGGAATTTGTAATTGTCACTTCTTCTTGGTCATCTTTCTGGTCATCTCGTTTTTTGATTTGATAGCCACCGCACTTGCTTTACGCAGTTTCTGTGACGTTGGAGAGCTTGGGCACGACGATGATGATGATGCCGAGTTGCCACCCTTGTGCTCTCTGGATTTTTTTTCTTAACGTCAGGTTTCTTAAAGAGCGACTTGACTATTGCTTTGAGCGGAGAGTGACGAGTCTTCGGCGTTACATCTTGCTCATTGTCGCTCTCAGAGTTTTGGCATTGGCACTCATATTCCTGAGTTTGGCCGCGACTTGTGTCTTGCGCCGCGCTTTGGGAATTTGTTGGAGGCGCTGCTGTCGAAGCCATTGCAGGCAGGAGTAGCTTCTGACTGCGGCTTATTATGCACCGTGTCAGTTTCTTCAGGTGCTTCCGCATTATTGTCTGTCTTTCGTGGTAGTGGTTGTGGTGGTCGTGTCGCTTCTTCTGATTTGCGTCGTGGTGGTAGTGGAGGTGCCTCGCCGTTGCTGAACGTGGCGGCTGCGGGCTTCGGCCCAGGCTTTTCTGGTGTCATTTAGCTACTCTGTAATTTATCATCAACTCTCCCCGCCTGAATGTCTCTGTCATTTTAATCTTGCGCCGTGCTTTGAGCAGAGCTTGGAGGCGCTTTTGCTGGGCTGGTTTTAAATTTCGCGCTAGTCGCGTTGTCTGAGAAACATTTATTGGTTTTAGGGAGTGGAAGACAAGAGTAACATCAGTGTCATGAAATATTTCTTTAATTTTAGTCACTGTGTATTTCCAATGCAGTCTATACACCTCGGGTCGAATCAGAGCAATTCTTTTGATATTCCTTTCTACCATCTTGTCCCTGATTGATACCAGGGAAATCTGCAGGTTCTGCAGGTAAGAATGAATTCCAAAGTGCGGTATATCTTTGCTCCTTTTTCTGCATACGGCGTGCCAAATCTCTCTGCTGCCGCCCTCTATCGACTGCACAAGAATGAGGAGAGGCCCAGGACACTTTAGTCCTCTGCCATTTTTCAAAAAGTTTATCACGTTTAGCCATCAAAGAGCAGAGCTCTGAAGTCATCCAAGGAGCACTTGACTTGCGGTTAGGCCGGGCCCTTCTCTAGGGACTTTTTCGTGAAGCGTTTGCCGACTGTTTGTTAGGAAAAGTCAAAAGTCTCATTTGATGTGATTTTTTTAGAAAGAAAAACTTATTGAGAAATTTGTGGCTAAAGACATGTTCTTTCTTTTTGCAAATAGTATATATACTGTTCAGTTGTATATATACAACTGAATTTTTTTTTTTTATATTTGAGAAAGAATTGAAAAATTAAAATAATATTAAAGTTTTTAAACACAAAGAAAATTTTCAAGATTTTTCTGAGATTGCCAATCGATTCTGCATGTCTTTATGACTAAATGTTTGGAAATAAATTCGGTCTGCAATGTAATTTTTCAGTCTGCAGTCTCTTTCGGCCCTATTTATCATAAGTTCTTTTAAGGGTCCTTGCACGCCAATAATAATTAAGCGAGGGTGGACTAATGCCAAAGATTATTTTGTATATGTTGATCTTATGTACATTTTTTTAAATCTAAGCTAGCGAATTATAATTTTTATAGTGGGTCTCATTCTGGATCAAGCCTGAGGCAGCCCCCGCGCGCGTGACTCTAGGAGTGACCTCTCTGCTGACCCTTTCAACGCAACATGCAAAATCGCAGGCCTCTCTGCCACCAGTCTCGTATCTTAAGGCCGTGGATGCCTTCATGTCCGTCTGCACTATGTATACTTTCTTCTTCTATAGAAATGTCTTAATCTTGATTTCTTTCAACAAAAGCTTTGTATTCATGGCACTGATGGAGTATTGCTTGGTGAACATAGTGCTCGGCGACAACGACGCTCCCAAACCGGCGGCGCCCAAGCCTGAGCCAGACAAGGTATTTGAATTAGCAGCCAAGGTAGGCCTTTGACCGATTAATGGGTGTGGTTTTAAATTCTATCGCTTAGGAGAACGCCCGTATCCTAACTGGACAACCGCCAGGTATACCCAAGCTGACCCATGCCCAGAAGTGCAAGCTGCGAGCCCTTAATATCGACCGCTGCTCGCGTGTTGGATTCCCGCTGCTCTTCTTCCTTCTCAATGCCAGCTACTGGATTCTCTTCTACGAGTTCCTTTAAATAAGTAATAAGTCGCATTTCAAATAAATCCTTATAATTGCATGGGTTGAAAGGAGGATAGTTGCTGGGAATTTGAAGGATGATCTAACAATAATATTCTTTGAGAAAGTCCGTGAAATAAATTTGATCAGATTATTTAATTGAAAATGAGTTTATCAATATACAAGATATATTTTATTATTTTCAATATATTTATTTTATTTGCGACGTATTACTTTTTACAATAGAGGGATGATTTGATTCGTGTATATGTGTGCGTGAGCCTGAGCGCGTGGTTTTTTTAATTAAAAGCTCGGCAGTTACTGATATTTTACAAAAGAATCAACGATTCAAAAAAACCCTTTTTGGAATTGTTGATTCTTTTTTACTTTGCAGGAAAAATATATCCTACATCCTGCTCATGTATTTGATATTGAGATTTTTTTCTGAAAAAGGAAATAAAGTAATTAAATAATTACTATTGTAATGTACTAATGTAATCGAAAGTTTTATTTTATGTAAAATCTTATTCATTCTGCTACAAACAACTAGAAATTAATCCAGTTTTTGAAAATGTATTCTAAAACAGTCATCAACATATATGCGGTCAACATTTATTTATTTCATTGGGAATCTTCACAATTAATTCTGTAGCAAAAAACAATAATTAAATTACAGTATGCAACTAGATTTTCATGGAATTGTAATACCTTTCTGATACCATTTCTGCTCATTTTTTTTCAATTCAATTTTTTTTCATGTATGACTTGAGTAGAATAAACAACAATAAAGAGTGATTTTTTATTGTGGCCCTAGATTATGTTCAGCAGGCAATGCTTTTATTTTGCATCTTGACCAAGAGACTCTAGTCAAGTAATGGCTCGCGTCTTGTTCAAGTAAAAGACGCATATCATAAAAGGGGTTTTGATCAAGACGCAACCTGAACAATCGTAAAAATTGATGCTTGATTTTTAATAAAGATCAACCCAAAAGCACAAAATAAAAGATAAAAAAATTGGTACTTTCATCTGCAAAAACAGAATAAAAGGAAAGCTGGAGAGCGACTGACTGCTCTGCGGCAGCAGCGGGGTTTTTATACCCGCTGCGGCCGCCCAGCATTCGCGCGATGGCACGTCATTGGCTGTTACTCGTCACGTGATCTTGTCTCTCACCCCAGAGACTTAAGAAGCCTCTACAGATCTTGCCTTTGAATTAAATTTATAATATGTCATTGGTTGTTACTTATGCACATTTCAAGTCTCTTGCACTCCCTAACTTTTTATGGCTCCTAATAACACATAATTAGAGGGGAGGTGATTTTTTTCTTTTTTTCAAGTCAAATCAAACCGTTACCGCTGCTGCCGCTGATCAGACAGTCGCTCTCGTGAAACACTCCTGTCCTAGCCAGTAGTGCTTGGCAAATTGTAAATTTTTTACAAAGTTTCATTGCATTTGAATTAAATTTATAATATATCATTGGTTGTTACTTATGCACATTTCAAGTCTCTTGCACTCCCTAACTTTTTATGGCTCCTAATAACACATAATTAGAGGGGAGGTGATTTTTTTCTTTTTTTCAAGTCAAATCAAACCGTTACCGCTGCTGCCGCTGATCAGACAGTCGCTCTCGTGAAACACTCCTGTCCTAGCCAGTAGTGCTTGGCAAATTGTAAATTTTTTACAAAGTTTCATTGCATTTGAATTAAATTTATAATATATCATTGGTTGTTACTTATGCACATTACATTAGATTAGATTAAAATTTATTGCATTAGACATATATAGCACATCTCCAATTTTTTGCCTTTACAACAGGTCATTATGATTATAATAAATAGGTTTAATCAATCAACTAATCAATATCAAGTGTCGCACGCCATTAGTTTCTCGACGGGGGTGGGCAAGCCTTTAACTAACCCTCCTCAAATACTGCAGGGGAAAACCACCCCCGAAAACCCTGCAGCTGAGTCTCACTCTTCCAAATTTAGGCATTCAAATTTACATGTCCAATATTCATTCATATATCATAGAGTTGACACTTCAGCATTGACACTTTTAACAAAGTTGCCATAGTCAGCTATTTCTTTCAATACATTGGGTAATTTGTTGTATACTCGTGCTATCATTATCTCAGGACTTTCATTCACACAATTTAGTGAGCTTGGCCTTACAAATAAATCTGTTTCAACATATGCAGTAGCACGCGTAGTTCGCACTACAACACCTGGAACATCACGATTCATTTTAAACTTTTCAGGAAATTTACGCACAAACTTAACACACTCCAATATGAATAGACAGTAAGAACTCCAAATTTCACAAATAGTGGTCTGCATGAGTCTAGAGCCGAGTTACTTCTCCAATATTGAACGCCAGCCATCGCTCTTATTACTCTTTTCTGCGCAAGAAAAACATCTTTCATATGTGTAGAACACATTTCTAGTCTGTCGCACTCCCTTAAGCGCGGATCTTTTTATGGAACTGTTTATGCTTTAATTGGTGCGGCGAGGTTGGCTGCATCTTGCATGGATAAATTTTGTATTGATAATTACGTTTAAATTCGTAATTTTGCGTTTCCAGCACCCTAATGCGGCTTTATTTTCTGACTCGCCCCCTATTTTTGTGAATGGCTAATCCATTTTTGTTGCCCTAATGACATAATTTCTTGGATTGTATATCATGGAAAATTTAAAGTGGACTGAGCATGCGCGGATTATGTTGTGGGCAAGTTGCATAGTGCTGTTTTTCTTGTGAATAATTTGTTGAAATTGGTTAATGCTAAGCACTTGCCCATGTTTTATAATGCATAATGTATAAATGTACACAGTTATGCAGTAGGGCATTGTTTTTTGGGGTGGATCAGAGCTGGCAAGAGTGTTTTCGGCACAAAAGCGCCTTTGCAATGGTCGGTGAACAGTATATTGGCCTGGCCCAACGCCAGTTTGTTCGGCGCGGCCTCTCTTCAGGAAATTAAATTTTTTGCCCTTGTTTTCGATTCATTTAGCAGAAGGCCTGCAAATTTGTGCGTCCATACCCTGAGGATTTTGTGAAAACGCGAGATGTTGTATGTGCCTATTTCGGTCCAGACGTGTCTATTTCTAGGAAAATCCGCTCCTTTGCATGTCGCGCTTGTGTAATAAATTACATATTAGATTGGAGTTAAGATTTCCTCAGTTTGTGGGCTTGTTAAAGAAATTTGTTACTTCCCACGAGTAGTAATACACTAAAGAGGAGTATGTAAAATACAAAAAGTGCTTGTAAATGAGTAAATTTCTTTTTTTCTCTGATCTTTGTTTCATTTGACAAAATTGTAAGTGAGTGGGTCACACGGGAGATATTATATGTGAATACATTCCATGATGTATAAGATGTATGAATAATTTTCCTTCGCAAAATTAAAAACGAAAATAAAATACCGTATTATGATGATTTTTGTTGTTTATATGTCAAATTGTTACATCACATAGCTTCAATTCAATGGTTAAAAACTGTTATTTAAAAAATTGTGGGACATAACTACTAGCTAGAATTTTACTACAAATTCCGAGATCAAAAAGAACTCATCCGCCGCAGTGAGCGTTTGGTTGACTAGGTTTTTATTCTTATCACATCCAAATTTTTCAGTTTGAAAACTGTTTCACTGGGCACTGGGCAGGTTTAATGCGTCTGGAAGATTATTCCAGGGGCCGCTTACCAAAGTCTTATTCGGATTAAATTTCAGGTGATTATCACTCGCATATTTCACTATGTCAGAGTTTGCTTGTATTGTCTTTTCATTCACCTCAGAGGCAGTTTTACCTTTCACTATTATTGTAGAGTCATCGGCAAAAATAACTAATATCGCAATTATAACAATTAAGGGCAGGTCAATCGAATATGCGCTGTAAGTAAAGGGACCGAGAGATGTACCTTGCGGCACACCTCTGTTACTCTCACGCAACTTAGATTTAATTATTTCTTCTACACACTTATCATTCAGAACTTCTCAGTTTAACTAGCTGCTTTCGCTCTAGTAAAAATGACTTGATCCAGTCTAACGCTTTACCATTGACACCAGGGTGCGTCCAGGAAAGATTTGAGGGTAAATGTTAAAAATTTTTCTTGAAAACATGCCATTCCAATTTTCAAGTATGTTGTTGGGGTGGTCAAGAGGCCTCGCTCACCAAATTTTCAAGTCAAAATAAGGGGTGCTTTTCCGGGAAATCAGATTTTTCAAAAAACAAAAAATATGGAATATCTTTGCTCCTATTGAGAAATTATTAATAATCTTTTCACTTTCAGACGTAACTTTTTACGCCCGACAACTTTTCTGTTGACAACTTTTGCGTAGATCAAAGGTCAAGGTTGCGACAACCTTTTGGGTCCAGCTCTAGGGAACTGGACCACGGTGCGAATTGCACAGCTTATTAACCCAGCTATTAACTACTTAATAGCTGGTGCCGGGTCAAGGAACCAACCTCCGTGGTTCGGCACGTTGAGTGCACGGTGACTAAAGCTTATTCGATTATCGCCTTGAATAATTCTATTAATGCCTTACTTATTAAATTAGTTTACACTTTATTCTTTATTCTCAATTGACTGACCCTCACCCTCTATGCCTTCGGCTCACCCTGAAGACCTCCTGTCCAAGGACACAGCCCGCCGAGAGTGTTGTGGTTCCCAAAGACTTCTTTAAAATCACTATATTTCTATTCTAGGAATTAACAAATAAAAACCAGACTTTATGCTCTGCGAGCCAAGCAAACACTATTATTTTTATTGTGCGGCACCGAGGTGTCGCCTGCTCTGATTTGAGGGGAAATACAGGAGGAGTGGGATAACATATATTACATGAATACAAAATAATATTATTCTTTATTTACAGTAATAATATGGTCGTCACAAGGTCACTAAATTGCAAATTTCACTTTCTGACGCAATTTTCGCAAAGATGCACTCCTCAGAAATTTTTCGCAGTATAGGAAAAAATGTAGCCCCAAGTGTGTAGAACAACATCCTTGATTTCCAGAATGGCATTATTTTTAGTTTTTTAATTAATTTTAAATGAATATTAAAAAACGGTGAAAAATCGCTTTTCCGCAATAGAAAGTAATTTTCAAACAGCGATAACTCAGTTTCTGTTAGAAATACGCAAAAATGTTATAGAACAAAAAGGATTTGTTTTGACTTTTTGCATCTAGCCATGTATTGTTCATACAGGTCAGGTCACTTGGGGTCATTGACCTCAGTGACCGGTGACCTTTAAGAGCAGTTTACTGAATATTTGGCACATAGTTAGGAAGAAATATTTTATGAAATGGTTTTAATAAGCTCATTTCCCACAAATTATGTTTTGAGGTCACAGGTCACCGAGGTCAATGACCCCAAGTGACCTGACCTGTATGAACAATACATAGATGCAAAAAGTCTAAAAAAAATCCTTTTTGTTCTATAACATTTTTGCGTATCTCTAACAGAAACTGAGTTATCGCTGTTTGAAAATTACTTTCTAGCGGAAAAGCGATTTTTCACCGTTTTTTAATATTCATTTTAAAATTAATTAAAAAACTAAAAATAATGCCATTCTGGAAATCAAGGATGTTGTTCTACACACTTGGGGCTACATTTTTTCCTATACTGCGAAAAATTTCTGAGGAGTGCATCTTTGCGAAAATTGCGTCAGAAAGTGAAATTTGCAATTTAGTGACCTACGCAAAAGTTGTCAAGAGAAAAGTTGTCGGGCGTAAAAAGTTACGTATGAAAGTGAAAAGATCATCAATAATTTCTCAATAGGAGCAAAGATATTCCATATTTTTTTGTTTTTTTTTGGAAAAATCTGATTTCCCGGAAAAGCACCCCATATTTTGACTTGAAAATTTGGTGAGCGAGGCCTCTTGACCACCCCAACAACATACTTGAAAATTTGAATGGCATGTTTTCAAGAAAAATATTTAACATTTACCCTCAAATTTTTCCTGGACGCACCCACCAACCATTTTAGTTTCTTCAACAATCTATCAGGTACTAACGATCGTAACGCGTTTGTAAAATCATACAAAATAACATTAATCTTTTCTCTTTTGTCTAATGAGTCGTACACATTTATCACCATATCATAAAGCTAGACCGCTTTTTCCTGAAGCCATGCTGTTCTTGTTGGGTCTTTTATTATCTGAGACAAGCCCAATTCCGCGAAATTTTCCAGAAAATCGGGAGCAGGCGCGGCGCCGCTGACTGGTGGATTGGCGCGCCAGGCGACGTCCACGTTGAAGTCCCCCATGAGAAACATCGCGTCAAAATTGTGCTGCCGCTCGGAGGCCAAATTAATTGAGCGCAGCAATTCGGCCTCTATTTATAAAACCTGTACGGCTGAATTTAACAACACAGAGCCCAGAAATCATGATTTCAAAAATCTTTAACAAGCTTCCGGAGAGATTGAAGCGAATTAACGATACTAATATTTTTATTAGTGAAGTGAAGAAATTGTTCTACGACAAATTATTTTATGATATCCATGAGTATCTGCTGTGTAAACTTGAATGAATGTGGAATGTTGAATTAATTATAATTAGACCTATTCTTATAAATTTCCGACTCCTGATTTTCGGCATTTTTTTGTATGCTTGTACTTTTTTATGTCGATGCATGATTCTGCTTTTTTTTGTACAGTGTACTTTTTTTGCGTTGTATGTGCTATGAATGGAGAATAAATAAATAAAATAAATAAATAAAGATCGTTGTAAATATTTGATCTAAAATGGAATAAAATCTATTGAATTGAATTGAATAAACGAGACGTTGTTGTGGAACCTTTTGGCACTCGAGGTGGTCATATTTGTTGAAATCAAATCCGGCTTCCTCGGTGGAGATGAGCAACTTTATTGTTTCTGCATGGTACAGAAAATCAATGTACCATGCAGAAACAATAAAGTTGCTCAACTCCACCGAGGAAGCCGGATTTTATTTCAATAGGTATTAAGTAATTTCAGGGTTTCAAATTCTCAATTTATTTTTGTTCATTTTTTATGTTTGAGAGCGGGAGATGTCACGGTTCGCGCACCTATATTAATAGCTACATTCACGCACATGACAATTGGTGCGCAATTAATTAAGAGCACCTTAGCATGGTGAGAGTGGTCTCGGGGCCACTCACCACCCACTGGTTGATGATCTCAGACGTCACCGGCTTATTAGGTATGCATAATTATGTATCGGATAACTAACTCCATGTAATAAATACAACTGGTATAACTTATCCCTTTGCTCCTGATTTACTATTTACATTACACCCAATAAGTTAACAATAAGCACCAGTTAGGGTCCACCAGATCCAAGACAATACCTCAAAAACGACACAGAAAATGATGTGAAATGTTGATCGATATCATTCTACGACTTGGAAAAATTTTATCATTTGATAATGATATGTATTCTGAATTATTTTAAATAAATAAATGAAAAAGCAACTAACTCATATTATGAAAAAGCTCTACAAAATATAGAAGTTTTGAATCTTGAGCCTACAGAATTTGCAACTAATGTAATATATCTTCATCACTATATATCCACAATTACATCATTTGAATTGTACACATAAGAAAATAAAATGTGGTATATAATGCGTAACTAAAAAAAAAACTTATGGCGCACAAATTTCTAGTCTAATGATTTCAATACACTGTTACTTAAACAAAAAGGTGATTTAATAGATTTAATGAGGGAAAGAAAATCAGTTTTGTTGTGCAGTTAATCCTACACCTTCTTTAATAAATATATATATATATATGCTTTAATTTTTTTTACACAATTATCTTTTATATATCAAAACAATTGATACTTTTCACGCAGGAGAACAGAATGAATTTAAACCTTTAAATAAGTCCACAGGAACACCCCATCTTCTGTTTTACTGCAGAGGATGGGTACATATTAATTTATTAACCTAGAAAATCAGGATCACTATATTCGTCTTCGTCGTCCTCGTCCTCATTGCTAACTACACGCTTCTTCTTTTTGTGCTTATGCTTTCGATGCTTCTCCACCTTGTGGACTTTGTGATGAGATTTGTATGACTTGCCAGTGCCCTCATTTGGCATCTTCACTGGAACGATTGTGAGTTTGGGAATTTTCGGGAACTGGGCTTGCTGCAAATTTAAAATTTATTTAATAGATGTTCATTTTTATTTCATTTCAACCATGCAACCATTGACAAAGGTCAACATATTATGATAAATTACTGAAGTATTTAAAACAAATTTTGGATGTATGCATTAAGAAATAGTTTTTGCTTAGGGTAGTGAAGCGCTATTTTTAAAAGATTAAAAACTTGAGATCCTGAGAGTTTTAAGGGGCATTTTGAAAAATCCAAAAAAAGGTCACTAATTTTGAAATTAAAATTTCAAATTCAAAATGGAGAATACATAAACAAATGCTAAGCCGGGCGCCAAAGTAAAATTTCAAGGTGGCCATTCAATTTATCGTTAAAATTTATGTATTATATAAAAATTGCGCCGTTACTCTTGTTAGTTCAATTCAAAATTAAATAAAAATATATACTTTTTTTTGCGCCCCAAGACGCCTTCTCAACAAGAAATCCTACGACCCCCGGCCGACTTCAGCAAAGATCAACCCTTCACTCGCAGTCCCAGCATGAGAAATCACTCGGGTTCCCCCGAGAAAAATCCGCCTGGGGGTGAAAATCAAACCCACAATCTCCGGGATGGGGGGCAAGCGCATACTCCACTTAGCCACTTTGGCTTGTGAGTACAGAAAACTTATTTAATAATGTGCTGAGTGGGGTCGCGATATGCTACTTTTGTTTGAAAGTTGAAGAACTTCTTGTATGCTAAGAAATTCAATTGATTTTATGTGCGCTTTGTAATTTGAAGATACATTTTGTTCTATTTTTTTTTTAACTCCATTGCAAACAAGTGGGTTACGCTGAATGGTACAATAATGTAATACCACGTTGTAGAAGCAATAAAGATTGAATTTGAATTGACCCTCCGCAAAATTTGAGCAGGACAGAAATATAATTCCATCTCTATGATTACTACATCAGCAAAAATCAATAATTTCTGGCATAAACAAATTCAAATCTATTGACCCTTGCCTGAGGTTGGTCAAATTAAATTTTCATTAATTACCTGTCCATCAGGGCCTTGTGCTGAGGCGCAGGCAGACTCATCAGGAGCAGCTTTAGAGATTGCATATACTTTGGTAACTTTTGAACCTTCATCTTCATCTTCTTCTTCACCGTCCTTGCCATCAAAACTGAGCATAAGTTGTTTAAACTATAGAGAAATATGAATTAAGTTAAATGTTATAATGATCTAACTAAATAATGTACACTTAAGTATTGGTTGATTACTTCTCTCTTGTCCTCGTTGGTCAACAAACCAGGAAGGGTACCTTCTTTTAACTTTTGGAGGGTTGCCTTTGGATCGAAAATTGAGTTTGTTTTCCTTGTCAAAGACTTTTCATATATTTTTCCTGATTCTGTTGGTGCATACTGCGTCAATTTCCTACAAATCACAACAGATATTAGATTAGATTGCATTAGACATTATGTAATACATCTCCAATTTGCCTTTACAACAAAACAAACAAATTTAGTACAAAATATATCTCATTATACATCAATTGATTGAGGTTGCTAGCTCGCATTTTTTTTTTTTTTTATCATATAGGACTTCATTTAGGAACTATATAGATACTTGTCGATTTTGTAGACGTCATAATAGATTGGATAAGATTAGATCAATATTTATTGCATTAGACATATATATCGTACTTCTCCAATTTGTCTTCACAACAAGTCAATAAAATAGCAACTTCTTCATATTTCAAATTTCAGTGATTGAGGGAACTTGCACACCATTGATAATTTGGCGGGGGTGGGCAAACATTTTTTTTTACTAACCCTCCTATCTAGCTTACTACAGGGGGAAAACCACCCCCCAAAAACCCTGTAGCTTAGCTCAAATAGATGCATTCTGTCCAAGAGTTTATTTGGACAAGAAGGCACAGTAGTCTCTCGCCTTAATAAACTGGCAAAAACCGGTAACAACCAACCAGTGCACACAGTAGTGGGGTCGCCACGTTTTGTCAGAAAATGCAATGTCAGAAAAATGGGAAACTAAAATGTCAGGAAATGTTTTGGCAGAAAATTAAATGTAATAAAACGCGGTGGCCGATCTCATTTTGATTTCAGGCGTTTTAGCAGACCTCTGCTAGTTGTGATACCCTCCTATAATCGTGCGTCGCGCCTCCTATAAGCGTGCGTCGCGCGTCCTATAAGCATGCGTCGCGCGTACTATAAGCATGCGTCGCGCGTATTATAAGCATGTGTCGCGCGTCCTATAACCATGCGTCGCGCCTCTTACGATGGTGAAAAGCGCCCTCCGGTGTTTGCTTTGCCCCTCACTGGATTTATGGCCCGTCGCGCGTCCTATAAACATACGTCGCGCCTGCTATAAGGGTGCGCACGGCCCTCCGGAGGTCGTCTTGCCCCATTCTGAACCCATCCCAAGGGCCCCTATTCTTCCTAGCAGTCCCCTTAATTAAGATTGTAGGAAAAGAATTGCGTCGCGCGTGCTATACATGTTGCCGGGGTATCGATGGAATAATCGGGTTTCTTTAAAATTATGCCGTAAAACCAGTATTGTATGCGCGACGTAAAACCACTACTGAACGGGCGACGTGATACTTTTACATGTGAGCATTAATGCTGCCAACCTCTGAAAAAACACGTCGCGCGTACTATAGCATTACCTCGTCTACAACCTCAGTGAATCGGTGCTCGAGTTCGTGGACAAGGAGCGAATGCTCGGCGTCCACATCTCGAGGGATCTCCGGTGGCAGGTCCACACGGACATTGTGTGCAGCAAGGCGGCCCAATCTCTCGGTTTTGCGGCCCGAAACTTGCGCGGCTGCACCCCCCGCGTCAAAAGAATTGCGTATCTCTCGCTCGTCAAGCCAACCATGACTTACGGTCTCCCTGTGTGGCACCCCACGTTGCAGGAGAACGTCAACAAACTCAATCGAGTGCAGAATCGGGCACTGCACTTCATTTACGGCCGAAACCTTCCGCCGCCAATCGAGCAGAGAATTATGCCCATTGACATGCACCTCAGGTACACCGACCTCTACTTCTTCAAAAAGTGCCTGAGCGGCGAGATAGATTTTGATGCGCGCGCCCGAATCGTAATGAGTCGTAAGCTGAGAGGTGACGATATACAGGACCCCCGCCTCCAGCCACCCTCGGCCAACAACAAGTTCGGTCGCGGCGCTTTCTCCTTCAGGATAGTCAAGCCTTGGAACCACTTGCCACCTGCCCTTAAAAACTGTCCCTCAAACAATTTCCCCTCTCTCTGTAAGGAGCATTTGCGGCAGTAATTCAAGATTGAAGATTTTAAAGTGTTTGTGATATTGTTCTTATTTTCGATAGTGTGGGTTTACCGCGGCGGCCGTGTCTCTTTTGATGTCGGGAGTTTTAGCAGACATCTGATAGTTGTAAACCCTTTCTTCTCTTTTTTCCAATTTATAATTTTTGTAGTGACCGAGAAGAATAATAATCTATAATAATAATAAAAAAAAATCGTTGTAAACCAAATTGACCCCCTGCAAAACCCGAGCAGGACAGAAATTGAATTCCAACTTTATTGGATTTCTCGAAAAATGAATAGCTGGGACCGTTCACGAATGATTTAAGATAAATTGGACAGATTTTTTTTGTTACGAGCACCACTCTGATTTTTAGATATGTTGTTAGGGTTGATGAGAAACTACTTTGACCAAATTTTTAGACCAAAATATTTATTACTTTTTGAAATATTCGGGTTTTTTGAAAAACTCAAAAATGCTTATATCTTTGCTCCTCTTAGTTTTAGAGCAATTTGGTTTTCACTATAGTAGGTAACTTTTTATTCTGAACAATTTTGCTGTTGACCAAATTGCCCTAGGTCAAAGGTCAAGGTCATTAAAATGCATTTTTAGTTTTTGAGGTCATTTTTCTCAAAGAAGCGTATTTTTGATATTTTTTTAGCAAATGCAAAAAATGTAGCCCGCAAAATTCTACATCTGGTCCGAAATATTTGCGATGGCGTATGTCTTAGTTTTTTAGTTATTTTAATTTAAAATTAAAAAGATGCGTTTTTCCGATATGCGGTATTTTGACATTTTTCTGTTATATTATTTCTAAGCAGCCTAGAGCAATGCGGTTTTCACTACTAGACCTATTTTTTAATTTTGAACAACTTTTCCGTTGACAAAAAATACCTAGGTCAAAGGTCAAGGTCAGTAAAATGCATTTTTAATTTTCTAGGTCAATTTTCTCAAAGAAGCGTATCTCAGATTTTTTCCGCAATAAAGAAAAAAATGTTGCCCATGAAATTCTACATCTGGTAGGAAAAATTCAGAATGGCATTATTTTTAGATTAAAAGATATTTCAATAAGAATAAAAAAAAAAGGCAAAAAGGGTCAGAATATTATATACGGAAACGAACTTTTTAAATATTTATTAAAATATCTTTAAAACTAAAAATAACGCCATTCTGAATTTTTCCAACCAGATGTAGAATTTCATGGGCAACATTTTTTTCTATATTGCGGAAAAAATCTGAGATACGCTTCTTTGAGAAAATTGACCTAGAAAATTAAAAATGCATTTTACTGACCTTGACCTTTGACCTAGGTATTTTTTGTCAACGGAAAAGTTGTTCAAAATTAAAAAATAGGTCTAGTAGTGAAAACCGCATTGCTCTAGGCTGCTTAGAAATAATATAACAGAAAAATGTCAAAATACCGCATATCGGAAAAACGCATCTTTTTAATTTTAAATTAAAATAACTAAAAAACTAAGACATACGCCATCGCAAATATTTCGGACCAGATGTAGAATTTCGCGGGCTACATTTTTTGCATTTGCTAAAAAAATATCAAAAATACGCTTCTTTGAGAAAAATGACCTCAAAAACTAAAAATGCATTTTAATGACCTTGACCTTTGACCTAGGGCAATTTGGTCAACAGCAAAATTGTTCAGAATAAAAAGTTACCTACTATAGTGAAAACCAAATTGCTCTAAAACTAAGAGGAGCAAAGATATAAGCATTTTTGAGTTTTTCAAAAAACCCGAATATTTCAAAAAGTAATAAATATTTTGGTCTAAAAATTTGGTCAAAGTAGTTTCTCATCAACCCTAACAACATATCTAAAAATCAGAGTGGTGCTCGTAACAAAAAAAATCTGTCCAATTTATCTTAAATCATTCGTGAACGGCCCCAGCTAAAAAGCTCCACTCATTGGCATAAGAAAAGCTAAGCTACAGGGTGCTTTTCCTTGAGGGAAAGCCCGATTTCTTCATTTTCATGTTCTTTTCCATTTTTTTTCTGATAAGACTTAATAATAATGATTATAACAATAAATATTTGTTCTCTACAATAAGAATAATCCTGTTCTTGTTTAAGTTACGCATGTCTACCTCTAAATAAAATTTAACTTGATAAATACTTGTATTGCAAGAAAAACTTACGAATCGCTTATGCCATATAGGTCTTTCAGGTGTTGCTTCAGGACTAGCAGCAACATGCAGCCTTGCGAGGCTGTTATACAGTCTAGAAGTGGTTTAGTGTCCTCTGAGATTCGCTTAATCAACTCTTCAACATCATCCTCATCGTCTTCGTCGATAACATGCTCTTCATCTGGACCCAATTCACCCGCCGGTTTTGACAAGTTCAGAGACTGTAAACTCTGTATTAATTTTCCACTAAAATTCAATTTTTATGTGCCATACCTCTCGAAATGACTGCAATAGGTTGGTGCCAACAAGTGAGAGTACTATATCAATGTGGTGAATGATAAAAAGTGGCTCATCAATGACTTGGTAGGGGCAGTAAGCCAGGTTGTCGGCCAAGTAGAGCATTTGAGAGAGACTAGTTTTCTGTCAAAAAAGAAATTAACAAATACATCAAATACAAGCGCACTAAACACTGTGCCACAAAGTCAATCAGGATTTATCCATTAGGTTAGATCAAAATTTATTTTGTAGGCATATATATCAGACATTTCCAATTTGACTTTGCAAAAATTCATTAATAACAGTGATAAAAAAAATAGGTAATCAAAAATTTACATATAGTAGATTTTTGATTACCTATTTTTTATATTAAAATATTTTTTGTTCTTCTCATTGAAACCCTGGAACGACCTGCCGCCTGTCCCAGAAGCAATTTCCCTCCCTCTGCAAGCATTATTTGTGACAGAAATTTTAAAGTGATTGTGATTCTTCTTTTTTTTTTTGATAGTGTGGGTTCACCGCAGCGGCTGCGTCTCTTTTGATGTCTGGCGATTCAGCAGACCTCTGCTATTTGAGATTTGAGATACCCTTTCTGCTCATTTTTTGATTTTTTATTGTTGTTTATTCTACTCAATTCTACTCGTCATACATGAAAAAAATTGAATTTGAAAAAATGAGCAGAAAAGGTATCACAACTAGCAGAGGTCTGCTTAAACGCCTGACATCAAAAAGATGTGGACCGCCTTTCATCCGAAAATTTGGAAATAGTCCGAAAAAAAATCGGAATTTATCCGAAAGGAGAGAGGCCGAGAATGCCTTTTTGGACTTCATCCGAGATATCCGTCACTGGGGAATTGAATAAATATTAGATATGATCATAAGATATGTTCTTTTATTAATGTGATAACAAATAATTATTATTTTCAGTTTAATCTGGAGCAAAAGCCTGCGTCATTAGGTTACTACACAAATAATTAAGGTGAATTCAAGTCTTTAGGAGCTACAGGAGTTTGTCTCTTTCTTTGCACCGGTGTGCTGTAGTCAAATTCAGGTCTCCTTGGCCCCTGATTACTGCCTTCGCCGGACACTCTGAGTTTCCTTTTATTAGCACACATTGTTTGTGTACCGTCTCTTGCCCGCGTTGTTTTGGTAAAATGGTAGGAATACCCATTACAAAACCACAAAGTTTTTCCAAACTTATTGCCAGGCATAAGAAGTGACATTTTCGTTTGTCTCAGCACTTGTTTATGTTCCAACTCCTAATACAGCTGATTGATAAACAAAACACTGGTATTATTTTCATAGCCGGTTTTCGGATTAGTACCAATTTTATCGGCCTATTTCCTTTCGGATGAATTCCGATTTATTTCAGACTATTTCCAAATTTTCGGATAAAGTGCAAAAAGGCACTTTCGTTCCATTTCCTTTCGAACCAAGTCCGACGACCCCAAAAAGAGATGGGCCACCGCGTGAACCCACACTATCGAAAAAACGACAATCACGGCACTTTTAAATTGTTGCCACAAATGCTGCTTGCAAAGGGAGGGTAAATTGCTGGTTGGGCAGTCCTTGAGGGTCGGTGGCAGGTCAGGGCTTGACGACCCTGAAGGAAAAAGCGCGCTGGCCGAGCACACGTGGGTGACTGGAGGTGGGGATGCCGGCTATTGTCGCCTCGCAGCATTCGGCCCTCAATGATTTGGGCGCGCGCGTCAAAATCAGTCTCGCCGCTCAGGCGAGATAAATTTTTACCATTAAAATTTAATTTTTTATGATTTTAGTAAAATAAACAATAATAATTAATAATTAGCACTATTTTTTTTTAAATAAACACACTTGGCATGGGTCCTCCGATTTTGATGAAATTTGGTATAGTGGTTCCTCCAAGTGTAAGATGAAATAGTACCACGGGATTTTGAAAAAATTTCAAAATTGCCTATTTTACAGGGGCTCAAAGTTTGAATTTTTCTTAAAAGGTGTTTTCGAAAATCGAAATTTTCTCAGGATCCGCCAGAGAAAGAGCAAAAATCTTAATAACAGTCTTGTAGGGCATTAGACAGACTACAAATTTGGTTTGAAGTGCAAGGTCGTAGGTCAATGTTCAAGGTCATCGGACTGGACCTGAAATCTTAAATTTGCCGCTGAAATACCAAGTACATGAAATTTTTGAAATTGAAAATAGCCGAAATGCGCCAAATTTAATGGAGAAAACCGTATTAAAAATTTGTGATGGGTTTATTTATTTATTCGTTTTTGAGAAATTCAAAGTCTAAGGGTAAAAAACGTGATTTTTCGAGCAATTTTAATGGAAAATAACTTTTAACTTGTAATATTGTTCCTGATTCCTGATACAGTTACGCAAAAATTGGTGATGACAAATAACGATTGCTTGGACCTGTTCTTTCAAACCATGTATCACACATTGTGACCAGGTCACAAAAGGACCTGTGACCTTTTCAAATGCAAAACACAATTTCATTAAATTAAAATGTTGCTTTCTGTTTATAGATGTAACATTTCCCAAAAACATTTTGGAATGGTCACCAAGGTCAATGACCTTTTGTGGCCTGGTCACCATGTAGGATACATGGTTTGAAAGAACAGGTCAAGGCAATCATGATTTGTCATTATCAATATTTGCGTAATTGTAGCAGGAACAAAGTTACGGACGGTTCTGAATCTGAATCTGTTGGTGTGTATAGAAAAATATTCGGAAAACCCAGTTTATTGCAAAAAAAAGTATGGTGGTTGCACTAGTGGTCGCACAGAGCCAGAGGTCGCACATTTTGGCAAATAAAGCATGTTTTTCATTGTTTTATGCCGCAATATTGGTATTATAAGTTTCTGACATCTATCGGCCATAGATTCAACTCGTAGAAAATATGTTGCATTTGCGTAAAGAATGCGCAATCGTGAAAAAACATGTTTGAACCGGTCATCTGCTGACTCTTGCTTACTCTCGAACTTCAGGACGTGTGGGTAAATAGCGTTTTTGATAAGTTTAGGAAGGCTGACGTGAAAAATTTCAACCATGGCTAGTATGTGTATTGTATTAGGATAAAGAATATGCATAAAAACTTTACGAAAGCCCTTTCAAACCCACAATAATTGATATTATCTGCTGTGCGACGATGGGTGCACTCGTTTACTCCTGTTGTCCCATAAGTCGCACAGCGCATTTAAACTCTTCTGTACTCAATCAATAATCAATATGTATGAAATAATATTAGTGAAATTTAAAATTTATGCTCTGAATGGACCGATGAGTCCTTTACTTTTGCAGGCATGACAAATTAAATAACATTTTGATGACCTTATTACAGTTTTCTGCATTCGAGAAAGTGTTCACTTCAGAGTTTCCGAGAAAACTGCATATCATAATTATGTTTACTTGTTAACAGTTTACGAAATTTAAATTGTTCTCACCATTAATTAACTTTTTTTTTCAAAATTTAAAGATCTTTTATTCAGAATGACTTTGGTGAAATTCACAATCATGTTAACATTTATACCAGAATACCTATTTTATTTTTAAAACAATTTGTAATATAATTTTATATTTTTAGTATATAATAAAAATAAAATTTATATAGTAGTTTAATATTTTTATATTTATATTTACTAAATTTAAATTTCAAATTTAATAATTAAAAAAATTTTGCTTTTAATATAAAAGAATAATTGTGTGGGTTCAGCAAACGCATCTCTTTTGATTGTCGGGCATTTTAGCAGACCTCTGCTAGCTGTGATACCCTTTCTGCTCAATTCTCCAATTTCAATTTCTTTTTGTATGACTTGAGTAGAATAAATTTTAATGAAAACCTTCTAAATTAAAAAAAAAAAATGCTTTTCAGGTAATTTAATTATTGATCCTAATAAATTAAAAATTTAAAGATAGTCAAAAAATGATTTACACCCACATTTAAAATTGTGGAAATGAATGAATCGGGCTTTTTCCTCGTTGCAGAAATTGTTTTTTATTCATAGCTAGCTCATTCTTGTATAAGTCAGCGAGCAGTGCGTTTGCTCATAAAATAGGGTTTCACACCGTGACCAAAACTGGTAGAGCCATTTGTTTTTGAAAAAAAATCTGCAATGAGGAAAAAAGCCCGATGCCCGATTCATTCATGTCCATGATCATCTCCTCGATTGTCAACTTCTGCCAACAAATTTGAAAATTGTTTTTTTAATTGAAAAATAATTTCCCAATTGGGCAGCTATTATAATTTAAATTTTAATTCAGCTGTCCCTGGACTAGGGTATACAATCCAAAAATTATGATAAAAAATTCCAATGATAATAGAACATAATAGAATCAATGTCTGAAAATTGAACAGTATTCCTAGCTGCCATTCGTATTCGTACATTGATATATTTTCAAAAACAACTCAAACTCACTCCCAACTGTCCCAAGAAATTGAGCAGAGTTTAAAAAGGAACTATTTTTGTAGATTTTTTTTAATTTGGAACGGCAGCAGATAAAAAAAAATTAAAATCAGAGGATGTTTGTAATATGCATAACTTTTGTAAGAAATTTTCTGATATTTTTTGGATTGCATACTATCCAGGGGTAGCCTATTAAAATATTAAGTTACCTGCCAAATTATGATATAATTTTGAAAAAATTTCCAGCAGATATTTGTTTTACTTTATTATGTTGGATTCAATTTCAAACTATTTTTTTTTTTAATTTTAATACGATCATGTTAATTAAATTCGCTTAAAACGCGAATATATTGCATCAAGATGGTTATAAATCTCTCTTTTAAGTCTTTCTAACATTTTATTTTATAAAAAATCAAGTCAAAATTCAAAGCAGAAGGCTCAATTTGCGTTAAAACGCCTAAAAGCAGCGTTCGGCGAGCAGTGTGCGACCAATGGCTCGTACGTGTGCGAGGGCCGGTGCCATTGTGCGACATTACCTACAACAGCTACTTTTGTGTTTAACCGCCTATAAATAGCACTTAGTTGCATTTTCATATCATTTGAACTTGTTAATAGTATCCTGAGGATGTATTCTAACCATTATAATAGCTAAAAACATCAAAAATTGAATATATCATTCAATAAACTTAATATAAATCTTGAAAATTCCTTAACTGTGCGACCACTGGTACAACCACCATAGTTTCACAAATTTTTAATATTTTTTTGATAATCAAGAAGAGCAGCTTTTGGCTATAATGGAATCAATAATTTTTATGTACTAGGAATAAAAGCAGCGCATCAAAAACTTAAAAAGTTGACCCTGAACTTTGACCTATGACCTTGGTCACTACGGCAAAGTTGTAGGGCGTCTAATTCCCTACAAGATTCAAGATTTTTTTCTTGAAACTTTGCTCATGTAAACACATGAGCCATCTGCAACACGAGCTGAGATATTTCTGATTTTTGAAAACACCTTTCTCAAAATCCCCAACTTTGAACCCCTGTTAAATAGGCAATTTTGAGAATTTTCAAAAATCCTTTTAAACTGCACCTTACGGGCAACCAATGTGCCAAATTTTATTCAAATCGGTTGACCCCTTGTCAAAAGTATTTCCCTTTTTTAAAAAAAAGTGCCTGCTGGAAAATTTCATTTATTTCTGTCTTTGTTCTCGAAATCAGTTTGCTTATTCTTCTAGTCATTAAAAAATAAAAATTTTAGTTTACAATTTTATATATATATATATATATATATATATATATACATATATATATATATACATATATACATATATACATATATATATATATATGTATATATATATATATATATATATATATATATATATATATATATATATATATATATATATATATATATATATATATATATATTTATAGAAGATATCTCACCGCTTGCTCATCAAACTGCTTGAGAATAGACAGGGATACAGCTCGCCGTTGCTGCTTAGTGTTGCGCAGAATAGAGTAGAGGAAGCCATTCAGAGCTGTAGGCAATTCCTTTTCTTTAGTCCGGAAACCACGCACAATCTCATCATTCTGGATAATCTCCTGCAGACGGAATGAAAGCCAAATGCCATCCAGCGTCTTCATGTGAATAAAACCAGGGTACTTCTTCTCGATCTCTTGCAGCTGCTTGTCAGCGCTGTGGCTCACGCACTGCTCAAGGTCCGTGCTCATGCAGATCAAGTATGGCACAATCTATTCCCAAAAAAACATAATTACTCTTAAATGAATGTAATATCAAAAATTTTGTTTTATTTAAACCATCATGCAAATAAGAATAAACTACGGTGATTTTAATTCAAAGTTGGCTATTCCTCGATGGATTTTTGTTTAAGAAAAAACTTTATCCTGCTCGACATATATCGGCTGCTTCAAATTCAAATCACCATGAATCAACCCTCGATCGTGAAATTCTACCACAATTATAAACTCAAGCGCTGCCTCCTGACTAATAAAATTATATGTCAGGAAGTTTAGTTTTTCTAATTAATTTGCTGATTTGTAGCTTTACGTTGTTTTCCCACTAAACAATTCTTAAAACAAAATTTGACATAGAGTTCAAAGCGTGAAATATTTCATTAATCTTTCACGGAAAATTGTTACTTTGAAACACTTTGAAAGTAAAATAATTTTTGAAAAAAGATTGATTTTGTACTAATTCTTGTCAAAATAATTTTAAAGCTCATTAATTATGGCTGCAGCCTGCAACCGAAATATGTAGAATGTTGAGGAGGGTATTGTTTTTTCTTGAACAATAAACAACTCACAAAAACACGTCAAGGAAAAGCTGACTTTCTTTCGCCTGTATTTGAGCAAAGCAATCAAAAAGAAAAGTACTGGTAGCAACGGAATGAGGTAATAATTTGATTAACCAACCGAGTCAAGTCACCAATTAGACCAAAAGTGGATGCTCTTTTTGAGAGGAAGTCAACAGTCCGACTGTGTGACACAGTGGTTAGTGAGCTTGGCTGATAAACTGGAGGCCTTGGGTTCTACTCTGGCTAGGGACAAGGCTTGAAAAAGTTCCGATTCTGGCCGGCTATAGTTCACAAGACTTCAGGAAATCATAGGATTGATCACTGCGACAGGCAGATTCAGGAGAAATTCCAAGCATTTCGTTTGCAATTTTTGCTATGCAGTCTGGTGTTTTCTGTGGTTTCCATCAGACATTCCAGGCGAATGCCGGCATTGTTCCCATTTATAGGCCGCAGCCGCTCACCTTCCTCATCCTTGAAATGCCTAACAACCAAACCCGATTTAGCAGGCCTGTCTGCTACCGCTGATGCCTTTCCCAAGATTAAAAAAAAGGTCAGCCGCGCCACGCGCTATCACTCAATAAAGATCACCTCTCCCAATCAATGTCTTTTTAGCTCATTTTTTTTAATTGGTCAGTAAGCAGCGCACATGCTCACTTAATAGGTTGGTGGTTGGTTCTTAAATTTTGTTAGCTTTATGATTTAAAATATCCTTTTTTTAAGTTTTTTTCAATATAGGTGATTTTTTTTTGTATTTTCTAACTCATGAAACAGTTCACTGCAGACCGTAACCAAAACTGGTAGCGCTGTTTGTTTTTGAATAAAAATTTTTTGTTTTCATCAAGAACAATGCCTGTTATCTTCACTGCCAATATTTCTCTTTCAGAATTTCCAGGATAATGCTTATTTAATGGGAAGCTGTTGTTGCCGGTCTCTTCAAGAGGGAGACCGCATAGGCCCTCCAGAATCTGACAAGAAATTGGATTCCTTGGTCCAATTTCCCTAGTGCACTGCAGGTTTAACTCCAGTCCCAGTGGTGGATCCGATGGCCGCAGGTCAACGAAAACGACCCACTGCTCCCCACTTATTCAATTTTTGCCTATATTGATTACAATATCCTCCAATAATTACAATTTTGTATACTTCAGACTAGCCAAACTGCTTATCAGAAGCTCAGGTGAATCCACTAATTTGCAATATTTGTAATAATGGGTTTGATGGGCTGAACATGGATTTGGTGCAATTACCAAAATGCAGTTTGGGTGTTTGTTGCTACCAATATTTTATACTATTAAATATTGTTTTTAAAATTTTTAAAAAATAACATGCAATATTAAATATTTAAATAATTTTTTAAGACAATAAATGATTGATTGATTAAATCGTTTACCTGAACAGGATGGACTAGGCCTTGCTGCAAAATTAGCTGTATGACTCTGAGGGCGGCTTTTCTGACTGTGACATTTGGGTGCAGAAACGCGTCAAGTACATCCTTCAGATAAATCTGAATCACGGTGCTGGCCATTCCAGAGCTTACGTCACCCATTTCCTTCAGGTTTTCTTTTTTTGACATTTTGGCCCCTGCGAATACAATAATAGGACTTTTAAAATGTTTAATAAATTGAATTTAATTTTTTTTAGATATAAAATTTTAATTTTTGATATACTCTCCATTCAATACATTGAAATACAAAACTTCTTACATCAAGTCAATGTAAAAAAAATTAATTTTAACTTGAAATTTTTTTATGTCGCGCATTTTTAGCAGACATCTGCTAACTGTGATACCATTTCACCATTTTTTCTATTAATTTTTGTTTTTGGTTGAGAGTAATTAATAATTTGAATGTTTAACTGGGAGTTGAGAGTTGAGGCTGACATCAGCCATTGTACACGTGTGTCAAGAAAAAGGGGTGGTGTTGCACTCTTTACACTGTGAAGAATAAACAATAATAATAATAATAAGAATCTGGATGGGACGGTATTTCAACTAGTGTCATAAAAAATTTCAATTTACATTACCGCCCCGCTCACTCATCTTATAAATGAATCATTTTTGCAAGGGAAATTTCCTGACAGTATGAAATTAGCCAAAATTATTCCTCTGTTTAACCGCTCTATATAGTTATCTAACATCTTTGTACGAATCAGTAGAAGCAAAAGAAAAAGTGAATGTTGTCTTGTATGATTTCTCTAATGCATTTGGCACTCTTCATCCACCTCTCCTTGTACATAAGTTAAAACAATACGGTCTAAACGAGAACTTGCTCTCGTGGTTGGCCTGCTTCTTATCAAATAGGAAACAATTTGTACAGCTTAAGAACCTTGGTTGTGATAGGTATGAGGAGTTTATTAACTCGTATATATTAGAGAGTAGGGGTGTGCCGCAAGGCACAGTTCTCGGCCCAATTGGGTTTTCCATGTATTTAAATGATATTCCCCTCGCTGTATTCTTGGCCCGACTTGTTCGCCGACGACTAAACGGCTATAGTCAAGGGAGAGTCTTTCCCTGAGGTAAATACTAAAACGGTGGCTGTAAATGAAAGTTTTGTTGGTTTTGCTAATGATAATTTTTTGAGGATAAATTCAGAAAAATAAAAAATACTACAAAATAAATACATACCAGCCAAACAAAAAATCTTAATTTTTTTATCGTTTAAATAATGCAATGTACACTGACTTATTTTAAAAAGCTGATATTACTATGTATGTTATGTGGTATATAATGCTTAACAAAATAAAGAAATCTTGAATCTACGCCTCTGTACCAAACAGACTGTTGCTGACTGCGCAGTCACCTCACATTATGATCCCTAGAATTTTCAATCATCTTCCCGATCGAATCAAAAACATTGATAGTTATCAAGTGTTTAAGAAGGAATTGGAATTAATATTCGACGACAAAATGTTCTATGACGTGCATGAATATTTTTTGTGTAAAATTGTGTGAACTGTATTTTATATCTATTTTAAATTTAGTAAGCTGTATTATAGTTATATTGAGATAAAGTTGTATTACAGTGACCTATTCCAAAGATTATTTCTGATTATTTATTCTAAAGTATTTCCAGCATTGTACATAAATTTCCGACTCCTGATTTTCGGCATTTTTTTGTATGCTTGTACTTTTTGATGTCAATGCATGATTCCGCTTTTTTTTTTGGTACAGGGTACTTTTTTTGCGTTGTTTGTACTATGAATGGAGAATAAATAAATAAACAAATAAATAAATACATTATTATGCTGATCTATACGGAATAAATATTATCTGAATCTGAACTTGGATTGACAGACATCTGATCCGCTGTTCTGCTTTGAGAACAGCGATTTGTCACTACAATTTAACACTGGAAGTAATTTCAAAAATAAAAAAAATATCGCATTTAGAAAATCAAGGTTTTTGTTCTACGCAGTACACACTAAGAGCTACATTTTCCTATACCGTGAAAAACATCCAAGGGGCGCATCTTTGCGCAAAAGATCGCAACATATTGAGATCGCGGTCTCGACCACGATCACAAATTTTTTCGATTTTAACTTTCAAGATCGCAACTATATTTTAGATCGCGTCCATCCTTGTCTCCAATCAAGTCGGAAAAATCGTGAAAATTTGGTTGGGAGAAAACTAGGCACACAGTGCTAGTGAAACAGTATAGTTTATAATATTTCTTACATTCTTGGTCCTGTTTGATCATGCGCATCTCCTCCTCCTGCAGATAGGTCTCTATGTTGCCAAGAACCTGGATCCGCATGGCGATGTGTGCATCTTTATCAGTCAGCAGCAGGTGATACATTCTTTTCAGCTCAGACATAAGCATGTAGTCATAGTGCCTAATGCACATGGAGCCGATGGCCTGAAGAGTGAAGTACTGCACGTCAAAGTTGCCGTTCTGCAGGAAGTAAAAGAACGACTGGAATACTTGATCCTTGATGTCCGTCTAGAAAGTTAAAAAATCACGTTTCAGGTAAAATTTTTAAAAATTTCACCAGATTTTTTTAACTTAAATTATTATTGTTTATTCATAGATGGGTGCGCTCAACAATTTTGCGCTCGCGCTCACTGGCATCAGTGCGCTCACGCTCTGCGCTCGCGCTCAAATTTTTAAAATGTCTTGCGCTCACGCTTTGCGCTCAATAATATTTTTATCCGGGGAAAAAGTGCGACTTTTTAGAACATTTTTAATATAAAAAAAACCATCGGCAATTAAAATGATAAAGTTGAAGTAAAATTACCAAAATTGGGATCAGTTTTGAAGATTTTTGGTATAAAAACACAGTTTTTCATTACAAATTTTGATCAAATTTGGGAAATTTTACTTATTGTTTGAGCGCAAAATGAGCGCAAATGAACGCTGCGCTCAGCGACCAATGCGCTCGCGCTCTCGCTCACGATTTTGAAAATCGTGCGATCGCGCTCAGAGTGCAGAGCGCGCTCTGCCCAACTATGTGTTTATTGTACTCAAGTCGTACATGAAAAATAATTGAATTGGAAAAAAATGAGCAGAAACAACTAGCAGAGGTCTGCTAAAACGCCCGAAATAAAGAAGAGATCGGCCACCGCCAAACAAACAAATGAAAATTATAAGAAATCATTTTCACTTGGCACTTTTTTTTTTAAACGGCAAAACTTTTGGCAAGGGTCAACCGATTTGAATGAAATTTGGCAGGTTGGTTACTCTTAGGGTTTAAACAAATAGTTAAGAAGGATTTTTCAAAATTCTCACAATTGCCTATTTTACAGGGGCGTTTAAAAAAATCGAAAATATCTCAGCTCCTGTTGCAAATAGCGCAAAATTGTAGATTATTAGACGCCCTACAACTTTGCTATATAGTGACCAAGGTCATAGGTCAAACCTGAAGGTCATTTATTTTTTGATCATTTTTTTTCAGTTGCTACCAAAGTACCAAGGCAATAAAATTTTTGATTCCAAAATAGCCAAAAGTTGCTCCAGTTAGTAATAAACAACATATCAACATTTGGTGCTACTTATTTTTTTTCTCAAAATTTGAGATATTCCGGATCATAGGGCGATAAACGTGGTTTTCCGAGCATTTTGTTTGGTAAATTCATTTCAATTCAATTCATTTATTCTCTCGCAACAAGTCAACAAAAATAGAAAAATCACATTGGGAGAGAATTGGCAGCCAGCTCTAGTAAACCACTTACTAAAACTCATAGGCTCAATTTGGAAGCAAAAGTGTTGGTAATGTTATAGTACGCGCGACGTGGTTCCCAAAATCCCTGATTTCAGTTGGCATCACTTGCATTACGTCGCGCGTTCGATAGTGGTTTTACGTCGCGCATACAATACTGGTTTTACGTCGCGCGCTCAATACTGGTGGCGGTAAAATTGTTAAGAAAACCGATTATTCCATCGATACCTCGGCAACATGTATAGCACGCGCGACGCAAATCTTTTCCTACAATCTTAATGTAGGGGACTGATAGGAAGAATAGGGGCCCTTGGGATGGGTTCAGAATGGGGCAGGACGACCTCCGGAGGGCCGTGCACACCCATATAGCAGGCGCGACGGGCCGTAAATCCAATGAAGGGCAAATAAGCGAACCCGGGAGGGCGCTTTTCACCATTGTAAGAGGCGCGACGCATGCTTATAGGAGGCGGGACGCACGGCAAATTAATTAAAAGGTGTTGCACGTGGCCAAAGTTGTGGGCGCCCCACGAACTGGCAACTCGGAGGTGGGCAACCCCCCAAGATTAATTTTTGCAGAAGCCGCGAGCGAGGGGTGGAGGCGCAGCGAGGTCGAGGACGTGGGGAAGGCCGTGCGGAGGGCGAGGACAAAAGGGCGGCTGTGTTCATGAGGGGGCTCCGCAAGAGCCCCCTCAGGAACCCCGCCCGGAGCCGGCCTTCACCACGTTCTCGGGCGAGCGCGCCTCCAGCCCGAAGCTCGCAAGCCCAAAACGGAGTTGCCCACAAAAGGAGTTGTCTGCAAAAAGGGGTTTTAAAAGCAAAGAACTCCTTTTGCAGACATCCCCTCTGTGGGTAGCTCTGTTGTGGGTTTGCAAGCTTCGGGCTGGAGGCGAACACTTGTGCTCCCATGTAAAAGTATTAACATTACCAAAGCGTTTTAGGATCGAATGCATTCAGAGTCAGCTTGTGGCTTTCAATAAAAACACACATCACTCACACACGCGAACACAACTGCGATGTGTATTAGGGATATGATCTTGTCTGTCTAGAAAACTCACCGGCAAGCCTTCGTTGACCTCAGGAATGGTGAAGTCAAAATGCCTCATGAGTAGGCCGACTGTGAACAGAGCCCTCTTGAAGTAAGCCTTATGCTGAGCCAGTCGAGGATCATTCCTATCCTTTAAGTGAAGTTGCTTGTATGACGAAATTGTGCCATAGTAGTTTTTGAAGCAGTCTCTAATCAGCTTGAAATTTTTAGTGACACTGTTGACCACAGAACCAAGACAAGACAAACAGCTCGCAACCACAGACTTTTCATGCTGTAGGATCAGTTTGACAGAGTCCTCTTCCAGCTGGGCCATAAACGACTCACTTGGGTGTTCAATCAGGGGCACCACTAATTCAAGTGTCCTTGCTACACAACTGATTATCTGGAAATCACTCGGACTCTGCAAAACAAAATAAATATTAATTAATTTTCTCTAACAAATTCTTTCCATTTTTCAAAATTAAATTATAAAAGTTAACAGGAAAACTGACACAATAAAATGGTCATAAAATTTTACAGATATGACAAATAACTTCGAGCTCTTTTGGGATAAATATAATTGATTTTACATCCCCTCCATGGAATTGTCCATAAATAAACTTTGTGTCACTCAGTGCAAAAGTTATTACCAACAGAAGAATAAAACAATAAAGCAATAATAATAATATAAACTATCACAAACAGCCAACTACAATCCACCCACTCCTTTCTCCATCATACCTGAAAGTGTGTGCAAACCCCTAAACCTCTCATTCATTCTCAGAGATGCAGAAGGCACTCACATCTACATTCCCAAGAATTTTTTCGAAAAAAATTTACCATCCCATTTTTGTGCAAGACGAACGAGTAAGTACCCACAGCACCTATCCAAATTTTCTTTTCCACACCGATATATTCCCAACTGAATCAGAGTAATTGAATGTCATGTGTCATTTTTTAGTTAGAATTTAAAAATTTTTGAGAAGGCAAAATAAACATAAATATTAAAATTATAAAGGACAAATTTTGAGATCAACAGATCAGGACGCACTTTGCACTTGAGGCTCAAGTAAGGCTGCAGAGTTGTGGCATGGTCTATTAGCAGTTGAGGCCGAATTTTGGCCAGCAGGTACAGAGTGGTGAGACACGCTACCAGTCTTTGAGACAAGGCCTCTTTTGGTGTCATCGTTTCTGACATGGACTCAAAGGTCGTCTCCTCTAGCCGCAAAACGTTCTCAATCAGGCACTGCACTATTTGCCGGCAAGCTGTCAGCAATGGCGCTGGTGGCTGCATCTGCACCTTGGCCGAATCTTCCTTGTCCTCTTTTGGCTTAAATAACTGAAAATAGATATTCAAGAAATTAAAAAACAATATATTAAGGGATATATTATATAGCGGCAACGCTTTTTTTGGTCTCGTTATAGGTTTTGCAAAGTTCTGTTTCACATCTAGCTTTTTTAAATTTTAATTGAAATGAATTTATTTTATTTTTAATTGTTTATCCCTCTTGGGAAAGGCACCAGTGGTAACAGACAGGCTGCTAAATCGCAAGGGCCGATAACTCGGATTCTCCCCTTTCGGGGCTGATAACACGGTGACCTTGCGACCCACTGGGCCGGGGAGAGAGGAGCATAGGATGGGTTTGGTTGTTGGGAATTTCAAAGATGAGGAAGGTGAGCGGCTGCGGCCTATGAATGGAAACTTTGCCGGCATTCACCTAGAATGTCTGATGGAAACCGCAGAAAACACCAGACTGCATAGCCGAAATTGCAGACGAAATGCCTGCAATTCCTCCCGAATCTGCCTGTCGCAGTGATCAATGCACCTCCTATGATTTTCTGAAATCTTGTGAACTAGCCGGCCAGAACCAGAACTTTTTCAAGCCCTGACCCTAGCCGGGATAGAACCCAAGGCCTTCAGCCAAGCGCACTAACCACTGTGCCACACAGTCGTGGCCGACGGAGGTGGGGAGATTGTCAATTCGCTTTGGTTTCTCCGGAAGTTTGTTAAAGATTTTTTAAATCATAATTTCTGGACTGTGTTGTTAGATTTAGCTGTACAGGTTTTATAAATATATAAAAAGAAACAGGGTTATTTTTCGTGTTATGGTTTCCATGTGTGTTTGTTTCAGAATTTTTAACAAAAAGTGAGGGATTTTTTTCATAAACTTGACACATTCTGACGCAAAGAGTGAAAACACTAGCAAAATTGTAAACCTTGCAAGCATCATTGGGCCGATAACACAGTTAAAGGACAAGAACGAAATTCATTTTATTTTTTAATAAAATTGTTCATAAATTTACGGTTCAGGCAATGTATCGCACAATTTTTCTTGACGCCCCTTCGTGGGATAAATGTGCGCCGCCAATTCCCTCCAAATAAAGCAGACAGTTCGATAGCCTAAATATTAAGGGATACAAGCAAGTAACTAATTTTGCGCGAGTAAAGCTGTTAAAGGTCAGAGTGCAATTCGAGGCGATTTGTTAATGCCCATAAATTTTATAGCAAAGTTTTTTCAACTTATTGACGAATTGTAATTTTGTCGTGTTTTTTTCTCATTTTTACTATCTTGAAAATGGGGCGCGTCACAATGAGTAATTACATAGTGGTGATGCCTCATAAGTCAATAAATAATAATAATAATAATAACAATAATAAAAGTATACTTTTAACAATTTGAGGTAAAATAAACTCACACTTTGAAGCAACTGCTCAAACCAGTCTAACCCAGTGTCTTTGCACAGGTAAACGACTTCTGTGATATTAAGTACTTTCCTAAGCAAAGCAGCATTATCCAAATGTGGCTTTTCTTTGACTGGGGTAAACCACATGTTCTGGAAAACCTCCATGACCAGTTTTCGAATTCCTGAAATCAATCGTTTCTAGCAGTGAAATAATAATTAACTAACGGCAAACCTTCTTCGTCGTTGACTCTCCTTATCATTTTTATACAAATTTCAGGTATTTTGGGGAACTCTGGGCATTCAATGCATATGTCTTTCATGATTTTTATCACCCTCTTTCTCACACTCACACCAGTATCCTTTGATTGAGACTTGAGTGAACAAAATATAATTTCAAAGTAACTCTTTACCAATATTCGCTGTGACAACATTTCATAGTATTTGTCTATAAGTTTGGGGCAACTAAGAACAAACTTGCCAACCAAATCCACTGCTGCTTCTCTTACAGATGTTGAATGGTCTAAAAAAGAGTGTTGCACACCCAGCTGCATATTAGTTCGGCCCAGTATGGCTGGGTCTGCTTCGACTATCATAGTGAGGCACTTCATTGCTTTCGTACGGATTGCAATTGAATTTTCATTAAGGACCTTGAGAATCTGCAAATTTTTATAAAATATATATATATCTAAATTATGTTACGGTTGAATATATTTACCTGCATAAGATAAACATCAAAACTAAAAGAAAATGGCCGCTTCGAGGCTAGGTATCTACAAATGAGCTCTGCGCTCTCATAATCGATATAAGTTTGCAAAATCTGCGTCTTGCCACTTCCATGGTCTTCAAAGGGTTTCACTTTGGACATGAGAAAGCCTTTTCTTTCTTCTACCAAGTAAGTCACCTCAGCGTTTTCTTGCTCCTCTTTCTGATCAGAATCTTCATCAAGATCATCATCTTCAGACTCTGCTAATTATTCAAAAGATTTTTTTTTAATTTAATTTATTCTCTATATTTCATTACCTTTATGTTTCTTTGACTTCTTTTTCTTGACTTTTCTATTATTCTTTAGAGCTATATCAAAGTGTCTACTAATCTCGTCCCCTGCGCCTTTGAACCATAGAACTATGTAGAAATGCCTAGCGTAGTTGTAACTTTGATCGCCTTGTCCACTAACTGCTAAGAAGTCTAAAAGGACCTTCTGTAGATACTGACACCGCTCCTCTTCTTCTTGCATTGATGATATGTTATCACACTTCTAGAAAAAATTGCTTCTTGAATAAATATTTAACCATTGCAAAGGCGGGGTCCTTCTGGTATCTCAAAGCAATCCAATTCGTACATAACTTTTATTTTGATTGAAGCTATCTTATATTTATTTATTGCGTTATATTGAGTGAAATATTGCCCTGATTGTGAGAAGTAATTAAATGACATATTTCAAAAACTGTCAGTGTGTTTATAATTTAACAAAATAAAAAATCTATTCTTATTCTTATCTAGTAAAAAGGTTTTTTTCATAACCAGCTTTCGGACGAATTCCGATATTTTTCGGCCGGTTTGCGTTCAGATGAATTCCGATTTTTTATGGATCATTTCCAAATTTTCAGTTGAAGTTTGAAAAAGCATTTTTGGACGAAAACCTTTCCAATGACTTTTTTGTGACCTATTACAAATATTTTTTTTCCAGTATCTAAATGCATATTTATCCGGAACAAATACTGTCAGAATCTAAATCTAAGAGAGGAAGAGAAAATGATCAAGACTGCGCCTGGTCAATTTCTCCAACCTTGGGTTTTGTGTATAAGGGACGATTTGAGACACCATTGCAGTGCAAAAAATCTTCATTGTGGGTGGGTCGCAGGGGAGGTTTTATATGTGATTATATTCCATAATGCAATAAACTATTATTTATTATTATTATATAAAAAAACTGATTGTGGCACTTGGCTGATAATTTGCAGGCTATGGGGTCAGGGTATGAAAAAGCTATGTTTCTGGCTGGTTAACTAACAAGACTTCAGAAATAAGAAATACATTGATTACTGCAACAGGTTGATACGGGAGAAATTGCAGTCTTGTTTTCTGCGGTTTCTACCAGACATTACAGGCGAGTACCAGCTTAGTTCCCATTCTCAGGCGGCAGTCAAAACCATTCCCCATCATTTAAATTCCCTTCCCAGTAACCAAACCCATGTTCTTTCACCCGGGCCCTGTGGGTCGAAGGCCAGCCATAATATTGGCCCACGAGATTTGCCATTCCCAAGAGGTATGGACAAAAAAAAAATAGGCTTGTCATAGCGCTTCTGTTTTTTTGCTCCTCCATGTACCCCGCCTTCGCACTAACGCCATTTCACATAGCCTACAATGAACTTACCTTGCTCTTCAAGTCATGTTTGGAGCCAGAGTCATCAGAATCCTTTCTCTCCTCCTCTTTAATCTCGTTTATCAGTTTGTTGATAGTGTCTACCTTCAGGTTAGACGAGACAGCATCCTTCCTCAGCCTAGCAGCAACAACGCCCAGATAGTCAAGTGAGGCAACCCTAAGGGCGATTTCTATTCCTTTGTTCATAAAATTCTTAACTAATATGTTGCCAAGGAGACTGAGCAGTAGCTCAGCAGCAGGCCACTCAGGTTTGTTGACAGTGGTCAGTAGATCTTGAACAAAATTCTCAAACAGGGGCCGGTAGTCAATTTCTTCATTCTTGTTGCCACATTTGTTCAAAAATACAGTCAAGAAGGTGCCTGCCAACTGAATAGCCAGGTCGTGCCTAGTTCGCACAAAAACATCTCGATCAACCTAAATTAATTAGGAATTAATAATATTAAATGAATTATTACTGATGGATATGTTGTTGGCACAAAGAAACTTGTGAACAAGACGCAACTTCACAAAAAACCCATATTCAATTAAATATATTACTCTTTAAAAATATAGACCAACCCAATAGCTTAATAAGCTAAAGGGTACCATAAAAAAAACAAAAGATTATTCATGCGGACACAAATCCCAAGAACTGTCCTACATTTAAATTGGAGAACTAAGTTTGAGAGTTTTGTTGAATAGGAATGACTAACAATAAGAGATAATTTGAAAATTTCAGGAAAGGCCACATACATAATTGACTATTTTTACACATTTTTGCAAAAAATTAAATTGCCTTTTTTGCAGGGGCAACCAAATATATTTTAGACGCTTCAATTTCTTGACCAAAATTTTAATTTCTTGCGCTTATGTTTTAGTTTTTTCCTTTGTTCTAAGCAAGGGGTTTTTTTTATCCAAATTTTAATTTTAGACCTGACATGTACTAAAGACTACTGTTAATATTCTAGTCTTACAGAACAACAATAAAATTGAATTGAATTGGTCATGCTATTATTCTTGTCTTGGGTTTTTTCACGAGTTTTCTCTCAAAATGTTTTTTTGTGAGCATTAAACATTACAAATATTTTGTTCTTACCGCTGTGATGCTTTCATTCAATAAACCATCAGTTTCATTGTTCTGAGCAATAAGAGAAGTTACATCACCAGACGGCTTGTGCAAGCGGTCAGGTAGTACAACCACACACTGTATCAACTGCAGGACCAGAGCAGTCAGCATCTGAATGCAGTCTTGATTTTTGAGGCGGTACGAACGGAGAGAGCGCTTGTTGCTTGGCAGTCTTGCAATTGATGCAAGAATGTCATCTAACAACAACCTCCGGTGTTTTTCGTAACGGGTAAAAATCTGTACAACAATTTAAATCTATTAAAAAATCTGAAAATTTTGTGCTTGCAAAATATCAACTTACGGTTGTGACTAATTTTAAAGACGACAGCTGCAGTTCAGAGACACTTTCGACAAAGAATGGAGATACACTGAGAGAGGACACATTTAAAACAGCAGTGTCTGTGAGAACTTGGATTGACAACAGCTCAGACAGCAAACCAACGACTTCATTAAGCTTATTGTACAAAAGCAAAATGCTTTTTTCGCGCACTTCTTTATTGTGTACTTTCTTCTTCTTGGGGCAAAATGCTGTTATGGAAAACCTATTTCACTTTTAATTCATTTCTAGTTTCAAACTTGCCTTTATTAGAGGTTATTCTGTAGACAGGATCAAACGATGGAAATATGGTATTAGACAGTTGATACTTAGTGAAGAGAACAACTCTGTCTATCACATCTTCTAAGTACACCCTCTTGGGCATGTTGGCTGAAGTCAGAATGTATAATACGGAGAGGGATGAGTCAACACCCCTTAGCACTCTTTCCATAGCTATGTCATGCCACAACTTAGTTTCCTCCTCATCATCATCCTGCACAAAGATTTTGATGAATAAGTAAAAAAGTTTATAGGATTTGATTACTGGATCCGCAAGGGGGGAAACTTTGGAACCATCTCTTATGTTCTTTTCCAAGATGTTAAGGAGCCTCACTAGTCTTTCACAAGGAATGGACTGAGTGGCCCCCACTACTTTCAATTTAGCAGCCTCACTGTATAAGTCTTGCAACTGGTACTTCGGAATAAGAGCCTCACTTGGAACATCAGCATCTTCATCTAAGGTATTTCAACATTTAATTTATTGTAATTACATTTTAAGTAACTTACCACAATCAGCATTCAAATCCAAATCCTCAGTGTTGTCGAAAATCAAGTCAACACATTGGCTAAAGCGCTGATAGGTGTTGCTCTCCATCAGCTCATCAGTGGAAAGTTTTTGAATCACAGGAACCAGCTTTCGTTCAATTCTACGGATTTTTTTCCTTGGGGATTCTTAAATTCATAGAAAAACTAATAAATAATTTTTTTTTACAGTTCAATAAATTTACCATCAACTGAGTTTAACTTCCTCCCTCTAGAGGGAGATTCAAAGTCGGGCAGATCATAATCATCATCATGCTGTCTACTTCGTTTTTCTTGCCTCTCTAAAAAAGAAAGCAAAGCATGAAAACATTAAAAAATTTATAAATATAAAAATATATAAATAAATATAAAACAAACATGGATGCAATAAAAAAAGCTGGCAAAAGTCAAAAGTGCGTTTGCGCTCAAAGCTATTCCGACTTCCACTTGAAGGTCTGCCATGTTTCCTCTGAACCATGAGCTAGAAAAACTCAGCTTGTGTCGTGAATTTCATTTTAATACCTTAGTGGCATTGACAGGAGTTTAAGGTCTCAAGGGAGGTGGGGGGGGGGGGGGGCATGCAAACACTACAACTGTTAGAAAGCCCTTGACCAGGAGTCAGGTCGGTTGGGAAGCACAAATGTGCCAAGAGTCGACTACGGCAAGAGACCAACCCAATAGCCTAAGAAGCTAATGGAGCCATAAGCAAAACAAAAAAATTGAAATTTAATATTTACTAGTAAATAAAAAGTATTCCAAAAGAAAGAGGCTCATTGCGGCAATCTTGGAAGCTTTAGCATAATTCTTGGAGTGGTGGTGCCGTTTGCCGTTTTGTCCAACAATTCCTTTCTTTCAAATAAATTGTTTTTAACAATTACATGTTAAAAATGTGATGTAGCAAATTGGACAGTGGACAAATACACAATGATAATAAAAAGGACGTACTTGCATTTTAAATAGAATTTATTTCAGTTTTAGATAAGATTTTGAGTTAATTTGACCTAATATTTTTATTTATTTAACATTAAATTATAGGTAACCCGAGTACAAGAATTAAAATAATTTTTTTCCCTTATGGCACCCATGAGCTTATTAGGCTATTGGCTTGGTCTCTTGCCAGAGTCGAGCAACCTTAGCACATAAACCCAACCCCTGGTTGGGGACTTTCTAGCAAAGATTTGGACTACAATGCCGATTACTGGACAAAAGACCTTTTGGCAAACACCTTTAGACAAAAGATCTCTTCTCTAGAGATGGCTTTTTGTCAATAATATAATTCAAATACTTATTAACTGTTCGTACCCCTCTTCCTCAGTGCCTCTTTTTCACGGCCCTTGCTCTTAAAGAATTTTGAGTTTGTTTTTGTCTCATCTTCAGACCCGGACGAGGAAGAAATTTCTTTGTACTTTGACCTTCCTGGTGTTGGCTTCTTAGAGTTATTGACACTGATGGTAATACCCAACTTATTAGCTAGGTCCGGCTTATTTTGTGCAAACTCCTTCAGGCTTTTCTGCATCAGAGCCTCATCCTGGATGATTATGAAATTTAATCAGCTGTGGACATATGTTGATGAAATAATTTGGGTTTCAACTCACCTCTGGTTTCAACCTGTTAAGCATAACTCTGGGCTCCTTGATTTTAAAAACAGACGGATTCCTTGCAGATCCTGGAGCTGAGAAGAATGAGAAAACTACAATTTTTAATTTATTTTTATAGTGACTTAGCATACCATTGGCTGATATAACATTTGGCACTTGCTTGACAGGACGTGGGGAATCAATACAATTCTGCAAGGAGCGATTTGGTGAGAAGCTGCTGTGGGGACCTATGTTGCTTCCATTAACTACTTGCTCTTCGTCATGCAGACCTTTGAGAAGGTTCTGCTGAGATGGGTGAGACGAAGAACCGTGTTGCAATAACAATGAAGGCAGGGCCTCATTAAGGAGACCAAAATTACTGCTTGAGAAAGAGCACTGCTCAAGTGGTGGTAGGGTACCAATATTGTTAACCATCTTGCTTGGTTGGTTGTGTGGCATCAAGTTAGCGAAAACCGAGTCCATGGCCCCAAAAGCCGCCTGCTGACCAAAGTTGTTGGTGTGGTGTGCTTTCATCTGCTGACTTGGCTGCATTTTCAGACAGGAGGCTTTATCTGAGCAAGAAAATGGTATTTATCAATTCTCCATTCATTTTCAGTTGAATGAAATAACTTCATTATATTGCAAAAATAAATAAATCAGAATAAGCTTAAAAACATCACACAGCAGTACTCGAAATAAACCTATAACGGAGCAAGACTTATTTGTCAAACCAAACAGACTGTTGCTGACTGCGCAGTCCCCTCACATTTTGATCCCTAGAATTTTCAATCATCTTCCCGATTGAATCAAAAACATTGATAGTTATCAAGTGTTTAAGAAGGAATTGGAATTAATATTCGGCGACAAAATTTTCTATGACGTGCATGAATATTTTTTGTGTAAAATTGTGTGAACTGTATTTGAAATGTATTTTAAATTTATTAAGCTGTATTGAGATATAGCTGTATTACAGTGACCTATTCCAAAGATTATTTCTGTACATATGTTGATCTATCAGGAATAAATATTATCTGAATCTGAAACTACTTAAATAAATTCAGCATAAAAAAAGAACCAGCAACATGCAAATTATGCAAAGCCGGTGTGCAAGACAGAGCAAACCCTTTTAACTGTGCTGTCCTTTCAAATCAAATTGACCCCCTGCAAAATCTGAGCAGGACAGAAATTGAATCCCAACTTTATTGGATTGCTCAAAAAATGAATAGCTGAAAAGCTCAAACATTAGGCATAAAAAAAGATTTTTAACAAATTATTAATTTTGAAAAGAAAAACGTGACTGAAAGCAGGTATTTGTTTAAAGAAGTTGACACTCGAGATGATCATGGAAAAGCCCAATCGCTTCATTTCCATGAAAGCAGACACTTAACATTTTTTGTATTTTTATTATTCACTCTTTTAGGTCAATTGTTATTATTATTTATTCTTCTCAGTCAATACAAAGATTGAAAAAAATGAGCCATTAACTTCAATCTCACCCTGATTCTAATGGAACCAATCACCTCAAAGTGTCATTAAATTTTGGCAGTCATCAGTTTTTTCCATGTTATTGGGGGTCATTTATTTTTTGAGCTGGAGGGCTGAAATTTAGTGTGTTTATGTCTCAATCATCCCTCTAGGTTGTTTGTTTATTCTACTCAAGTCATACATGAAAAAATTAATTTGGAAAAAAGAGCAGAAAGTGTATCACAACTAGCAGAGGTCTGCTTAAACGCCCGACATCAAAAAGAGATCGGCCACCGCGTGAACCCAAACTATCGAAAAAAAAAGAACAATCACGGTGTGATTGTAAATATTTTGCAATTCCTTTCATTACTTCACTTGTGAAATATAAACAATTATAATAATATGTAACTAAATTACTTGTTACCTTGGGCATTTTGGGCTTGTTGGCCTTTAAAAGTGTTCGGATTCCTCAGTAAAATGGCTTTCAACAACTCAGGGATGTTTTGCTGGTGTTCAATTGGGTGGTCTGTGCTTGCGAAATGGTCCTTCAGCTCACTATTGTTTAAAAATAATTATAGCGATTCTCTAAATAAAAATGACTTACATGTGTTCAGCAGACGTTTCAACCAGACTGTGAATGAGCTGAGGTACCAAGTTTTCATCATGGACACTGAGCAAAATCTGGGCCTCCTCTGCAACGCGGGGATGAAACAGCAACGATTTATTGCTCATAGTTTGCGGCAGCGGAGTTGGCAGAGGCATTTCAGGTAACACTAATTGGTAAATAAAATAAAAAATTAACATCATGTTAAAAAAAGGTGAAAATTACATACAATCTGTCAAACTTGAAATGCCGGCCAGGGTTGTGATTGGAACACTTGGTATCTCTCCGTTCATCATAAAAGGTTTACTCTGTAAATCATTAAACGTCTTAAATGTTACATGTTACAATTGTCACATTGTTTACAATCAATATTTTATTTGCTGCATCCAAAAATGAGCCTACAACAATGGTTTCTGGTTTCTTTAATCTCTAATCCTCTGAATTCTGAATCCTCACTTCCAATATCCATAGCTAAATTCAAAAGTTGAGTGCTTATGTAGCGTATCTACAATATCATGTTGTACACGCACCTTATTATTATTATTACATATTCAAAAAAACTGACAATTTAAACTGATACACTTTAGAAAAATTTCAATTCATATTAGAAAAGGTTTTTTTTTTTAATATAAGCAGATATTGAGTTAAAATGTTGTGCAATGAACATGTAAATAATCTTAACCAAGGCTTAACTGTTTCTGAGAAGATAATCGTTCTTTTCAGAGTCCTGACCCCTCATCCAGCAGATACTAAAATTTTGCAGAAATTTTTGGGGCCCATCCACCTCTATTTTTCTACAGGCGGGGAAATATCGGAACCGGGGTGGTTGATCGTCGACGGCAATTATCCACCGTCCTCCGCGGAGCGCACAGGTGAGCAGAAAAGCAAATGAGGTGAGGAAAGATCAAGACTTACAGCAAGTGTTTATGCGGCGATGGTACGTAGAGGGCTAGCCGGGACCGAGTCTTGGAATGCAAAAGACCTAGCGCGAACTCTGGGCACCATTTTAACTCAAAAGTCTGTTCGTCGCGGACCGCCCTGAAGCCGAAACCTGCAGACGTGATCCAACATCCAACAAGATGAAGTTGTGAAGTTTCGCTATCGCTGTTACTGTTTTGTTTTCGTGAACTCAGACCGCATAGCAACCCATGCGCGATACTCACTGCTGTCGTGCGCGACAATAAGTAGTTCCAAAACCGATATTTAAAAAAAACTTAAAAAATAAAATTGGCTAAACGTTTTAACGTTTTGATATACGATTTCTATAATCGTGTTAGTCTTAAATAAATATTTGAATTTTAACACGATTTTGGATGGCATTTTCAGATGGATACATTTATTTGCACCAAATTTTGGTGTTTTGAATTCCCAAAAGGATATTCGCACCAAATTTTTCACGCCTTGGTTACTATATATTTATTGTAAGCACTCCACCGACGATTGCAGACAACACCTTTTGTAGGCAACTCCGTCGTGAGTTTGCGAGCTTCGGTCCTCGACCTCGCTGCGCCTCCACCCTCGCTCGCGGCTTTTGCAAAAATTAATCGGTAATCTTGGGGGTTGCCGGTTGCCCAACTCCGAGTTGCTGGAGCGTGGGGGTGCCTACAACTCTCCGTCTGCGTGCAATCCGATAAAATTTTTTTTTCATTGGTTAAATAGGCTGATTTTTTATTGTTACATGTATGCAAATCTCCAAAATATAATTAAAAATGAATAAAAAAAATCCATTATAATGATTAAACTTCTTTCACAACAAATCATTACAGAATTTGAATTTGAGGAAAGGATAGACTGATTATGTCTAGTCACTCTCCTCGTATCTACACTATCTCACTATATTTCCGAAATAGATTTTGGTTTTGCACTAAGAATTTTATACATTCGAGTATATACAACGATGGCACGGTCATGATATTATATTTGACAAATAATGGCCGGTTTACAAGTATCTAACGCTTCATTAGATCTCCAGTATGGAATGCCCGCCATTGCCCTCAACGATCTTTTCTGTGCTCTCTTGTATTAAATGACTGGAGCCCCCCTCCCCCAATGCATTTATGACTTTGGACATGAGCAAAGTAGATCAATTTAAGAATATTATCTGACACCTTGTATTTTCAGTCTATAGTGAACACATGAGAGACTCCTCTCATTTTGCTATAAAAACCTTATCACAGTGATCGTTCCAGTTAAGTGTATCATTTATTTGCACTCCCAGAAGTTTACCAGATTTACAGATTTCAATATTTTTATCTTCAATCTTAACATCAGGTTTAACTAGATTTTTCGTTTGGCTAGAGTGTGTATTTGTAATATTTTTGATTTTTCTGAATTAATCCTCAAAAAATTTTCATTAGCAAAGCTGACAAAACTTTCATTGACCACAATCGTTTTTAGGGGGAAAGCTATAAATAATCAACAATTTACTCATGAAGATATATGTTACTTATTTCGTCCAGCTCAGTCGCATCGTAAACCGTTTTTGCCAGCTCTCTTTTGTCAGCAAGTCAAGATTTTCCAGTTTTCTTCATCCGCTATACTGATTCACTTTGTTATCCATACAAATTTTTTTTTGGTATTTTTGGTATAAAAAGAGGGGCCGGGTGGGCGTGTCAAAGAAGCGTGAAAATAATTTGGTGCAAATAATGTGTTGGGAATTCAAAACACCAAAATTTGGTGTAAATAAATTTATACTTTTCAGATTTGTTTTAGTAAATGCATTTTTCTGTAGAGGAGCTATATAAGTAATTGTAAGTATTATCGGGTAGGGCTGCGAAGTAGTGAGTCCATCGGGAGTAAATTTTTCTCCCGAGGAGTCCCATTCCCGGAAAAATTCTCGTTTTCCCACCCACTCCCGGCGAGTTCTGTGTCCAATATCTCCCGGGAATTCCCGTTCCCGAAAAAAATTTCCCGGGAGTCCCGGTTATTACTATTTTTAATTTTTATAATGAAAATTTCAAATATAAGTAAGAACAAGTTTTTTTTACCTTTTTTATAGCGAAAATTCGAATTTTTTGGAGTATAAAACAGGGTTTTTTCTAGCGAAAAATTGAAAAAAAGAAAATTGTAAAAAACAGTTAATTTTGCTGAAGGTTTTTCATAATTTTGCTCCCGGAAATTCCCGCTCCCGAGAAAATTTTCCCGGTTCACTCCTGCCTTGACAAAATGGGTACTAAATCGCTCCCGGGAGGCAATTTTCTCGGGAATTCCCGGGACTCCTGCAAATTCCCGTTCCCGTTGGACACACTACTGCGAAGTGCGAAGAAAAGGCGGAGCCTCCCTATCCCTAGTGCAATGTAATCGAATGGGAGCCCCGCCCTTATACACATCCCATAGTTCTCTACAACAAATACAAAGCCTAGAGCTATATATATGGACAGACAAATGCACAGAAAGACGACAAGACAACAAGAGTTTAAAGATTTTATTAAGATAGATAGACAGATAGATTGATAGAGTATTTATTGAACATGCGCCGGCAGGTGAAGTGACTTCTATTGTGTGCTCCTGTTTGAGCGACTCTTGGGACGTCTTGGTGTCGATTGGACTGCCGTTTGGAGCTTCGACAGGTGGCTGGGTGTCCCAAGTGCTGGTGTGAGTGAGGGCAGACACTTGGAGCGGAAATTGTCTGAGAAATTGGACGCCGAAATGTCGCCGACGGACAACCCATGCTGCTGCGGGCAGCCGGCTGGCCATCCTACGACGGCCCCCATCTGCATTAGAACGGCTCTCCAAGTGCTCCAGGAAAGTGTTTCACACATCCAGACTGCTGTCGACGACCTGAAGGTGCGCGTCCTGGCCCCGAAAGTCCCGCAAATGTCGTCCTCTTCTTCAACCAATGAAGTGACAGACCTAGTCGAATGGACCAATGAGCAGCCTGCTCAGCCAAAACAACAACAATTTGAATATAATGGCCCGCGAATGGTTGAACTGGACGAAAATCTTTTTCAAGACGCGCCTCAAGATGCCTCTCTTTGCCACTGTGTCGGCGGCGACTTCGTGATGGGCAAAGGACTTGCGGTTGAGATGCGGCAGCGTTATTGCCCGGACCCAGTACTGCGATATCTGCGCAGCCGAAAGTGGAGGCCAGGACAAGTCGCAGCGATTCCGCTCTCCATCGATGGCAGGGTGACAAGGTATATATTTCACCTGGTCACCAAGCCTTTCTCCAGGTACTGCCTCCCTCGACGTGAGGAGCTCCGTAGGACGATCCGTGAGTTGGCCCACCAATGCCATATTAAAAAGATACCGGTCCTTGCTATGCCCCAGATCGGTGCCGGCCTCGACAGACAACCGTGGCAGTGGGTGAGGCAGGTCATTCTGCAGGAGTTCAGGGGCCTAAACATCGACATCCTTGTCTACCGCCACCCAGGAGAGGGGAGAGGCGCCTTTGCTCGTCAAGCACAGAGGAAACCTGAATATGTAACGCAGCCTGACTTTTCCAGTGCATCGTCCTTTGCAGCTCTGGCTCCTGAAGAGGAAAAGGGGAACCCTGATAACTCTAGTCCACCTGATATTTTGGACCAAGTGGACGAGCTGAAACCCGAAAACGTTCAAAACCCTCAAAGGCGCTCCCCGCACCGATTGGCAACTGACCTGGAGAAGATGATGGTTCGGCGAGGCCTTCCGCTGCCAGTGCTCGATGGAGAGACCAACCAGCAGCCTCAACTTGGGCCGGGCGCGGCTTTAAATGGCGCCAAAGTGCTGTCTACTCACCAGGGTGGGGTCATCGGACGCGTGGACAAGGTGACTAGGGTGTCGGAGCAGTCCGCGTCCGCGTCTGGCCCCGCCCGCCAAGGTGAGTCAGTTTCTTTTTTAAAACCCAATGTTGCTGCGGATGAGAGCAGATCTCCTTTGCCACTGACTGACGACGCCCCTGTTTCTAGCCTGTCTAGACCTGAGCCAATGACGACGAGCAACGTAGTACAGCCTCAACCAGGGCCGGGCGCGGCTTTAAATGGCGCCACTGAGCTATTCACTCACCAGGGTGGGGTCATCGGACGTGTGGGTGAGGAGACCAGGTCACAGTCCGCTTCTGGCCCCGCCCGTCAAGGTGAGTCATCCCTGAATTTGGTGGCCGACGTCTCAGCTGAGATGGACGGGTCTTTTGTGTCGTCGAGTAATGAGGCCATTGTTTCCAGTGTAAATCCTGAACCAGATAGCGACGCAGAGCAGCCTCAACCTGGGCCGGGCGCGGCTATAAATGGCGCCACTGAGCTATCTACTCACCAGGGTGGGGTCATCGGACGCGTGGACAAGGAGACAAAGATATCAGAACCGTCCGCGTCTGGCCCCACCCGCCAAGGTGAGTCCGACCCAAAAACGTCTAGCGTGACCTCGGCTAAGGCTACTCTTGCTTCCAGCTTGCTAAAGACTAACATCTATGGGAAACTGAATTCGAGGGAAAAAATCAAAGACCTTCAGAAACCAAGACCGAGATCTGCATCGCCATCGTTGCCAGCATCACCTGCATCCAGTGCCTTCGTAACGAAGCGTCAACATCAACAGCGAAAAAACCTGGGGGGCAAATCCCAAGCGACAGCCAAGTAGATAGTAATAATTAATATTAATAATAAGAGCAGAAATAATAATTTAGCAATACTGAATTTAAATGCGCAGGGCCTACGTACGCCACATAAGTTAGCACTTTTTAGTGATTTTATTTATAATCTGGATAAGAAACCAGATCTCATTTTTGTGACTGAGCATTGGCTAAATGAACTAGAAGTAACTAATTTTCTAATTGATGGTTATCAACTCATTGCGTATTTTGGTAGAGCGAATCAAGAACGAGGAGGAGTGTTGATACTTAAAAATAATTCATTAGATTGCAAAGTTCAAAAATTAAAAATTAAATCTATCCCAAAGAAGTTTGAAATCTGTGGTGCCTCCATAATATTCAATAATAGGAAAATAAGCTTATTAGGTTTATATAGACCAAGTAATCTAAAATCTAATTGCCAAATCCCTAAATTTCTAGAGCAATTTGAAACACTAGTTGGTCAAAAGAGATTTCATGAAAATGTGATAATAGCTGGTGATTTTAATATAAACTTAAATAATGATAATTCTCATGCTGTGAATTTACAATCAATAACAAACTCATTTTCCCTTCGCCTGGTTAATAACACTCAAAATACTCGAGAGGAAAATAATTCTGGCTCCTTAATAGATCATATTTATACTAGTATTTCATGTGCTACTACCTGTGCTGTACTCCCAGCGCCATTCTCTGATCACAATGCAGTCCACGCAAGTATGGATATTCCGATTATAAAAGCAAAGGATTCTTTTTCATTTATTAGAGACTATAATGAATTAAATTGGCAAAAATTCTCTAACTTTTTACAAAATGAAAATTGGAGCGCAGTGTATAATGAGATTAGTGTCGATAAGCAAAGCGAAGTATTCATGAGTAAATTAATAAGTTATTTTGGTGAATCCTTCCCAATGAAAAAAACTGTGAATAGAGCCAATCAAATCGGGAAAATAAAACTATCTGCTGAAACAAAAAAACTGAGGCAAGAATTACTAGAATTGTCTCAAAAAAGTAAAATTACAAATAATCCCGAACAGAAATCTGTATTAAAAAATAAAATAAAAATGATGAAGAAACAGGTCGGAGAATGTATTAACAATGAAGTACGGCAATATAATGATAAAAAAATTAATGGATCTAATAATAAATCTAGCGCCGCATGGAAAATTATCAATGAATCTATAGGAATAAACAAGTGTCTAGCACCAATTAGGGAACTTAATACTGCTAATAAAAAAGAGTACATTCAATTAAATATAGCTAACTACCTCAATCAAATGTTTGTTGAAAATAAGCCAGCTGCTCCGCATGATAATATTTGTGATAGTGAACCGCTATTCCCTGAATTTCATCTCGAACCCATGTCTGATTATGAAATATACAGTATAATTCAAAACCTCCCTTCTAAAAATTCATCAGGGTGGGATGGCATCTCCGTAAATGTACTTAAAAAAATATCGCTGTATATTACTTTGCCACTTACATATATTATTAACAACTCATTCTCCGAAGGTAAATTTCCGGATAATATGAAGCTCTCAAAAATTATCCCAATATTTAAAAACAAAGGTGAACGCGAAGACCCATCAAATTACCGACCTATCGCAATAACACCCTCAATATCGAAAATATTTGAAAAAGCTTACCTAAGCCGGCTTGAACAACACCTAGATAGTTGTAACATTATCTCACCAGAACAACATGGCTTTCGCAAAAATAAAAGTACAGTCACTGCTCTTTATAATTATGTAACGAACTTTTATGACGCTCTAGAAGCCAAGGAAAAAGTAAATGTAATATTATATGATTTTAGTAATGCCTTTGGCACTCTATATCCTCCTTTATTAATTGAGAAATTAAAGAAATATGGTTTGGACTGTAAATCGCTCGCATGGTTGTTCAGCTTCTTGACGAATCGTAAACAATATGTACAATTGCAAAATATCGGTTGTGATCACTTTGTAACTGAAATTAAGTCTGATATTATCTCGAGTGATATGGGTGTGCCACAGGGTACGATAATTGGTCCTACAAGCTTTACAACGTATATTAATGATATGCCCCTCAGTATTGTGGCGGCGTTACTTGTTATATTTGCTGACGATACAACTGCAATAATACGAGGTGAAAATTTTGGTGATGTAAATAACAAGACTGAAATGACTAATAGTGACTTTATAGACTTTGCTAAACAAAATCACCTAAAAATTAATTGTGACAAATCTAAATTACTTCAAATTCATACCCATCAAACTAGAAATCTCGTGGCACCAGTGATTAAAATTAACGAAAAAGAGGTTGAAATAGTAGCTCATAGTAAACTTCTTGGCGTGCAAATAACTGATACTATGAATTGGGCTGAGCACTGTAAACATGTTGTGAATAAACTAAGGTCCGTAACATATCAATTTACCAAACTGAAACATAAAGTATCGGATAATGTTTTGAAAATGATTTACTTTGCCCATGTACAGAGTCATATCTTGTATGCAATTATTGTCTGGGGTGGCTCTAGTAATATGTCAGATGTATTCGTAGCCCAGAAGAGAGTTTTGCGTGCCCTTGCTGGATTATATTATGGAAAGTGGTATAAGGCTTTGGAATCTTGTAAACCACTGTTTAAGAAATACGGAATATTAACTGTCTACTCCCTTTATATCCTCGAGTGTATTAAGTTCCTTGTTAGAAATCGCAAAATGTTTAAAAGGTATAGTGACCCCGGAGTAGTGGACAGCAGGAAAGTTACGCGTGGCAATCAGTCTAATGTGAGTGAGAATGATCTCGTTGAAAATAGGTGTAGACTCCAAATAACTGTAGAAAGTCCTGCTGTTATGGTACCTAGAGTTTTTAATGCGCTGCCTATTAATATAAAAAGATGTAAATCTGATGAAGAACTATTGAAAAATGTGAAATATTACGTGATGGAAAACCAGTTTTATGACATGAGTGAATTTTTTGCTTTAAAAACTATGATTACTTTAGAATCAGACTAGAATATATCCTTTATTGACATGTTTTGTAAAAGCTGTATACATTGTGTACGTTAGCTTATACCAAAATAAAATTATATTGAATTGAATTGAATTGAATTGAACACAACTAGGTGTACAACGGGTGTCTACCAGCTAATTTTTGTCTCTAAAACTAGTTTTACAATTAAAGTTTGTTTCAATAATTATAACAAAATACAAAGTTTAGTTAAGTTTGATTTTTGCAGCCTCTCTTAGGCTTAGTTTTCGTTCGTTACATTTGGTTACATTCTAGAATATGGTATTATGAACATTTATTACTTAAAACATTTATTTAAGATTTTAAAAAGCGATTTCTTTTTTGTTGGCCATTATTATTAGCCCGTTTGGGCTGTTTTACACTTCATAGCTTTTTATTATGGATGTCTGTACGCGGAAAGATTCCAGTTTTTGGCTGTCGCGGGGGAGGAGCCCAATTTTAGGAGGTTTCGCACGGTAGTGCACTGTGCACGCATCATAGGTATTTACACAGCGCGCTGTGCATTGCCGCTGCCAAGGTATGCTTTTGCTTCTCCTTTTACTACCTTTGATATCCCCCTTGTCTAGGCGGGCCGACCCATATTGCACTTGCATGCACCAGCGTGTGTGCATTATAATTTTGAATGGGCCAAAATCAAATAATGTGGATCAGGTTGGGAAAAATCCAACCAAAATAAATTTATCAATAAAATATAACCTTTGAAACAAAGACGAATATATGGTCGTGCGTGTCACAAATTTCTCATTTTGAAATCTTTCATTAAAATAAGTTATATCGGGTTTCTTAGTTAACACATATACAATGTTAATGCATATGTATGTACATTACGGTACATTAAGTTTTTTTTTTACAAAAGTATCACAGAGAATATATTCAAGAACTTATATTGAATTTATTTATTAATTTATATTTTTATAGGCTAAAAAAATGGTGTTTATAAATTATAGTGCAAGGTGGGAGTGCAGTCATGCAGTGGGTGTGACTGGGACATTGGTTAGGTCCATGGACTGGGACCTCACAATAGCAACATTTATGCTTGACCTTGTTCATAAGAATAACATAACAAGGTCATGACCAATGCCTATAAGTACAGCGCTATATTGAGCTCCTTGATAATGAGATTCCCGAGAACTACTCCGAAACTCCGATTGACTCCGATTATTAACGATTGACTTCGTCTTTCTTTGCGATCCGGCCGATCTACATTCGAAAAGGTCAAAACCGAGACATTTTCTCGTGCGCCGTTCCGCTTTTGTAAATGCGCGCACTCTTTCAACCGCTCAACGCTGCAACGCTAATGCGGCTAAGTGCCTCGTATGCCTAGACTAGACACGCCTCTTCGGCCTCTTCTTGTCTTCATCTTCTTCGAGACCCTGACCCTATGACTTTTGAGGCTCGAGTCTCGAGTTGATTGTTAAATTCAGTATAAAGTATGTATTAGGTATTCAATATTAAGTCGTTTCCGCCGACTTTGGCCCATTCACGGCCACACAGTCAGTGAACGTATTATGTGTTGCAGATAAATCGACTGGCATTCCGTGACTTCGAGTGTCATTCAATTCAAAGCAACACCATGGACCGCAGAAAGCTATCGTAAGTTTTGCTTCCGAAAATTCTTGGGGGTGCAATTATTATTATTATTATTGATACATATTTATTGACATATGAAGCGTCGTCACGATGTAGTGACTCAACATTGCAACGCGCTCCATTTGCAACTTATTGTTAGGCACACAAAAAAAATAGAAAAAATATATTAAAGAACATAACAAAAATATTACAATTCATGTAGCCGAAAAAACTCTTCTCTGCAATAAAATTTACGGGCATGAACAAAACGCCTTAAACTACTTTCAAAAGTCTTGTATCGAGGCTCCAAGCAAATCGAAACAGGCAATTTGTTATACAAGGCAGCCAAACGCAATCGTCAAAGGGCTCGAATCTGCTTCGAAATTAACAGTGTCTGAGCAGGAACATACAAATCACTCTTTGTCCTTGTCTGATAATGCTTTTGTTTAGTTAAAACTGTCAACTAGCTCTCAATTAACGGATACATATCACTTATCGTAGGTTCCTTACTAACGCTACAGGAGATTTATTTATTTGAATCAATTCAATTTTATTTCCCCCATGTTGTTAAATTGTAGATTTCTATGCAAAATGGTAATCTGTAAACATAATCCAAAATGACAGGACTTCTGGTGACTCGCTGTATCAAGTGTTGGAGCTGCAGAAGACTGCCACTGCTGATGATATAAAGAAAACTTACAGAAAGTTGGCTCTTAAGTACCACCCTGACAAAAACCCTAACAACCCAGAGGCAGCTGACAAGGTATATACCTAATATACATACTTACAATAATCTTGTGCTAATGTGTTTGATTTATTCTTAATATGTTTCAACTTTTAAATTACTTTGAATTTAAGTTTAAGGAGGTGAACAGAGCACATAGTATTCTCAGCGACCTCACCAAGAGAAACATCTATGACAATTATGGATCTCTTGGACTGTACATTGCTGAACAGTTTGGCGAAGAAAATGTCAATGCATACTTCCTGGTCACCTCACCTTGGTGCAAGGTATATATTTTTTTTTTAAATTTTAATAGAGTTTGGTTATTCAGGCTAAAAACAAGCTTTCTCCAAATGAATCCTTGAAGGGGCCAACATAATTTTATTTAAGGACTTCTTATTGACATAGTTAAGTCAAGTCCTTACAACAAATATAAAAATATTTTTGCGATTTGTGAAAGACAATTGGAAATTTTAATCACCATTGTTGTGAAGACTTGATTTGACTATGTCAATAAGGAGTTCTTAAATATGCAGTGGAAATACATACACATATAACTCAAGTTGCAAATGCGCCGCGCCAAATAAATAGAAATGCCCTGGTTTCGTTCTTGTCCTTCAATGCCCGCTCCTGAAAGGACAGAAAGAAGGCCGCCGACATTCTTGCCCTGATTCAAACACTCGGCCAATATATGCGCGGTGAATGAGATGTGGCTCTCTCGCCTGATATCCACAATCACGAGGTGCTGCCGCGAGAGTATGTCGTCCTTCGAAAGGACCGATTCGGCTGCCAACGCGCCGCGGGTGGGGTGCTACTCGTGATTTGTCCACACCTGAAGCCAAAACGACTTGGACACCTCGAGGGGCGCGCGGAAATTGTTTGGGCTCAAATAAAAGTCGGCAACCTGCGTCTCCTCGTCGGCTCAGTCTGTTATTTTTTAATAAAACTTATTGCATCAATTAATTTTTCAGGCTCTCATCACCATCTGCGGCATTGTGACAGGCTGTTACTTCTGTTGTTGCTGTTTCTGTTGTTGTTGCAACTTTTGCTGTGGGAAGTGTAAACCGCGACCTCCTGAGGATTCTGGTGACTACCACACTTTAAACGTGAGTATTGTCAGAGAATAGCTGTGCATGAGCACATATTCTTTTAGGCTTTCTGTATTATAAAGTGTGGTCATGTTTTAACAAATTTGCAAGTACTTTTGAGGAAAGTAGAGGTTTTAAGAAATGGCTGATATCCAGGTAAGTCATCCAGGGCTCTTATTCTTATTATTTATTCTACTCAAGTCTACTCAACTTAAACAAAATTGAATCCTGTAAGAAAGAATGGTTCCATTTTGAATTTATCAACTTCAAATTTTCTTTATTTTGTTAAGCATTAGTTTGCAGTAGCAATTCAGATAATATTTAATACGTATAATTTCATTTCAATTTCAAATATTCTTTATTTTATTAAGTATAAGTTTGCAGTATGTAGCAATAACACTTTTTGAAATAAGTCAAGATAACAAGCATTATTCAAACGGTAAAATTAGTTTAAGTCATAGAATTGGTGTTGAAGTACAAAAGCTTTCACTTCCTTCACAAGTTCTTTGTCATTTTCAAGGGATTTCAAGTTTTTCGGCAGCGCATTGAAAATTCTTGGGATCATATAATCAGGGCTTTCTACAGACTTTTTGAGAGCAATTTCCCTAACCACTAGGTCATTAGCACACAAATTGGTTTGATTATGTCGTGTCACCCTCCTCGTCTCAACACTATCACTATATTCAGATTCAGATTATTATTATTATTATTATTTAATCTTCTCGGTCAATACAAAAATTTTAAATTGGAAAAAAGAGAAGAAAGGGTTTACAACTAGCAGATGTCTGCTAAAACGCCCGACATCAAAAGAGACACGGCCGCCGCGGTAAACCCACACTATCGGAAAAAAAAAGAACGATATCACAAACATTTTAAAATCTTAACTCTTGCATTACTGCCACAAATGCTCCTTGCAGAGGGAGGGAAAATTGCTTGAGGGGCAGTTTTTAAGGGCAGGTGGCAGGTCGTTCCAAGGCTTGACTATCCTGAAGGAGAAAGCGCCGCGACCGAACTTGTTGTTGGCCGAGGGTGGCTGGAGGCGGGGGTCCTGTATGTCCCAACTTTGGCCCCGTAGTTTAAGGGGGCAGCTCCTCTGAGTCCTTTGGCAAACCTGTTCTTCGAAAAACTCGGAGATACGGGAGAAAAGTGTAAATATCTGAGGAACAGATATTTTACTTCGTGTTTTGCCTTACCTGATGACGCAGCTCATTAAACTCATAGGCCCAAGTAGGAAGCAAAAGTGTTTCCAAATTAAACCTTTTCGCCGAGCTGGAGCTGTATACGGGTAAAAATTATCAAAGGGTCACACATATGCTTTACATGCAATTTTAAACCAGGAATTGTACAATTTTTTAATGCAGAATGCAGGCAATTCCACTGATCCGCGATTCGAAAAGAAAAACTTTTTGACCGAGCTCTGTGCGCACTTTTGGGAGAATTAAACGGTGCTCGCCGCCACTATTTCTCATCACTCGGCCGGTGGTGATTCTAGCCTTTGCGTCCATGTCAGTCTCGCCTCTGGTGCATTTCTTGAAAATCATCAAGTCATTCAACTTAAGCTGCTGCTGTACCAAATTCCAAATTTTTTCAGTTTTGCAAGCAGTATTTCGGGATAGATCCTCCATAGAAACAGGGTAACTCCACAAGAAGGCGACTACTTCTCACCACAGACAGATAATCCCTTATTCTCAACAAAAATATTTGGGATTAATAATTATTCTTGTTTGAGAGGTGTGCATTGACATTAACAAAGACTTGTTCGAATTCATTCTTGTTAAGTAATCAAGTAATCATCACTCTAATATTTCAACATATCAGAGTTTGTTTGCACTATTTCAATACAAAAATTGTAAATTTAAATTTAAAAAATAAATAAATAAAAAATCGTTAATTTGAAAAACTAAAAAAAAAAAAAAAATATAAATAGAGCCAAAAAATTGGGCGTCTAAATACGAATATTTTTAAGCCCTTGCAGTTGACCTTCAGCCAAAAAAACTATTCTCTGTAGTCTTTGTTTTTATTTCAATAATTCTGTTAGCAATCACGTCAGTAGAGGCTGTTATAATTTTATTGTTATAGAGGGAGCCTCCATCAGGCCCAGAAAATGTTGTGTTCCAGCAACCTACGACCATAAAGGTATTTTATTTCATTTTTTTTCTGATGTAAGTATTTAAAACACATTTTAAATGTATTTATCACTCATTAGCAACAAACAAATTGAAGATATTTAAACGTGTCTGGAATTATTGTAAACATTCAAAGAGAAAAGTTCAAATTATAAAATTATAAATCTGTTGTTCAGGAGGACTACAGCGATGTTGAGGAAAGAGCAAAAGCCACTGATGGCAATCCCACCGTCACCTCGCAGCCAATGGCCAGTGGAGGGGTCCATAACATGAGCGCGGGGCCAACTGCATATGCTATGCCCCCACCGTCTTCTGCCCCATCCGAAGCAACCTCCCTTAACCCTGCAGACAAGATCACTTATACTCCAGGTACCTACCCACAGTGATTAATCCATCTAATTATCTTAATTCAGCCAAAAAATGGACTGTCTAAAAAAGTTAATTTTGAATAGCGTAAAAATATCCTATCAAAATTAAAACCAGTCAACCACAAATAATAATGTTTTGAATATCAAAAATCACATTTGAACATTGAAATTTTGCTTTCCCTCCATTCAAATCAAACATGGCTGATCGGAGCGATTCCTTTGTTGCTACAATGAGGTCGCGATTGTTGACTCAATACTCTCTCCGATCAGCCATCTTTAATGACGACTTCGTATCGCTAATGCCACTGATTGAAGAAAAAATTAATTGATGTATAATAGTAATTGAATAGATACAAATTGATTACCATCTTATGATAAGTGGTTTTTAAACAAAAAGTCAGATTGAAATATTCCCTACTGCAACATGTGCTTCTTGTCCAACAGCATCCACGTGGTTTCTGATTCGAAAAACTTAGATTGTAGAAAAGCTCTATGACAGAATACATTATTGTTGTTTATTTTTCCTTGTAAAAATTGTTAAGATTAGATTAGATAAAAGTTTATTGCATTAGACAATTGTAATACATCTACTATTTATCTTAACAACAAGTCGTTATTTCTAAGTACAAAATATCAAATGCTATTATCTCAAAACAACTCTCTATATTCATAATACAAATACTTGAAATTGAAATTGGCGCTACCAGTTTCGGTGACGTTCTGCGACCCTATTTCATGAGCAAGATAGAACAAAAAATCGACAAAAAATTGAAAAACATTTCAACATTTTAACATAAAAATTAAAATCATAAACAAAAAGTTCAAGTACCAACCTTTTTCATGAGAAAACGCGCTGCTTGCTGACTAATACAAGATGATCTTATGCGGAAAAAATGTGACTCTAGCTAAGACAGATTCATTGGGTGGGGCGGCCAACCACTGGTGCGCGAAATGACGTCAGGCACATTCTTCGTTTTCGAGAAAAAGCTATCATCTATCATAAAAGACATCCACCTTTGGTCAAATTGGTGGCTCGGTTGGCTTATTAAATTATTAACGCCATCGCCATTGATTGATTTTTTTCCGAATTTAATATCTGTTGCATCTGACCAGGCCAAGAATGGGCAAATTCAGTCGCGTTTTGAGCTATTTGAAAACCGTTGCTGTCCGTCCCAAATGTGGCCGGATCATAAGTTTTTGAAATCGCCCTTTTACGCGCGTCAAATCTGAAATAAATGAGTCTTTTTGTCTCCCCAATGTAAACTGAAGAGCAATCGGTGCACTGCACGCGGTATAAACAAATACACAGAGCAGGTCTACCTTTTGGTTTTGCATGCATTTATTTATTTATTCTCCATTCATGGTACATACAACGCAAAAAAAGTACACTGTACAAAAAAACGTGGGTGTGTATGATTTTTGATCTTCACGATTGGGGAGATGCTTTCCGTTGATAAAATTCAGAGCTCGATTTTTAACTCGCTTGAGATTTCCAATCGCGCACTGCGCTCACGCATGCCAGGTTGGCGCGCCGTAAAATAAAGTCGACTTCACTAAAGTAAGGTACGCCACCCGTTTTTCACGTGGAGTGCAATCGTGCAGATTTCACACGAATCCCAATTTTTTTGCTGCTTTTGCGCGCACCACAACCGGTGAAAAAAATTTAATTGTACATTATATTTTTGATTCGAAGAGTAAAAGAGCATGAATTAATAATTTCTGCTCTCCCAACTCCAAATTTATGGCTCTAGTTTCTTACCGAAACTCAAAAGGAATTTCAATTTTTTCAAACCGCAAAGTTTTTGCCAACATTATGGCCCTCCACGCAACCCCTCTTAACGCCCAAATCCAGCCGCCAGCTGATAATTTTAAAAATTAAAATTTCCTTACACGTTTTTTTCTTAACCAAGTGTCAGTCAAAATTATACTATAAATATTATTTATTTGTTTTTATTGGACCAGAAAATCCTTGAATGCCATAATTTTCTGGGGAGCAACAAGCCCTTGTACATTCTGCTCTGCAAAGGTTTTTTACGTTTCAAAATTAAAATCTTTTGTAGGGTCCCGAATCTTTTGTTTAATTTATTCTCCGCAACCATTGAAAAAGGCAATTAAGAGAACTTATAAGGTTGGGCTTAACTAAAGCGAGAATATGCAGAATATGCCTTATTGAAGTACATGACAGTTATGCTACAAATATCATGCCGTTTTCAATTGTTTATTATTATTAAAATTGATATTTATTGACTTATGAGGCGTCACCACGATGTAATTACTCATTACGACGCGCCCCATTTGCAACATAGTACAATAAATGTAAAAAAAGAGAGTAAAAAACAACAAAACAAAAAAATTACAATACATCAATTAGTTAAAAAACTCTTCTTTGCTGTAAAATTTATGCATATGTACAAAACGCCTTAAACTATTTTCAAATGTCAAAAGTCTTGTACCAAGGCTCCAAGCGAATCGAAACAGGTAATTTGTTATACAAAGCAGCCAAACAAGTCAAAGGGTTTTGCTTTGAAATTAACAAAGTCTGGGCAGGAACATAAAATCACTTTTTGCCCTTGTCTGATAATCATGAACTGCACTTGATTTTTTAAAATAGTGCGGATATTTACGAACAAATTTACATGATTCAAAGAGATAAATGGAAAAAAACAGGAAGGAAGTCAAACCGAGCGAAAAATGGCTTCGCAGAACAAAGTGGCTCCGTACTGCGCCAATAGCGCTAACCCGCCAGAGCTATCACCACTTTTTTCTGCGCCAAAGAAAACTCGCCCAACGCTTGATTTGACCCACCCCAAATTACAATGCCATAATTCTTGATTGACTGACTGATGCAAAATAAACGATTCTCAAATACTTCTCATCAACAGAGATCTTCATATTGTTGATCAAAAATACTGCACTATTTAATTTGCTAACAACAAGGGCACAGGCCGACAAGACTTTGTCTTGGCCTGACCCTAAAAAAAAAAAAATAATAATAAAGAATAATAATAATAATAATAATAATAATCTGAATGCTTAGGTTCATGCGCCAGATACAAGGCATACAAGCCCAAAAATTTTGTCACATCCGATTCAGTCAAATTGTCACCATTCAGAGTCAAATTAAACAATTATGTTGTAGCATTAGGGTGACGGAAACGGAAAATTACGAATTTGCTCGCATTCAGCTTGAGGAAATTATTATTATTATTATAAAATTCTGTTTTTTTTTTTTTATAAGTTATTTCATTTCATTTTCATTTTTTTTATTCTCTCGCAACAAGTCAATACAAAAAATAATGGAAAAGTCACATTAGGAGAGAATTGGCAGCCAGTTCTAGTAAACAACTTACTAAAACTCATAGGCCTATTTTGGAAGCATAAGTGTTTCCAAATACTAACCGAGCAGGAATCGTAAACGGGAAAAAAATTTTATCAAAGTGTCACACATATGCTTTACATGCAATTTTAAACTCAGGAATCGTACAATTTTTTAACGCATAAGGCAGGCAATTCCACTGATCCGCAATTCAAGAAGGAAAAACTTTGTCGACCGAGCTCTGTGCACACTTTTGGGAGAATTACACGGTTCTCGCCGCCACTATTTCTCATCACTCTGCCGGTGGTGATTCTCGCCTTTGCGTTTATGTCAGTCTCACCACTGGTGCATTTCTTGAAAAAAAATCAAGTCATTGAACCTCAGCTGCTGCTGCACCGACAGCATCCCATGTTCGGCAGTGTCAGGGATGTTCCGCCTGTACACAAACCTGAGGGCTCTTTTTTGCACTCGCTCGAATTTGTTGAATATTAATATCGATTGAGAGGTACCACGCGGGGGTGCCATAGAACAGGAGCGGTTTCACCATCGTCTGGTAGGCCAACTTTTTCACGCGCGGCGTTCAACCGTGCAGATTGCGCGCCGCGAACGAGAGCTTCTTTGCTGCTTTGCCGCGCGCGATGTCCGTGTGTTTGCTCCACCGCAGGTCTTTGGACACTTGGACGCCAAGGAGGCGCTCGTCGGAGACGTACTCGAGGGTGGAGGCGCCGATTTTGTAGACGTCGTGCCGACGTGTCCGGGCACGCGTCACGTCCATCACGGGGCACTTGGTTGGGTTCAGGGACATGCCGTTTTTGTCGCACCACGCCCGGACACTGTCCAGGTCGGCCTGCAGCATGGCGACGTCCGAGAGGCTCCGAATTTCGCGCCAGAGGGTGGCGTCGTCTGCGTACTGTACCAGTTCAGAGTCAATGTTGGCGGGCAAGTCGGCGACATAAATCTTAAACAGCAGCGGCCCCAGGACGCTGCCGTGGATTACTCCGGACAGGACACTTTCAGGTTCAGAATCAGAATAATTGTTATTTCGTTAAATTATCAACGCATTGACAAATTTTGAAATACCTCATTTGCATATCAATAAATTTGTACATTTCATATTTACAGATGAAAAATTCATTCATGTCATAGAACTGATATTTATATACAATTTCTCTAATTTTATAAATGAACTCATTTTTATCTTCAATAATTTTTTCGATTTTTTTATTTTATTTTTAAAAAAGGCGACCGGCTCGAAGCGTCGAAATATCATCCCATCGCGAATTTGACTACTTTTTCAAAAGTTCTTGAAATTTGTTTCATCCTGCATAGCCGTCGGATTGCTTTTGAATTATGCGGACGATTCGTCGTCTCTCGTTTTTGCCCGGACGACGTATGCATTATTGCAGGAGGCGCAGTTGGCGGCAAATTAAAGTCGGGTTTTTGCCGTGACAATTTTTTGACGCTAAATCAGACCAAGACGGTGGTGCTTAATTTTCAACTCAGGCTAGATCGCGATAATTTTACTTTGACTTTGAATGGTGAAAATTTGACCGAGTCGGACGTGACAAAATTTTTGGGATTGTGTCTTGCGCATAATCTGAAGTGGACTGAGCATTTAGATTATGTGGTTGGAAAATTAAATAATGCAGTTTTTTTAATTAACAATTTGATGCGTTCTGTTGATGTGAAATATTTGAAAATGGTTTACTTCACTTATTGTCAGTTTATTATGAGTTTCGGCATTGTAATTTGGGGTGGGTCGAATAAGGCGATGGACGACTGACGAGGTTTTTCTGGCGCAGTAAAAAGTGGTGAGAGCTCTTGCGGGTGAGCGCTATTGGCGCAGTACGGAGCCGCTTTGTTCTGCGCGGCCGCTTTTCGCTAGATTCGACTTTCTGCCTGTGTTTTCAATTTACCTCTTCGAATCGTGTAAATTTGTTCGTTAATATCCGCACCATTTTCAAAAAACAAGTGAAGTTCATAATTATCAGACACGGGCAAAAAGGGATTTGTATGTTCCTGCTCAGACTTTGTTAATTTCTAAGCAGAACCCTTAGACTTGTTTAGCTGCTTTGTATAACAAATTGCCTGTTTCGATTCGCTTAGAGCCTCGATACAAGATTTTTGAAAGTAGTTTGAGGCGATTTGTTCATTCACATAAATTTTATAGCAAAGAAGAGTTTTTTCAACTAATTGATACATTGTAATTTTGTTTTTTTTTTTGTTTTTTTAATCTCTATTTTCTACTTGTTTTGTACTATGTTGCAAATGGGGCGCGTCGTAATGAGTAATTACATCGTGGTGACGCCTCATACGTCAATAAAGATCAATAATAATACTTGCTAATTTTTTTGCGGAAAATGATTTAATTCCTGCTAGTCAGCATGGTTCCGTTCGCGGGAAGTGTACGGCGTCGGCATTGTTTGAGTTTTCTACTGAATTGCTTGATGCTCTAGAACGTCGGCAAAAGTCGATTGGGCTTTTTTATGATCTTTCAAATGCGTTCGGAACCGTGTGGGTTCCCCTTGTATTGCGGAAATTTGAGCGTTGCTGAGTGCGCGGCGTTGCATTGGACTGGTTTCGATCTGCTCTTACCGGCAGGTCGCAGCGAGTTCGATTGCGAGTGTTGGATGGGAATCATGAGCGAGACTTTTTTCCGAAGAGTTGGATGTTGTGCGCGGCACTCCGCAGGGAGGAATTATTTCCCCTTTCACTTTCATTGGGTCGGTTTATGATATGTTTTGCTTTTCGACGGATCGCAGGCTTGTAAATTTCGCGGATGAACGAGCGAGTTGGTAGAAGGTGGAACTGTTCATGCTTTAATCGGTGCGGCGAGGTTGGCTGGGAAAATTTTGTCTTGATAATTGCCTCCAACTAAATGCGAGTAAATCTGTAATTTTGCGTTTCCGGCACCCTAATGCGACTTTATTTTCTGACTCGCCCCTTGTCTATGTTAATGGCCATACATGGGTGCGCTCAACAATTTGGCGCTCGCGCTCGCGATCACTGGCAACAGTGCGCTCAAGATTTTTAAAATGTTGCGCTCGCGCTCAAATTTTTAAAAAGTCTTGCGCTCACACTTTGCGCTCAAAAATATTTTTACCCGAAGAAAAAGTGCGACTTTTTAGACAATTTTTTAATATAAAAAAAATCCATTGGCAATTGTAAATGATAAAGTTGAAGTAAAATTACCAAAATTGGGATCAGTTTTGAAATTTTTGGTATCAAAACACTGTTTTTCGTTACAATTTTTGATCAAATTCGGGAATTTTTACTTTTGGTTTGAGCGCAATTGAGCGCTGCGCTCAGCGACCAATGCGCTCGCGCTCACGATTTAGAAAATCGTGCGATCGCGCTCTGCGCTCGCGCTCATGAGCGCAGATCGTAGAGCGCAAAGTGCGCTCTGCCCATGTATGTTAATGGCAAATCTGTTTGTGTTGCCCAAATGACAAAATCTCTTGGGTAGTATGTCATTTAATTAATTTAAAGTGGACAGAGCATGCGGATTACGTTGTGGGCAAGTTGCATAGAGCTGTTTTACTGATAAATAATTTGTTGAAGTTGGTTAGCGAAAAGCACTTGCTCATAGTTTATTACGTTTATGCGTTCTCCATTATGCAGTATGGCATTGTAATTTGGGGTGGATCGGAGCAGGCAAGAGATCTTGTGTTTACGGCATAAAAACGCCTTGTTCGTGCAATGGCTGGCGAGCGGTATTGCCCTGGTCCGGCGCCTGTTTGTTCGGCGCGGCCTCTTTTTAAAAAATTTGGATGCTTTGCCACTGCTTTCCATTTACTTAATAGAGGCTTGTAAATTTGTGCGTAAATACCCTCAGTATTTTGTGAAAACGCGAGATATGCATGCCTATGAGACGCGCGAGAAGTTTGAGTTGTACGTGCCGGTCCAGACGTGTGCTATTTCGAGGCAAAATCCGCTCATTTGCTTGTCGCGCTTGTATAATAATTCGCCTGTATCTATTCGATTGGAGTAGAGATTCCCTCAGTTTGTGGGCTTGTTAAAAAAGTTTGTTAGTTTTCACAAGTTCTATATTGAGAAGGAGTATGTAAATTAAAAAAATAACTTGTAAATATGTTAATTTCTTTTTCCCTGCTGTATATTTCATTAGACAAAATTGTAAATGGGTGGGTCGCACGGGACACATTATATGTGATTACATTCCATAATACAATAAAGAAACAATAATAATATCGTTCTTTTTTTTTTTCGATAGTGTGGGTTTACCGCGGCGGCCGTGTCTGTTTTGATGTCGGGCGTTTTAGCAGACATCTGCTAGTTGTAAACCCTTCTCTTTTTTTCTCAAATTTAAAAATTTTTGTACAGACCGAGAAGAATAAATAACAACGTGGACGAATAATAATCTATTGCAAGAGAGTTGAATATGCTAGCTATCATTGCTACAGGGTTTTGGTTTAACACATCTAAATGATTTTCTATCTCAACATAGAGATCTTTATCACAACGTTTATGAATTGCACTTTTTGTTTTTGGACTTATACAGTTTGGTACCTCAGACTTTTTTCTAAATTTTTCAGGATACTTAACAAAAAATTTCATACATTCCAATAAAACAGAGAGAGTAAACAGTTAAAATTCCATATTTATTAAACAGCGGCCTACATGTATCAAGAGCACCATTACTCCTCCAATACTTGAGCCCAGCCTTCGCTCGGACAACTTGATTTTGAGCAATATTACGCCCCATATTACAATTGAATACAAAATTTGGCTTTGGGCATATGAATAATATGTAAGTTTGAGGGAACTCTCGGACACAGTTCTGATTTTGCTCTTCCGTAGGTTTTGGCCCAGTCCAAGAAGATAGCGTGTACTTTAGTCCCGCTTTTTTTGTTCAGTCTGCTGGCCCAACTGTCAAAGGTCTTGCACAGTAGGGTGGTGCACGACCTTTTTTGTCTACACCCATGCTGGCAGTTGGGAATAATTTTGCTATCGTTTATAAAATTTTCAACCCTGTCTCGCACGCACCTTTCTAATATTTTTCCGACTAATGAAGTTACTCTTATGGGGCGATAATTATCAAGGCAGCACTTTTTGCCATTCTTGAAAATAGGAGTAACTGCGGCCGTTTTCCACCCCTCTGGAAGTGCACCCTGCGGAAGGGAAAGATTGAAAATTAGAGCGAGGCTGGGGGCGAGAGAGGCGGCACATTAATTTAGCACAATCGCGGGCACGTTGTCGGGGCCGGTCGCTGCATTTGTTTTTATTTGCCGCAGAAGGGAGCAGACACTCGCTACGCTAACAGAAAAGTCACATAACACTGGGGCCGCCGCGCCGGCAGGTGATCGGCGCATGAAAGGGAAATAGTTTTGCACACAGTGTTTAAATTCTTGAGAAATGCACGGCCGAACGCGGAGGCGACTAACTCGGGCTTTGACACTTTCTCGCCACCAATTTAAAACACTGCAGCTGCAGGCGAAACCGGCGGCCAGTTTATATGCAGTAGTGCCAACCCAAAAATCATAGTCTGGAATATACTAGATAAATACCATGCTTTTTAAACTTGAATGAATGTAGAATGTTAAATTTACTTAAATTAAGACTTATCCTAAAGATTGTTCTTAATATTTTTTATAAAGTTGAAAACAAATCTGTTGAATTGAATATACTGAATTTCATCAAAATTGGAGGACCCATGCCAAGAGCGTGTCTATAATAAAAACTGCATAGTATATATCTCACTGCCAATTTCATCTTATTTGCATTCTTTAATTTTTAGGCTTATCTGAAAGGGGATCTCCGTCACACCAGGCCCAGCAATGGTAAAATCGTCGTGTGTAGTTTAAATTTAAATATTATTCATAATTATTAATTAATCTATTCAACTACCATTTCACTTTTAGTCTGCATGAATTCCTACTTCATTTTACTAATGAGTTACTTGTGATTGATTTGTGCTGTATGCAAACTGCAACTTGATATTTTTTATCTGCGGCTGGTGCTTAAAATTAATTTATTATTCGGGGATTGGGATCTGGAAAAATTATTAGTTTGCTGACACTGATTATGTCCTCCAAAATTTTATAGGGATCAAAATTTAACGGAATTTTCTTGTTAATTTTTGCGCCATGATATTAAAGGTATTTTTTTTTATCAATTTAAGCTAATTAAATAGTCATGTAACTTGTAATTTGCATTTGCAGATTGCAGGGGTGGCAACGATGTGAGTTTGCGCTTTGCGTCTTTGGATGATATTTTTTTCCATAAAATTCACATTCCTACATTTCTCATGAAATGATTTTATTTGATACTTTGGAGCAGTTATATAATACATATTATGTATTTTTTTTAAGAACAAACGGCACTGAGTGCATTTGGTCAATGCGCTCTTGGTTCTGAATGCATTTGATAAAAAAAAATTGCATGTCCAAATGTATGGATGTGAAGTAAACTACATAACACTTTTCAGTGTGTCCAGTCCAAAAGCCTAGGCCAAAAACTTATTTAAGCAGCTTTACTCAATACGTATTTCAAAAAATTGTAGCAATTAAAAATGAGAGTATTTAGGAGATTAACGGTATAGAGGAAACTTCAAAATAGCCTAAAGAATTAGAAATAAATTAAAAAAAAAAATTTAATTTACAATATTCTTGTGAAAAGTCATTAATTTATCAATTTTGTAATACTGAATTGAAAAATTCTGTAAAGCAAAATTTCACATTGCCATCTAGTGATGCGAATAAAGTTGATCGCATGCTTGTTCGCAAAGAGAACCAAAATTATGAGATTGCCATAGTAAAAATGTTGACAAATAAAAGACAATTAATAACATATTTTGTTATTATTATTGTTTATTCTTCACACATCGCAAGTCATGGAAAAGAAAACTACAAAATTTGAAGAAACGGCATCACCTTTGGCAAATAGGTTGCTAAAACGCAGGGTCTCAATAGAGGTCAGCGCCAAGATGGTGCGCAAGCCATTTTGTTATTTGGTGTAAATTGAAAATTCCACGAAAAGGGCAGAAATGAAATTTATATTGTTAATATTGTTACTATTATTATGCCGACAGTACTAGATAATCATTCAAATTGATGTTCTGGAAACCATGAAATAATATATTGTGTATCCTACTTGACTATTGAGTTCCCAATAACTGCTCCATGGTATGTTTATTTCGGTAATCGGTATTAAAAAGAAACATTCTCCACCCATTTTGTCAGCCCGTTTTGCAAGATGGTTATTATTATAACAAACCAATATTTTAAAACCAAACTATTATTATTATTTATTCTTCTCGGTCTGTACAAAAAATTTTAAATTGGAGAAAAAAAAGAGAAGAAAGGGTTTACAACTAGCAGATTATAATTGTATTAAAAAAAAACCTGCACCCTTTTTTGCTTTTGAATTGTGTAACAAATATATTCCTTACACCTGAATGATATGTCTAATTATATTAAAAATTTATAACACCTCATAAGGTACTATAATGATTCAAATTCAATATATTATAGGTTATTCTATACACAATTATGTATGAGCACTCCATTGTTAACTTTGAATAAAATTCCAATAGTCAAATTATCTTCTCAAGTATTAATTTATCAAGCCATTTCTCCACTGCTTTATTGAAGTATTTGTTGAGTGGGGAGCCGCCGACCCGAGCGGACGTGTTTCGAATCGCTCCTGCCCTTCCAGCTATACACAGGTATTATTCAGTTTGGCATGCACCATTTAGGCCACTATTTGGCCTGTGGCTCGTTGGACACCCTTGTTTGACCCCGTGCTGGTTAACTACGGCTGAAGCCCTGCTCACCAATTCATCAAACACCAAGATTAATTAATTAATAATAAAAAAGAGAAGTAGACCAATCTGAATATAAATTCTGAGAATGGGCTTAGCTGCCGCATGTACAGCTGCAGTTCTGCTGGCCGCCTGTTCGGCCCTTCACCTTCAAGTGGTGCCGCCGCTAGTTCGGCGGCCACCAACCACGGCCGCTAGTTTGGCCTCGGGTTCCGCCCCGCCCTCGGTCGCAATTTTCATCATGAATATTCTGGAGCTACATTCATGCTTCCGACTCTCGTCCTTCGTTGGGCTAATAATTTCGCTCATTGTAGTAATGGTCATAGTGTGGTTGATTTAATTTTCAAAGGGCCAAAAATTTACACCGAAAATTTTAAAATCTGCCCCACCATAAGAAAACATAATTTTATTTCAATAGAATTTAATTTCACAAAACAAAACAATAGAAATGGGGACATGTCTTTGAATAAGAAAAATTTTAAATTTTATGAAAACATACTTAAAGACTTTATTGAGAGACTTAATACAAAAATATTCTAAAAACAAATCTGGAAAAGGGGGACGTTGAAGAGTTTTATAAAAATATAATAAATATTATGAAGGAGGCCGACATTCCTCGTAGGCAAAATGAACGTATGACTCATACCATGGTTTGATTCTGAATGCTACGAATTAAAACAGAGATTCAAATGGAGAGAGTGCTTGGAAGTGGCTGAAAGTTTAAATGTAACTAGTATATAATCAAGATTCTATCACCGCACTATACCGCAATAAAAAGTAACTACAAAAATATGTGTGAAATGAAGAAGAACGCTTTTGTGCAAATGAAGGAGTTAGATATTTTAAAAGAGGAGGAGCAGAATAAATGCTATAAAATTCTCAAGTTGAGCAAAAGTATTTACAATACAAACAATATATAATGATGGATGAATGGGAGTGCAATTTTGAAAGGATTTTGAACGAGAAAAAATAGAATGAAAATGAATCGTTAAATCTGAAAGAGATTAGATTAGATCAGATCAAAATTTATTGCATTAGACATATGTAATAAATCACCAATTTGTCTTTACAACAAGTCATAAAATAGCAAAATAAAATAAAACCTCCAAACAATTTGAACTTTAACATTCAATAATTGAGTGATTGAGGGAGCTCGCACGCCATTGATTATTTGGCGGGGGTGGGCAAGCATTTGACTAACCCTCCACACTACCTACAGGGGAAAACCACCCCCGAAAACCCTTCAGCCGAGTCTCACTCTTCCATGTTTAGGCATTCAAATTTACATGTCCAATATTCAATTCAATTCAATAGATTTTTATTCCATTTTAGATCAAATATTTACAACGATCTTTAGAATAAGTCTAATTACAATTAATTCAACATTCCACATTCATTCAAGTTTACACAGCAGATACTCATGGATATCATAAAATAATTTGTCGTAGAACAATTTCTTCACTTCACTAATATAAATATTAGTATCGTTAATTCGCTTCAATCTCTCTGGAAGCTTGTTAAAGATTTTTGAAATCATAATTTCTGGGCTCTGTTTTGTCAAATTCAGCCGTACAGGTTTTATAAATAGATCCTCCATTGAAACAGGATTATTCCTCGTGTTATGATTTTCATATATGTTGCTTTCAGAATTTCTAATAAAAAGTGCAGGATTTTTTTTCACAAATTTAACACATTCTAACGCATAGAGTGAAAATACTGGCAAGATTTTAAACCTCGCAAACAAGGGGCTGCAGGGCCTTACTGGTGTCAAAGACTTCCAATAACGCCAGCCAGCCATAGCTCTCAACACTCTCTTTTGAGCTACAAAAACCTTATCAAAGGCGGGTGAGCCTCCCCAGATAACTATCGAGTAAAGTATAGGGCTCTGCACATGGGCAAAATAAACTGAACGTAACATTTCTGGTAACACTCTTTGTCTCAGTTTAACAAAGAAATAAATAGTGCTTCTCAACTTAGAGACGATTTGTTCACACTGTGGACGCCAGTTCATTGTATCAGATAGCACTACACCTAGTATTTTCGCATTTTTCACAACTTCAACTTCCACGTTATTTACAATGTATTTTCAGCGGATCTAACTTTTTGGTTTGAGCCGTATGGACATGTAGGACCTGCGTTTTATTACCATTGAGTCTAAAACAATTTTTTCAGCAAAATCTACCATTTCATTATTTGCTTCAGCAGATTGACTTTTTAGGTCCTGAAAATTCTTAGCTTTAACTACGACAGAGGAATCATCAGCGAACAGTATTAGTGCAGCGATTACATTTTTAAGCGGCATATCATTTCCATATGCTGAGTAACCAAAGGGACCCAACACTGTTCCCTGTGGAACACCAATCGAGGATTCTTCTACACAAGATTCTATACAATTTTCACCAGCTTCACTGAAATTACACATTTGAACTATTTGTTTCCTATTAATTAAGAATGATTTCAACCAGGCAAGCGCCTTATCATCAAGACCATAACGACGCAGCTTGGCTAACAGTATCTCAGGCACAAGACAGCCAAAGGCGTTGGAGAATTCATATAGTATTACATTGATTTTTTCTCTATTTTCAACTGCGGAGTAAATTTCAGCCACTAACTTATATAAGGCAGTAACGGTGTTGCGGCCCTTTCGGAAGCCATGCTGCTCGTCTGCAAGCAGATTATTTTCTACAAAATATTTTTCGATTCGCATAAGAAAGCACTTTTCAAATATCTTAGCAATAGAGGGAGTAAGTGTAATAGGGCGATAATTGCTAACTTCATTCTTAGGCCCCTTATTTTTATACAGCGGTTTAATAATTGACAGCTTCATAATATTTGGAAAAATTCCAGTACGAAATGATGCATTAATAATATGACATAAAGGGTACAATATGTAACCAGATATTTTCTTCAGTACATCCATAGAGATCTCATCCCACCCTGAAGATTTCTTAGATTTGCATTCAATTATTATTTTCCCCAATTCAAGCGGAGTTACATTTGGGACAAGATTAAACACATACTCTGATACAGGAATATTTTCAACACACTCATCAATTTCTCTCTGAGATATACTTGGCTGGACTTCAATAAATTTCTTGTTCAAATAATTTGCTATTTTTTGCAAATCTTTCTCTACAACACTATCGATTATTAATTCACTTGGACCTCCCCCTTTCTTAACTTTCAAGTTACACTCCTCATTTATAATTTCCCAAGCCATTGATACTTTGTTTGAGGCTTTATCAAATTTTTTATTATAAGTTTTCCGGATTGCATCATTGATTAAAAAACCCACATATTTCTTTTGCGCTGCATATTCGTTACTAATACTGTCAATTTCTTTCCTGTCGCCGCAATTTTTCTTTAATTGTGAGAGTTTTTCACCTATATTTTTGAGCTGCGCTTTTTGATTTGACAAAAATTTTGATTCTGGCACTGACTTTTTTATCGACTCGAATTAATATTTTTTCTTTTGGGAAACTCCTCTCAAACAACAGAATTAAGTTGGACATCAGTTTTTCACACATTAAATCAACATCGCTACATGCATAGATCTTATTCCAGCCTTCAATACTAAGAGAATACAAAAACTCTAGCCAATTGCTTTCAGAAAATCTTCGAACCATTCTAAAATAATCTTTCTTGTACTCAATAGGAATTTCAAAATTAACAGTAACTGCATCATGGTCACTAAATGAAATATTTGCGACGGATGAGGAGGAGGCGCAATTCAATTTGCTAAAGACATGGTCAATTAGAGTTTGAGATGTGTCAGCAACTCTTGTACACATATCGCCATTTTTCAGGGATAACTCGTAGTCACCCATTAGATCCAAAAATTTAATTACTTCAGGGTTCGAACGTTTTGGGTCCAAGTTTACATTCAAGTCGCCTAATATAATTAGTTCACTCTCAGGGTCCAGAAACTGCTCTATAGTATTCTCCATATTACTAAGAGGGTGGTGCGCCTGCGCAAGATAGATAAGTAACCTCTATTGTTGTTCCGACTTTTGAGCTTCCTGGTGAGGCCTGGACAGTGAGTGGACGTCCCTAGTGTGTTCGGTCGGGTTGTTGAGTGTCCCAAGTGCGTTTTGTGGCTAAAAAGTCTGATCTTAATCCCGCACTCGCCGAGATTTTCGACATGCCGAAATGCCTTATAGAGCAACTCCGGCCAGAGGGAGTGACTCCGGCATGAGGGAGTAACTCTGGCCAAAAATGCTACAGCGGCTGGGAGCGGCTCTGGAAAGAGGGAGTAACTCCTGCATGAGTGAGCTATAGAGAGCAACTCCGGCCAGAGGGTTTGCTTTTGGCATAAGGGAGCAACTCCGGCTGGAGTAAAATC